GACTTGCCGCTACGATTTAGCGGCATGATTTTGGTACCGCTGAAAACTGTAGCGTTGTGCATCTTCCTACTCATCTCTGCTTGTAATATGAGACCGATTAATGCGCCATCTGCCAGAGAGCCCATTGGAACTATCCTCTATGTTGGTAGACTACTGTAGACTACTTTGCAACAAGAAATTCGAAGAATCTTTCCAACTACTTCTGCTAGTCAGGAAAGGGCAAAGATGGCTGCTTCGTGGTTACTAGGACGTGCCGTAACCAGGAAATTTTCTACGGCTGTAAGCGGATCACCTCAAACTCAACATGGTAAATAATTAGATCATTTAATGTTTGGGAAGTTCTACAATAGCAATTTTATGAATATTAATCGAGCGTCAGGAACATTATGATTGAAGAACATTCTCGAAGTACACGTATTATATTCTTTGACATTTTCTACACAAGGAGTTTCCATTTGAATTAAACATGATTTTTATACGTATTGTGTTTCATTGTTTGTCCTTTATTAGACATAAGCAAATTGTATTGTTTGTAGCAGTTGTTTGATACATTACATAATCAAGATTGTGTCATGTTTAGGTGAGAGTTGGAAGTTATGGAGAGCAATAACTCTCTTTGGAGCATTCCCTGCTATTGCCGTTTGCATGGTTAATACTTACCTGAAGCACCAGGAGGAACATCACCATCCACGACCTCCATTTGTCAAATATGACTATTTGTGTATCCGTACTAAGGTACGTGCATAGCGTAAAGAGAATGTTATAGCATCCAAATAAATAACAATATTTCTTTTTGAGCAGGCGTACCCTTGGGGAGATGGACAGCGCACCTTATTCCACAACCCAAAGAAAAATCCCCTTCCTACTGGTGAATTCGAAGAAGAATAACTTGTATAAACAAGATAGTACACAAAAGTATAACAATTATATAGTTCATTATGTATAAACAGTCTGATACAACAAATAAAATACAAAAACGTAATTGATTATCACTATTTATACTTTTAAACATCAGTACAATCTAAGATTTTATCCTGTGTTATACACAAGATGTACAACAGATTCCTTAGATATATTGTTTTCTTAATAATATGAAGAAGCCTTAATAATTGTTATAAAAATATAAAATAAAACAAATACTGAAGTAACATCAAATAAACCTCGACTATCGATAACTATATCTAATTAATTTATATAATATTCAGAGTACACTTCCTTTGGTATCAGTTTAAATGGATCCAGATATATGTATTAGGTGTGTTAGGCACCTTCATTTTCTACTGGTTTGCACGTTTCGTGATGACACTTTCGCCAATGATTCTGCGCACACTCTACAGAACAATATTGTGCGTCGTAACAACGACCACAAACTACTGCGCTTAGTTTTGCACAATGTAAGCATACTTTATTTTCCATATCATCTAAATCTGTATCCGCACCCTCATTCTCATCCTCATCCGCATCGGTTGCTTTGGTCACCCTCATCTCCTCCAGAGATGGAAAATCCAAAGGGGATGGACTCGTAATTGATGATCTCAAGCTTTCATATGCTATTGGTGTTATTGATCTAACATCAATTATATTAGGCAATACAGTTTTGTCATTTCTTTTATCTTTTAATTCTTCATCCTTCGTCGAGGTAGGTTCATTTGTATGTTCAATGTTTAAGTTATCTACCTTACTTGTTTCATACTCTTGAATAACATCGGTTTCTGCCGTAACGATTTTACCTCTTTTGGAAGTTGATTGTATATTCTTTCCATTTACATCGACGCTGCTTTGCTGTTTCTGATCAAAAATAATTTCTAGATCCGGTGATCCCCGATTCATATTGCAAGAGTCGATGTCTTTGGTCATTGATAAAATTTCTATCTCATCATCAAATGTATCCATAGTCTTTGATACCTCGGAATGGAATTTCTTGTCTAGAAATGGAGAATCTTCTACAGAACCTGTCTCGACTATGTCAATCGGCGATTCTTGCGGGTCCGCTCCCATTTTTGTTTTCTGCACTTGCAGAAGTTCGCGCAGCATCAATTGATCCTCTTGCAACGTTGGATATTCTCTGATCTGCGTGTTCTGATTCTGATTGATATCTTTCACCCCTGATGCCTTGAGCTCTTCCGAGTCCTCTCCATCCTGATACACAGTGATTAGCTCCCGTTGTATTTCCTTAAGCTTGTCAGCCTCCTCGGCTTTCTTTAAGTTCTGTAACTGTTTTTGTAATCGTAATGCCAGTATTCTGTACTGCAAAACCTGATTATTAAAAATAATCTTTTGTATCTCGGTAAATACCGAGAGCTGCCCAAAAGGGATGATTTGATTGTCCGAAATGAATTTATTATAGGATACGCAATCCATTATCTGTTCCTGAGCCACAACAGATTGATCTTGAGATGGGGGTTTATTGTTGCAACTATCAGGATAGTTAGTTGTCTCGAAATTTCGATTAATGATGTCCTCGATTTCCTTCACTGTAAAGGGTAACATCCCATGCGCAAGTCGGTCGTTCATTGCGTTCACTACATTGGCTATTACATGATCGATAGACGTCATTTTCAAGTAGTTTCTTAAATTCGTTAGTTCTACGATGAGTATTTCAAAATTCATATTGAATTCTCGATGTACCTGCTGACATTCTTCCTGGCGAAGTCGCGTTGAGAATTGAATAGTAATTTTTTTCCGCTCGAGCAACTGACGTATTCGTACGAGACTCAAAAATATTTTGTCAAAGGTAAATTTGACGGCTTCTTGTAACAATTGTTGCTGTTGCTGTTGCAATTGTTGTTGCTGCCGTAGTTGTCGCTGCTGCAGATCTAATTGCTGCTTCTGTTGAAATAATAGCTGTTGCTGCTGCTGCTGCTCTTTCAATTGTTGGTGTTGCTGTTGTTGTTGTAGATGTTGCTGCTTTTGCAAATTTTGCTGCTTCTGTTGCAACTGTGATTGCTGCTCTAATTGTTGCTGCTGTTGAAGTTGCTGCAGTTGTAACAGTTGCTGCTGCTGCTCTAATTGTTGCTTTTTTTGCAATTGTAGCTGCGGCTGTTGTTGCCTTTGTTGGAATTGTAGTTGCGGGTGTAGCTGTTGCTGTTGTTGGACACAACTTTGCGTGAGTCCGTGCACGCGACTGTTTTGTTGCGAAACAAGATGTGTGTTATCAATAATTTGTCGTATAACAGACGCAGGATTTGTTTGAGATGCAGAAATTTGATTGATATTCTGTTGAACGGATGGTTGTTTAACTAGAAAATTTTGGTAAGGAATGAATTGTTGAACGTCCTCAACTTGTAAAAAAACATAAGTTGGAGAAACCTGTTGTTGTTGATTAGACTGTACTTGATTAGACATGGAACTCTGCCTAACAGACATGGGATTAATATTCGCTGCTGGGTGAAAAGTAAATTGTATAGTAGGTACTGTTGGAGTACTATTAGTTGAGTTTTGAGTGTTTACCACTAATGTACGCAAGCCCGATGCTGGCTGAATATTAGTACTTTTTCTCAAATCTATAGGTACGAGATTAGGATCATAAACAGGAGTAGGACACCATCTAACACCCCCTAATTCTCGCGCGTCCTTCACTCTGATCTTTGGTACGTGCTCTTCTAGACTTTTAGTTGTCCATAAATTAGAATTAATACTATGATCTACACTGAGATTCGTAATAGAATTCACGTTTGCATTTAAAACGTCATTCGCATTAGACTCTGTCCCAGAACTCTTGTCCAAATTTTCATCATTATTTGGACTTACTTCTGCAGCTGTAAAATTTACTGTATCCTTTGCTAAAGTTTCCTTCGCGTCCTTTAACAATCCCGTGACCCCTGTATCAACGGGTTCACACTTTGGTATATCAAAGAGAACTTCTTTTTCAGAATTCGACAAAACCGAACAGTTTCCTATGTCCTGCGGGAATCCAGATTCCTTTCTAACGTCTTCTGCATTACCTTTAGGGTCCGAATGAGACTCGGACATATTTTCTACGCTACATTCTATCATCACAGATGAGTCGGGTGCAGTTTCGTTCGTTTTTGTACTATCACTCACTTCCTTTTCATTATTTGGGACTGTCGTTGATGATTCTTGACTCTCAAATACGGAAGAAACGTAATTATCATCGACTTCAAGAAGCACATTGACATCATGAGATAATTCCGAATTATTTTTCGCAATATTATCTTGAGGTTCTCTTAACGTAGATATCGAGTCGAAAGTGGGCAACTTAAGAGATTCTATGTATTTAAAATTTGAATGTGGGCTCTCGAGATTATGCGTAAGACTTGGGTATAATGGAGACGTACTACTGTCAGGTAAAATCGGTGCTGCTAACTCGTTCAGATGATCGTTGCTCTTTTCACTTGATGTAACGTCTACTTCATTCAAATCTGTCAACCTCTCAATCGACTCCGTTGCACTGGGTGGTGTTTTATCACTAGTTTCATCCTCAACAGAACAAATTCTAGACATGTCGTTAATATCTGTTGTTTCAGCCACTGGATGTTTTCTTATCATTTCAGTATACTTATCCATGCTAACTTGACGAATCTCCAAGGACTTGTAACTTACATCCTGTGATCTATTCTTATTGCATTCTTTGTACGTCTGATGATGATGACGATGACGATGATGATGATGATCATGTGAAAGTTTGGATTCTACTTTTCTTTTATCCGCATTTACCACTTTAATTTTTGAATCATGCGTTCGAGGCCTTTTCATTTTCTTCGGTAATTCAGTTCGCAAGGATTTATCTTTTGATTTCTCACGACTCTCCAAATCAGTACCGCTATTTTTTGTAATTACCAATTCATTTTCATTGTTAATAGACGTGTCATTGACGCAAGAAGAAACCTTTTCCGTTTGATATGATTTAGAAATTGTCGTTTTTGCAATTTTCAACGAAATTCTATCAGCCTGCGACGTATTCGTAACGGTAAAATCCTTTTGGTTTCTACAACTTCCTTCGACTTTGACATTACTGACAGAACTTTCCTTATTAGGATCATTTCTCCTAACGAGAAGCTTATTACGTCGCATCAATTCTTCTTGCCACTTTCTTATAGATAAATTCTTTTCGATGTGGTCATCATCGGTAGAGTAATCATCCCCAAAAATTTGTTTAAGCTTCTCTTTTGTCTTCTCTCCTTTTCTCGAGCGCACATCCTGTAAATCCTTTTTTCGTTCTCTCTTCCCGTCCTGCAGCTTCTTCCCGCACAGATGGTCGGAATCAATATGATAATTCTTTCTCTTCGTTGAATGACTCCTCGAATTATCACGAATTTTCCCTTTATCTCGTATGTGCCGCTTATGAATGTCTCCGCATGGTCGGTTAGCGACCTCAGATACTTGTTGCCAACTTGTATCTTTTGATATCGATGCTTTTTTTAATTTCTTCTCGACCCTTAGAATGGTCTTTGTATCCGTGAGTTTTCGTTTTTTCTCGTTTTTTGCAATATCCGAATTATTAATAGATTCCAATTGTGTATTATTCGTAGAATTGAACGTAGCGATTTTCTCCAACATTGTATCAGTAGTCGACGTGCACGTTATTTCTGTTCCGGTAGATATAATCACAGAAATTGGTGCACCAATGTCTTCTGACACGCTGGAGTCAGCTTTGCGCAATTCAGTATCGACGGTGTGTGAACGGATTTCCATCTTTTTGACATTGCGATTTTGTGAAGAATTTAAATTCACTTTTATGTGTTTCCCCTTACTGAATCTCCCGTTGCAAGTATCGGATCCAACTTTTTCAGCGCTCAGTTCGGGAATCTCATCGTCATTGCTATTTGGCATTTCTTTGGATTTGCCAATTTTTGAACATACACTACTCCGTTCAGAGTTCTCCGTATCGCTGCTTCTGGAACAAACGACAAAGTGTTAACACCGATGCAACACGTTATAGAATCATAAACTATACACATATATATTGGTACATTCACGAATAAAAAGCTTACATTTCAGTACAACAAAAACACTGCTATTTCTATAAAAAAATTTATTTCAAAAAGTCACATTCATAGAAAAAAAATATAGCTTTGTAAATCGATCATAACTTCCTTGAAGCTTCATTTGTTATAGTATCAAATTGACTGTCGTTTGCACTGAGTGATAATAAAATATAAATTCAGATTACGTTATTCTTAGATATATTAAATATTTGCGAAAAGACAGCAAATTTGTAATCCGTGGTTAATATTACAAATCAGAGTGAAAATCGAAGGCCAAACAAATATGAACTAAGGTACACATTTGGTGAGACGTAGGAATTATTCGTCACACTAAAATGGCGGCTGAGACTTCTTCTTTGTCTTCAAAGCTTGACAATAGTGATATAACAGACATGAAGCGTTACAAGGACACAATAAAGATACAAGCCAGATACTAGAATGTATTTATTTTTAGTAAATATTTTGTATTATATCCTTGGACAATATGTCCACTAGAAACTAAGGAAGTTCATCTCCCTCTAGGACTAAGGGAGCTGGGAAGTCGACTTTCGTATGCGTATCAAGCCTCCCCTCATGCCGCACTCGTTTCTACAGCAGGAAGAAGTAAGGCTGTCACTTTCGTTTGAATTTCTGCTAACCACAGTTAATCGACACACACGAATGCCTTGATTTTTTTTCCATATGGCATTTCGAATGTATGAAAGATCATCTAGATAATTTTCGTTGCGGCGTTAATATTTTCAGCTATTGATTTACGCATGAAAATCACCTTTTTCGTCGTGCTTGTCGTAAGAACACAACATTGATTTCCATTTTTCGAGAAGAGAGAGTGTAGAACCTCCTCGTGACAAGCATGGCATTAGGAGAACCACCAGTTGTACAAATCATACGATTAAAAAATAAAACTTTTAATGGCGTGAAACTTTTTTTTTATATCGAACAATATATTACAAATTACGAGTCTTGTTCTTGTATTTTGCCAACAAGTACACATAGTCTGACAAAACTGAAAATGGCGTTGTAATGAAAGAACGTTAAAAAAAATACTCACACACAAAGCTCAATATTTGATAACCTTCTAATATGAACTTTTGGAGATGAAAATAGTTGCAAAAGTCCACAATGTACGGCAGCCTGTGACAATTTAAGAGTCTTAAGATCCTCCTTCAACTGAAACAGCCGAAAAACATCAAATTTGTTAAAATCGAAGAAACAAAAGTCCACCGGCGAAAATAACGTATAAAAACAGATGAATAAATTGAAAAAAAAACAAAGTGTAAAGTACCCTATTACACTGGAATAACCTGTAAAAAAATCTGTGACCTATTACACATTTCGATAAAACATTCTGCATAATTAATTGACAAACACACACACCTTCAGTGAAAGTATGCTACGTCGATTCCGAGTCTCTAACCAATTTTTCAAATTAAAATTGTCGTGTTTCCATCGGCTATGTCGGGAAATTTTTCCCCGAAATTCTACATCCATTCCCTGTCACTTTGTTTCCAGGATATTCTTCGAAACTTTCCCGCCCACAGTTTCACTGATAAACCTACTCACATGTACCGCACGATAAGATTAAACGAACGTTACTTGAAATAAAATTCAATCCCCAGATTTGAGGCAACATTCGCACGAGCCACCATCTATCACCGACGTTGATCTATCGGCCGTCCCGTCCTGTCTAACTTGTCCATTTCCCAGTGATCACTGCTTTACCCGACGCTGGTAACATCTAGCGTACCACTAGAAGAAACACAAACGTCCTCTAACAAAAAAAATACTAAATTCAAAGTCAAAACCAGAATACAAACATCGAATTTACGGTTAGAAAATGGATTTACTTCGGCACAAATGATTATTTGTATATTATTACACAAGGTTAACGTTTCCGAACTAATGACCAGCCCTGCGAATACGACTTTGTCTCTCTTATAAGCGTATAAATAAATAGGGACACAATGATACTTGTAGTACGCAGTCAATTATTGAATACACTCATCAGAGCATTATACATTGCCGATAATTATTATACTTACTTTCACTGGAGGAACTTATTCTACTTTATATCATCACTTCTAGAAGAAAAGATACTGTGTAGAAAACAAATTCACGTGTGATATCAAAATTTTTGATAATCGCGAGTGAGGCAGTTGCCAGGATACCAAAAAGTTGTCTATTTTGTGTCTCCGTTAGTCCTTAGTGAATATAAACAGTATGCGATACTGGTTTAAAAAAGACAGATGTACACATCCCGAACTATTTGAGAGGAATGGCTGCGCTATTTCCTCCACTCCTTATATACAGATATACACGCATAGATTATACCATGGACAGCAAATTTTATGATGAATTTGCAAGTAAGTATCGAGTGTCCAGTCCATCTCGCGTATAACTCGAAATGTATGTACAGTAATGAAGTTCCAAAGACACTTGCCATTGCCATTCCTCCTGTTTGTTTTAGAATGGCGCGATTAAGATTTAAGTTTCAACGTCAAAACAGCCTAGTATTACAGAATGAGATCAAACGACAAAGGGTGAACTCGTAGCGCACTCTACAGATTGCGTCATTCGTATAAATAAAACAAGATGGGTAACTGCAATTCCATGAATTACTTATCAATATTTATAATTATCAAATATAAACCACGGTATTAATGTATCTGAATAATATATTAGAGTATAGATTATATGTCGCGAGAATAATTATATAAGATTGTTGAATTTTTATAAATAAAAATTATTTAATTGGATGGAATACAATAGATGAATGTATCTAATAAATGTTGACTGAACAAACCTGAATCGATATAATGATAATATTGTTAACGACTCGAACTCAGGAATGCACAGTGCACACGTTGGTCATATTATATTTCGTCGAAGGAATCAAATATAAAAACACTGACACCAGCAGAAACGAATTCTCTGACCCAAGACGATGAAGTTTCACTGGTAACTACGTACGTCGTGCTGAAACCAGACAGACCAAAGACAACGAGTGAACTGCGCGAAGTTTTAAAAAAGCAGGTCCGTTTTAGTTCTCCTTGTAAAACCCTTGAAAGTCGTAAACACCAAACAAAAGGGGCTCAATAATTCCAAGAAAAACCCAACAGCAATCTGCTGAGTTTGTCGCACTACCTGACTTACAATTAGTGAAATGTTTAGATATATCTATGTGAATTTTCCCCACCTTTATAAGAGCCTTTGGTCTCTATGTAGAATCATATGATGATGATGATGAATTGTATTGATAAAATATTTTCACATGCGCAATGATACCTCAGTATTACAATGTTTGAACTACACGAAAATTATTTAACGTAAATATTAATTCACTGGTGCTTTTAATTATACTTTTGACGATTTTATGAGAATATATACCTACTTATTAATGGCCCTGTTTGTACAAAGGATAAATTCATCGTATTCATCCCTACTATATACACACACATACACGCGCGCCACATATACAAAATGCCTTTCCACGATTTCATTTATACGCACATAAAATTTATTGTTATCCCCCCCTACTTAGAACGTCTTTTAATTTGTCCTCTATTGATGATAATATTCGTTACCGACCTATCGAAAGTTTCCTGTATAAATACAGCATCTTACACAGCAGTGGTAAAAATTACCACTGTTTAATCTTACTTCTGAATGCCAAAGAATTGTTTTTTCCGAATCTTTTCATTTTTTAGTGAAAATAAACGTCTTGGACCCGTAGTCGGACTGATGGGACTGATACAATGACCCTGTATAGTTTATGGCTTTCTTTAAAAAAACATATGGGTATCTTAAGTGCGTCTGTATAGTCTCTATTGAAGAATAAGACGGCAATGTGCTTCTCAGATTTTCAACAAGTATCCACTTACTTTGGCGGTAGGTATTTGCACGGACCTATATTCTTAAAGAATACAAGAAATTATTAGGTTTAAAATGATCTGTTGTGAAACGAAGAAAAAAACGTAATAGTATGAGGGCGAGTATTTGGCCTGTGAAATTTAAAAAAAATCAATTTTTATTATTCTCCATTTTTCAGACGCTTATATTAAAATGTAGCTGCATTTTGATGAAAACAAATCCCGCTGCTTCTTGAAGTTCTACGTTTTAGATTATATATGTATTTGTCTAGTCAAGGAAGTTAGTAATAGAATAATTCTACGCAGCCATTTTCAATCTCTGTATAGCATTATATACTATACCGTATTCTACGTATGTATCTCTATCAATTCTGGCAGTATTAAAGATTTACGTAAACATTCTCAAGTACTGCCTATCCCTTTACATGGTGAAATTGCCTATAGGGAATTCTTGAATATCCTCAGGAGTATTTAAAGACGAAGTCGTTTCTTTATCCTGCTTGTAATCCTCAGTGTCAGGACATTCGGTAGTGGAGAACGTAAAAGACTCGCTTATTTCTCGTACTTCGGCATTCTTCTCGGTTGAAGATGCATCGATTACTTCAAACGATTCTGTTTCCACTAACGTTGAAGATTTTTCCATAGTTCCTAACATCGAAGAATCTTCCAAAGCTTCTAATGTAGTAAGTATTTCCAAAGTTTCTAAATTTGCGGCTGTCCCAGAAGTCTTTATTGTCATAGACTTTTCGGAAGTTGTAAATACATCGATTGAATCGATATATTGTAATTCACGCTCAAGATTTATTATTTTATTTTCAAAAGGAAGTAAATTTCCTGATCTACGACTAATATTTTCTGCTTTACTACTTCTTTTACCAAGGTGTGTTGCTGACCAGGACACTACCGCTATTACCAACACGAACATTACTACTAACACTACCCACTGTTGAATGACTAAAGGCATGATGATGATATCGTCATTTAATGCGCCCTCGCGATACTTTTTCTCTGGTATTTCCTCGACAAAGTTCTGTATTATTTGTCGTTGTTAAGACTCTGTCGGTTTTACGTGCATCTTTTGTTCATGTAGCCTAGAGACATCTAGCTGCCATAACGTGCAACATGTTCAGACGGTCTTTCCTCCGTTTACTTGCCTGACATCGGAATGCTGTTGAAATATATACAGACGCCCGTAACCTCAGCGACTGATAAAGTGTTTTACTCATTAAGAAAGTAGTTCCATCCTAATAGGCGTAACGAATTTGTTTTACAAAGGATAAACACCCTTGAATTTCATAGAGTAATCGCTGTCTTGAGGTTTTTTTTTTATTGGTATATTCAAACAGGAATTGGAGTTGATATGGCTCTGATAGAGTTTACTCTTTCGTTTCTCTCGAACGCGAATTTTTAAAAGGATTTCTAGACTCGCTCAAGGCGACAGTGCTACTCCCACGGTATTGCTATGCCTGGCTGGCTAAGCTTGGTCAGGCTGCTGAGAAGACGTTTGGTTTTAGGATTGATCTTTGCTCTTTCACTGACTTATTGTGCCTTGAGTTTGTTTCATCATGAGGTAATTATTTGCTTGTAAGTTGTTGGTCTCTTGCAATTATGTGCATAATCGTTTTGTTCTTCAGAGAAAGGGCATCTTTATCGAGTCCAATGGAGATGATAGTATTATCAATGATGACATGAATGGGGATGACGATGTCTTTCAATCCTCTGGGAAGCCATTCCTCTGGCAGATGCAAATTATTAATGACGAGTCTAATGACAATTCCTTGGATATGGCTACATTATTGAATTCTAATGGGAGCGAGATTTTTACTGGAACCTGTCGAAACTCTGTACAGGTACATGCACTGTACAGACAAGCTTAATTGTGTTCGTAAACATTTTGTGTCTTTATTAGGGCAAAGCTCTGATTGTTGACGAACGTGGTTTGGTATGTGCAAGACAGGAAGTCTTACCATCAGGGTGCTGCAGTTCAGAGCAAGAACAAAATTCATTGGATGGTGAACCTAGACCCACTATCAAGAGAGAAAGATACAGCTGTGAGAGTTGCAATGCCCAAGGATGTTGTGCTGTTTACGAGTACTGTGTATCTTGTTGCCTTCAGCCTGGCAAGGTAACGATTCCTTTGCAATTCTACATACTTTAATCCTACATCGCATTTACAGAAAGAGTATTTATTTCCAAAGATAAAAGGACGGAGAGACCGAGAAGCCGACCCCGAGCATACTCGTACCAATAATAAAAAAAATCGCCGTGTGGAGGATACCATAAAGCATCGTTTGCGAAACCTGGACCGTTTCCAAGTATGCCTCGCGACCTGTCGCACTTCGAGTGCCTCTGTTCGTCACGAGAATACCTACAAGGATCCGCATTCCAAGCACTGCTACAATTTACAATCCTCAGGAACTGGTTATCACCAACGCAATCGACGTGATTTAATTATAATGAATAATAAGGACGACAACCCCGACGTTGCCGTCACATCCTCTTCTACCGTGTCGTTACTTAAACCCTTCTGTCAAAATCCTCGTCCCGAAATCCCAACGTTCTTGTATCAGAGATATATTTTATTTGAGAGTAAAAATACTACGAAAAGGTAAAACAAAAATACCAGATAGTCACAGGAGGGATCGAATGCCTCGGACAAGCGTCGACTTGTACCGCCAAACGTCACTATAATTAATCGAAGTTATTTCTGGGAACCGACGGCGCACTACTTCCATAACCTCTACGTCTACAGGTTCTTGAACGGTACCCTTGACCTAAAATTATCAATAATTATTTGTTCATTCATTATCACATTTATAAACAGCGTCTCCACTTTTCGGTATCATTTACTTCTATATAAGAGGACTCAGCAGCTGCGTAATGACAGGAAATAGCCTTTCTGGTACGTGTGGAAGTATTCACACCGGAACCGTGAACAAGAAGAGGATGAAGGAATATAGTGTCACCTGGTAGCATCTCAGCATTTATCCAGGGCATGGTCGACACGGGGAGGTCCTTTGAAAATGAAAAGAATACAGGATTCCCCAAGAATAATAATAATACGAACAAGCACGTCCCTACCTGTATACCGTAGTAAAACTTATTCGCTGATCCAGCCTTAGTATCAGCTGGATAAAAATGAGGCAATAACGGATTAGTTTTATGCGAACCAGGACTAACGTAAAGACAGCCATTTAGCACGTCGCAGGGTTCTATAGCAGTCCAGGCAGCCACAATCTTGTTTATTGGTCGAAAAGGAAAGTAATATAAATCCTGATGTGGTGGATGTCTAGGAAAGAAGAATTCTAATCATCCACACACTGGCCCTTCTATTTCTAACTTACCTAGAGCTTCCAGAGCCAACGTCAGGAGGTTTAGCTATGAGCATACTATGCATAGCCATTATATTCCCACCAGTAAATGACTCCACTATATCCAGGAGTTCCTTACACTCTATATACTTCTGGAAGACTTCATCGTAGTTCAAATCCTGAATCTTGTTCACCACCCCACGATCGGAAACGTCCTTCATAACAATAATTTCTCCTCGTGGATGTTTACCGGATGCAATGTCATCAAATCTGAAAAATTTCATAATTTATTCTCTGACAGTTGCCGTACGCATTCTATTTTGAAGAGAAATCATAGAAAAAGAAAAAGACCCATCTGCATGATATTTTACCTTTGACTACATTCCTTCAAAATATCCAATGCTATCAGACGTGGTATCACCAGGTATCCATTATCCTCGTAGAAGATTTTCTGATTGATACTCAGTCGTCCTGTATCCCTGGTCAAGGTGATCTTCGAAGACATCCTTTATAAACTGAAACAGAGATACATCAGATAATAGAGATTTTCATGATTCCTGTGACAATAGCGTATCATGAAATTTTTATTCAGGTAAAGGGGGAAGGGGGGCGTGCGCGCGTCGCTTTTGCGTCGCGGCGCATCGGCGTCGGTTTCTCGTTGACAGCAGCACGTGGCACCGAAAAGGAGATACACGGACATTGCCGGTTGCCCGGTCAAACGGCGACGTTACTCGATACTCGGCGCGGGTTGCTTGGACAATTTTTTCATTAAACTTTGACATTTGCTTAAGACTAATTGAACCAAGCGTCCAACGTTATACAAACTCATAACTCGCAGATTAAAAATTTAAAAAAAAACTTTTATAATAGTTTTGAAATTTCGTACGTGCATCATCACTATACTCTGCTATGTGTCTATACAGATCTTTGAAAAATTTTCAAAGGAATTAAAAGTCATCGCTCATCAGGAGCGACCATGAAATCGGCACTGGGTAAGTCCAACCACACGCAACTTTACGACATAACAATTATAAAAATTCAAAGCACGTATTACAAAGCTGCGATAACATTTGCATCAATGTTTTCCTATATTTTCTTTATTTGGCAACAATAAAAGTGTATTATCAGCAACGAACGACAAATACGTAGAATATTCATTCGTACATAGAGAAACGAGTTTGCATGGTTCAGCTAGACAAGAATCGATCTCCATCCTGTTAATACTTGAAAAGTATAAGGTCTACGACCTTCCCCAATGAGGCAACGCGGAAAATACATTTTCTTTTAGCCGGTCAACTTTGAAAATTCACTCCACAGAATGAGGTAAATGTACTATCAAAAGCACTGTGCGCTCACATACAGGCATATGGATATTCCTCGGCATTCAAAACTGACCCCAAGCTTCTATCGAACTCACCCCAAAGACTCGTGATCACGCATAGCTTAGACCCTTTCGTACAACGGAGGGTCTAGATATTTCTATCCCTTCAAAAGGGTTAAGTGACTGCAGTGTCTGTCTCAACCTGACAAAATACCACATCGGGGATCCATGAAAACAAGATCCACCCATACGTAATATATACGTTTGCAAATGTACACTAGGCTGGGGACTGCCGAGGCTCGAGATACGAATAACTTTTTAGTGCTATCCGCAAAGCCACCTGTCTTTTATCCCAGTGGAAGAAAAGAAAATCTAACAAAAGCCTCCGCAACGTCCAGTTGTGGTCTTCGCTATTGCCAGCTTTAAGCCAATCGAAAATAAACTCTTGCCTATGACTTCCCCGTAGTCTCTTCGAAGTGCGGAAGAGGGGGAAGAGAATGAAGATGAAAACGAAAAAATGTGAAAAAAAATATCTGTGTCGCCTAGCTTCGAGCTAGATAGTCTCTCACTGCGGAATACACGTACCCGGTAAAAAGAACTCCACTTGGCCAGACAGTCGGGCACCAAGCACGGGAGATACATATATCCATGTACAGTAGTTATATATCTGGAATATATATAAATATACATATATACGCATAATATATCTACGTACATACATGAACGTTAAAGGGAGACAAGTAAGCGCGATATCGCAAGGAACGTTGGCGTCGCGACGACTTAAACTTTTCGCACTGGCGGTATCTCAAGTTCCATCGGCAAGATGGCTTCTGTAAACGAAAATGAAGCTCCCTAAAGTTACATAACAATATATACTCCATACGCTCCGACCACGATTGGCCGTTATCAGGAATAGGGGCTCCTTAACTTCTGCCGGAACTACTGTGGTCAAAGGATCCCATTTGGATGGGTTTTTCACAAAGTGTAACGGCCCCTATTATATCCTCTGTTCTGTTCGTGCTCGCTCATTTTGACTTGATATTATCTTCGTTGGAAGATTCCCAACCCCCTGTCTTCTTCTGTCCGTAGTCTCTTCCGACCTGACACATAAATACTTGATCATTTTCATTATAAGTAATCCCGTGGGAGGCAATGGCGTTGGCCATTTTTAAGTGCTCTCTCGCACGCACCTGTTTACTGGTCACGCACTGTTAGAGGATAACATGCTGTCCTACGTTAGTGTATCACATTATAGGGACACAACGCGTGTTATCATGGAGTAACGAGACCGTGATTCTATCGACTTCTGAATTTGGCTGTTTTCGTTTTCTATTTTTTTTCTTTCTTCCACTCTTCGGGAGCGGATGGGTGGCTCTTCGCTTCTGTTATACACGGGCAAATTGCCTATGGCGAATCTGGAAAAAAATGGTTGGACTCGTAAATATTATCGGGGAGAAGAGAAGGGGGTGGGCGGGGGTCCAATCAATTGATTTTTCACCGTACCCTTCATCTCGTATTCCGTTTATAGAAATAGGATAACGAGAGCTTCTCTCTCTCTCTAATCCGAGTGAAGTGCTGATAAGATAAAAAGGATATTCTTCTTATCAATCGTCGAAAAATGATATTCCACGGAACTTAAATTTACATATGGATAAGGTAAAGACATTGGCATCGTATAAGGTACGTACTCCTATGGGGGTGTAACAATTGCGGATCGTAAAATCGAAGGTCATCCCCGATCGATTTCCGTTATCGAATAAATGGGCAATGGGCAGTGGCATGGCACGGACAAGAGGAATAACGAAATCTGACCTCGAACAGGCTGAAGAATGTATTTTCGTGTTTCAATCGGGTCTTCGATAAATCGAGAAAGTTTAATAAATATTTATTGGAAAAGAACAGGCGTCATTTGCCGATGGTGAAAAAGTTCTTAATAACTAGGACGTTCCGGAACGACGCGCAGGGACTGTATGAAATTTACTTGAATGTCCATTGAAAGTTTTGATATTGCCACTTTGATAGTAATAAAGTGATCGATAAAAGAAACGAAGGGATGCCGGGAGCTCTTAGCAAAATGAGAAAGCTAAATACCGATGTCCATTGGTTAGGTTAGGAACGCGAGGACGAGGGATAATAATTAGCGTAAAAAAGGAAAAAATTACGACATTACATATTATATAGGTAAGCAACGGTTACTTGGCGATTTGACGAAAGTAGGCCATGTTGTAGGAATCGATATGTCAGTCCAGTTTCAATTCTGTATGGGATCAATACCGTTCGGTGTACAAACGTCTCCGTGCCGTCGAAGGGCATACCGAACGAAATCCAGAAGACTTTTAACGTTTCGACTGTGACGACGGTAGCTGCCGTCACGGGTGGCGCGAAGAAGCAGTCGACGAGATGAAGAAAATCGAAAAAGAATTAAGGAGAATAAAAAGAATTTGTACTCGGAGACGGAAAGATAACGAATTCCCGTTAATTTTCACGGATCACGAGTAAATTTCAGCAGCACTTTCGATCCTTGACGCGTCGTTCAATTTGCGACCAATTGTCGCTGCAGTCGTATTTTATATCGTCCCTTTTTCTCTAGTGGTAAACTTTTACATACTTATCATTTCCATGGACGATTTACCTTCAGAGTTCCTCAGCTTATTTGAGATTGAACGAACCTCCTGTTGCTCGACGTTCTGAGAGATGACTGCTTTTGATACACGACATAAATGCTGGATATTATTTGATTTTTGAGGAGTTGACGTAAAAAAATGTTCCCTCTCAAGATAGTACAGTCTTTCTATTTCTTTGATTTTTTTTTCTCTTACTTTATTGGTCCAAATGTACGGTGTACAGTCCTTTACAGCAATGACGTTCCACCGGATTAATGGTAAACAGAGATTATTCCACCTGGTGATGGTTTCTTTACTCGATTTTCTATTCCGAGCGGATATTGACGCTTAAGCGGAAATAGAAATGAAAAGAGCTTACCTGGAGGAGCCCACGAATGAAATAGTGAAAAGGGGATAATAATTGGTTAATTATAAGACCTTGGTGTCTTTATGCTATAGTGAGAAACCATCTTCTCCGGGGATTAGGGCACAGGGAGTCTTTCTGAGAAGCCCAGCCAGCTTGGGGTCAAGTTCATCAAGAGGTTGAAAGGGCTGGGACTCTACTAGGAAAGTAACCCCTCCTGAAAGGATGGCAGAACGGAACTTTGGTCAAGAGAAGTGGAACGGAATAGGATTTGATGAGGGATACACGTATATAGGATAGAATGGGGGTCGAGGAAAGTATAGAGAAATGGAGAAAAGTCCTTTTTACGAGGACGCTGCGAATGGCTTGGTAAAAATGGAAGGAGTCTAATCCTGAAGGATGGCGTGCAAGGAGGATGGGAGGGGTGGAAGAGGAAAGTAGCATATAAAAAATAGCATGATGGATTCTTATGGACTCGTAAGGATCTATGGACACGTGGAGAATGTTACGTTAATATATCTATAGAGATTTATATAGATTTATTGGGACAAGGTAGGTTAGGTTTATCAGCTATCAAGTCTTGTGTTCTTGTCTCGTTATTTGCACCGACATTATCGGAATTGCCTTTTACCTAGTTGTATCTGGATATAGCTGCGATGTTTTACTTATACTTTATGCTTCTTTTCTCTTTCTCTCTTTTTTCCATCAAGATAACATGTGTGTTTAATAGACAATTTTCAAATTATATATATGTAAATGTTTATATTTGTTAAGCGCGCAAATGATGCCATGACATTTATCTGGTCATATGTATATTTGCAAGTTCAGGCTTAAATTCAGGACATATGGTAAAGGCCGTCTATTTTTGTGAATACTCCGCCGGTTGGGCGTCCCGAGACGGCAATAAGGGAGACAGTTTAGGGGCGAGCGAAGAAAAAGGTAAAGAACATAAAGTGGAGGAGAACAAACACTCAAGGAATCTCTCAGAGAGTAGCAAGTTTCTTGTGTACAGGTGAAAGACTTCAGAGTTGATCTTGGATTTTACCGGAGTAACTTAAAATTAAGAAAATCGAATGAATAATAAAATGCTCGCTGATCTGAATTCGATACGGATTGATCCGAAATGAGTCTATTTACGTGTTAAGGATGGCGAATCCTTTTTAAAGAACCTCGAGGAGACGTCGCTCTATATTATTCACGATAATCCTGGATAAGTCGGTATATCTGTACTTGGCTAAATGTCAGGTCTAAAAGGGAAACAAGAGTTTTTATCAGCATCCAGAAAGCATCTTTAATTAAAATTCCTTATTGAGAAGCTGCCCGATGGTAGCTAATCATTCGCAATTTCACGAGAGAACGTGACTGAACGGCTTTCGAAAGGAATTTCAATTCGATCTCATGGGGTGTACTAACTAACGTATAAACATAAGTTCACAACGTGAAGCGATCGGGAAAATGTGATTAAAAAAAAAGGAGAACAAACATCGAGTCCCTTGGTTTTAAAAAATCGCCAAAAGTCAAAGTCACAGGAAGTTGTCAGGTGCCACGAAGCACTTCCGGGTTCGCTAAGAGCCCGTCGCTCACCGAGTGAGAAATGTTTGCGGAAGAGCCGCCATTGTTGTTTCTATTTAAAATTATCGTCTCATAACCATGGAACTGTCTTGTTCTTACAAATACAACCTGAGTAGATAACACGCAGATATTATATTATATATATATATATATATATTATATTATATTATATATTTTTTATTAGTTGTTCGTACGAAATGATTCCGCTTTTTAAAGAATTTTTCCGAATGGCACGTCACCCTGTACACCTAACTTTTTTAACCTAACTCACCGAGAGGATCGATAGAACGATAGGCATAAGTCCACAGGCAAGAATCTATCTAGGACTATATCCCTGTCGTCAATTCCCATCGATGTGGGATCGGTAGCATGACCAAGGGAACGTAACATATGTATACACTAATGCCATAGGTGCATAGTACGGTAAATGGATATGTAATACAACAATGCAGAGCTTTCATCCGAACCGTAAAGTACAGGACGTTTGAATGTATCGACAGGTAGAATATCGGTAACCACTAATGGTCCATAATGGAGACAACCACGTACATAGTAGCGTAACGAAATTATTGGATTCTCGAAGCAAGACATTGTCTCCACGAGGACGTAATTCGTTCACGGACGCAGGGTACTCGATGTCTGATGGAGTATCGAGCGAATTGCACAGAGGTTCATACGCGTATAAGCTGATTATATACATCCTGGAGAACTTGAGGAAGACCGTACTCTTGGAGAAGGATGGTTGCATCGGTTCTTCCACTCGAGGTATCGTCACTAGTCAGACACCGTCTTTCTATCACGTCCTGCAGATCCTGCCAAAGCGACTGGCAACTTGTGGCCAAAGGTCGTTGGGCTCCTGGAAGATGGAAATAGGGTCAGGTGAATCTACATTGTCAGGGAGATACGAGAGTGATACCAGTTGGGAAACGGAGGAATGGGCCCTTGGGCCTTTGGAGTCCCACTTGTCCTCGTATCAGCTCTTGGCCTTCTGCTCAATGCGTACGTCCTTCTCGTCGTGGGACTTACGAAGCAGGTAGTACTTGGTGTCCGAGACTGTTTGGTTTTGTAATTTTGAAATTAATTAAATTCATATTTAACCATAATTATGTCAGACTCAACAACAACAGACTACAAATACTGTCTTACTGATACATCTCGGTGCCGTGGAAGCTGCTGTTTGTCTGGTCTTACTTGTGTTTACCACGGGAGGTTGGAACGTGGCGGGGACGTCCTGCGTCCTTCATGGTTTTCTACTTGCTTTACTCCACCCCGTTGCACTCTGGACCGTAACGGGTTTGAATTGCGATAGGTAAGGAGCCTGTTAGGATTGATGAATATTATTCATGAGTTTATTATTAATGGGTTTCCTTTGGGGATGAGATTAGGTACTACGCCATTGCTGCTCCTTTGCATTACGCCGCCCTAGTCTCGCCAAGACGAGTGGCCGTAGGTCTGGCAGCTTCGTGGACTGGTGCCCTACTACTCTGCCTGCCACCGTTTTCCGGCCTGGTACCACCGTACGCTTATAGTCCAGGTCTAGGTTGCTGTGCTCCCGACTTTGGAAACGGTGCCTGGGGCTCGGCCGCTGCTTGGTACGGGGCAGTTTATGCCTTCCTCGGCCTCGGCCTCCCAGCCGTTCTCGTCACGGTATGCAACCTTCGTGTCCTCGGCATAGCACGCTATCACCGTCATCGGATCGCCAGTGCCATCTACGAGGTCACCCTAAGCGCACAAGTGACCATCACGCATCAACGTAACCCCTTCTCATTCGTGCCGACCGTGACTGCACCCTCGGCTGGGGGACCACCACGTTTTCACAGTGCAGCCACTACGGTTGGTGGACCTTCTTCTTCTTTCCAGGAAGCATTTTCTCATCAGGATCATCTTGGAGATGGAAAAGGAAAGTATCAACGTTGATAAGAATATCTTTGTTTTTCAGGTTATGCAACTCGTTGGTTCTTTGTATCTTCTGTATTTTCCTTACTGTGGTATGATTGTCTGGGAAGCTTGTGGGGCTGGTAGTCAACCGCATTTACAGGTTCATCCAAAATTTGCCTCAGTGGCGTCCCTCCTCCTTGCTTGCTCTCCTCCGGTTAATGGACTTCTTTACGGATTGAAGTCTCGAACCCTGAGAAGGTCCGTGCAGAATTATTGGAGAAAAAAGGCCACCAAGTCTGAGTTGCAGCAGGTACCCTATCCCCCTGACCTTTTAATCATGTCTCCTGGCCACTATGGTAGATTCTGAATATCATTGGTTTCCAATTATCAATTATTTATCCAGGAAATCCAGGCACGAACGCCCAGTGTAGCTGGCTCTCGACGTCCTTCGGGAAGTGGTGCTCCGTTCCTCCCGTTTCCTCCTCTCCAGAGGAGACTCAGCGAAGCACTCATTTCCTTTGCTTCCTACAGATCAGGGAACAATTTTGAGAGTAGAAATATTAGAAACACTTTTTATCGCAATAGACTGCAGCCAGCCGCTTCGTGTAACACTTTGAGAGTTCCTACCAGTGAATCAGGTAATTTTAATAGAGATCAAGCTCGTCACAGAGTCGACATATTACGCTTCTTGTAATTCCTATTCAGGTGAAACCGGAAGACTCGTTAGGTCCAGTGCGAGTGCAGCGAGTCTCATGGGCGCACATTATCAAAGCGAGGTTAACGGTGAAAACGCAACTACTAACTTTGATACCAACCTTAGATCAAAATGCGATGTAAAATCTAGTGAAACTCCAAAAAGAAGTCCTCGTATTTTAATTACCAGAGCGTACAGTGAAGAAAGTCGAGGTGGCGGCAGTCCACTCTTACGGAAACCATTCGGATCCAATGTCACGGCTGCTGCACCATTTGAAAGTTAGTCACACTTAGAGTCTAGAGTTTAATTATATTTTATTCCTGGTCGATCAAAGTTTCCATTTGCTTGCAAAGAGCGAAGATGGAGGCATCGAAGTACTGGAAGCGACAGTAGTACCGGAAGTAGCGAAGGTGGAATCTGGACGACAGGAGTCGCACCAAAAATCGCTAAGACTAATGTCAGGAGCTCCACGGAAATATGGCCAATGGGTCGGCGATTTACCAAAGTCAAGACTCTCGAGGAAGGCGCGATCTTCGCAGCTGTCAGACCGAATAACAACAGTGAGAGCAGCGACACCACCGATACAACGGCAACAACCGTTACTACCACCTCAACGCTCTTGACAAGGCCTCTACAGGAGGTAAGTGGACGTGTTTCAAATTTTGAGAATGCTTTTGAAAAATTATCGAACCCCTTCGAATACCTTTTGCGAGTAGGAGAGACAAAAGGAGGAGAATCTCGATTCTCTGAGGGAAATTGAAAAAGATACAGAAAGGGAGGATAGCGAGAGTGAAGGAAGCTGGTGCAGTCCGGACGAGGATGACAAGGAAGACGACGACGATGACGACGACGATGACGTTATTGAAACTTTCGAAAGTGACAACAAGGATAAGACAAAGAATCGCCAAAAGCAAAAGGACAAATCGAAAAATGTTCATAACGTCCGTATGGAAGACAGTGAAAGAGTCGCTCAACTTAGGCCTCTACTGACGTCTTCGTCGTAGTTAATAAAATAAAAAAGAAGGATAAGTACTACCGACAGAAATGCACACGGGGAACGGACGGGAGGAAAATAAAAAATTTGTTTTTATTCATATCCCATAAAAACAAAAAGATATGCGCCATCTTCGTCAATCCAGCCACTCATTAGGTCAACCAAAAATTCTGTGCTTAAAAGAAGAAAAAAAAAAAAGATAAAACAGGCAGAACGACATATCCCAATATATATTTTTATACTTCCTCTACCCCGACGTGATCTGCCTGACGTGCGAGTGACAGACCATTCAGACTGCCAATAGGAATCTTGAAAGGACGATTACTTATAGAATCGCATAACAGCAATACATAATGTACCCTATGTACTTCTCTTCATGACGTTCCCTTTCGCACCGATCCCTAGACTCGTCTAATATGCGTACGTTATTTAAACACGCGACCAAGGGTACGTGTGTAATTAGGCCTCCTACAATTAGACTCGAATAATTATCGACTTCTCGAAAAACGACTGGAGGTTATTTTAAATGTGCTAAAAACGTATAAACCAGGTGTGCAGAAGTTAGTGAATTATTAGATGATAGCAGTTGGAATCAACATTGATATTCTCTCGTAAGTTAAGTTACGAGTAAACGAAAATTCTGTAACGTCAAGTGTGTGTATATTTGCGATGTTGATAGTTAATGGTGCTCCTTAGAAAGAGCATGATCCAATCTTTAAGTAGGATTGCGCTCAGACTGTCCATTCCCTTGAATATATATAATATACATATATACGTCTCATTCCTGTGGATCGGTACGAAGTAACATACGTATGTACACGAAGATTCTGTCCATTTTGTTTTCTGAGTATAAAAAAAAAATTAGAAGAACAATCGCTGTCCATATACTAATACGTAGGATATTAAAAAAAAATAATTTATCAAAAATAGGGAAACAAGGTAAAACGTCAAATTATTCGAGAATATCACGAAAAAAAAGGGGGGAAAAAAAAACGACTACACTATTTTTCGTGCGTAGCAAAGCGTGAAGTATAATGTACGCGCACGTAAATGTTGATGTAATAATTATGCAATTTAAAGAGTGTCAGTGTTTAGAAGCATATAAAAACGTATGAGTGTGCAAAAATAAAAGACGAGCGTTATTCGCGCATTAAATTTCGATTTGGTCATATGACAATGCATCCCTGTCATCTGTCAATAATATTTAAGAGAACTGTCATCGATTTTATTATCATTATTTTCTACCCACCTGTTAATCTGTAAACACTGTACGCACTGTACATATATGTACTGCCACTCCCTACAAAATGCCATGCCTTCTTTAAGGCCCTGATTACATCGAACTTGTCCCAGAGTCTCCGAACGATTGGGATTTACGTGCGCCGCACACAAAAGTCAACTCCCTAGACGCAACGCTCAGCCTTTCACGAGGATTGGAGCCTATAGACGGCCGAGAATGAGTTACGTAAAAATAAAGTCTGCCTACCGTTTCGTATCTGTATGAGAGAAATGATGGTCTATTGGGAACAAGAGGAAGAGGCTTGTGGTGTGTCCTACACAGTCCTGCCAAAACAACATTCGTCAGCAGGTTATACTTAATAGCAGCGCGAGTAGCACTGGCACATACAGCCCATCGTAACCTATACAGTAGAAAAGATTGTGACGCCTCTTAGAAACATTGTTCAAACGTACCAAGCAGATCGACAAGGTTCAGCAATATTTCTGAACCGCATCGGAATATTTCGTGCAGTATATACAGGTGGTTGAATTCTTGTGAAGAATTTAATAGGAATTTTATCTTTCCTACGATCAAAACAGTGTCTGGCATCAGAGTCAACCGAAAATGCCGTACGAATTTGACTTCGAGAGAAACCATCACGAAAGGTAAGCCTGATTTATGAATGCGTTCATCGCGTTGGCAGAACTGAACCGCAGTACCTTTATTAAACTTATTATATTTAACATTAGCATTGTATGGATAACGTGGAGAACGTGGTACGTTTAACGTGACCAGTTTCTAAGGAAAGGGGTACCCGGTTATGATTTCGCGTAGCAGTATGTACGTCTTTGTCTAGCGCGTGTTAATACACATAGATCTGTCTCTCTCGCACTCGCGATAGACATAGGAAACGTGGAAAAATCTTACTCCTCCAACGACCATGTACTTTAAATGCCGTTTCACATATCCTACATATTCATCTATGATTCAATGTTGTTGGAACGCAATCGCATTAAGTGACCTTCCAACAGTTAATCATTTTTCTACCTATACAACTGCTAGTTGATCATAATTGACAGTGACACGAGTTTGGTCTCTCCCTTCACAGTCACTTTATAACTTGCAATATACTGACTAAGCACTCTTCTTGCCAGTCGCCACTAGCGACTGGTAAGTTCCAGAACACATCTTGTCATCAATATTCTTATCAGTCTGTTTATCCATTAAATAGTTAAATTATTACTATAGCGTTACTTGGCTTCTGTATATGTCGTAAAACTTGGGTGGTAAATACAGTGTGCTATACTGTCTTGTGTTTAGCTGAAATTGCACATTCGAGTCAGTTCTTGTGAACGGAACCGGAAGTTGGGAGGAGTGGAATGATGCCGTGGCAGGAAACGGAAGAGGAAACCCATGAGAATCCTTTGTCCCATTCTTCATTGACCTTTTTGGATCGACGGTAATTAAAACCTGAGGAATTGTCTGGGGCCGTGACTATTTGATCTAAAAAAAAAAAAATTGTTATACTCCGCTGTCTAATGAAATTTCGATAAATGTTGTTGGCAACTAAATTGAAAAAGGTACCCCTTGAAAGCTTTTTTACGATGTACGGCACTGGAGGCACTGCGCATACTCCAATCGATTTTACACGACATTTGGTTGAACGTGATCTCTGGGTCACTCGGTTCGTGTTTGGCCTGTGGAAAATCTTTGAAATTCCTCGGGCAGGATTCTCCTTCGTGGGAAAGACTTTCTGTGACATGCAGCTGGATATCTGGTGGCAAGATGACGTATTGTGAAAATTGGTCCACGTTACGGATACCTTTAATGTACTGGGAGAACTCTGAGGAAATTCGTGACAGTCCTCGTGGAAGGTCTGCCGTGTTATGGAATCTTGGAGTTGCAGTACCGTCATCTCCGGGAGGAATATATCTCATAGAAGAAAAATTCGGTCTTCCTCAAGTATGAGCGAAAATTCCATGAAAAATTCCATCTGCGGAAAACAGTGCTGTTGTTTGCGCTACGGGGTAACGAAACCTGAGTCACAATATCAGTCCTGGAGGTTTTGGCACGTGGTCAGGCGCGGTAGGATCAAGGTGTCAGCCTTTGAAGATGCTTCCATCGAAAAGTGAGCCTAACTTGGGATCATCCGATGGTCTTGATACTCCATTCTTGATAGTCGTAGCTTGTAGTCAGTGATCGACAGTCAGGAAAGAGCTTGCTTACGTATGCCAGTAGTGCTTCTGAAAATTGCATAGGATGAACGATAACGTTTTAGGCGGCAAGTTCGAAAGAGAATTTTCATTCTGGTTATGCTGGTCGCCGCTGTATTGATCCTTGCGACGATCCTAGGCGTCACTCTCAGTGGAAGTAGTTCAAGTCTTCAAGAGACTGCCGAGGCCGATTCTTTGATTCCACCTGATCCGCTGGAAGCTCCACCGCCATCCTGGAGCCGATTGAGACAGTTCAAACGAGGCGCAGTCTGTGCTGATGGTGCTCCATGTGCTCTTATTGGCAAGTACGTGTATCCTGGTGAAATCCCAGATTCTGAATTATAAGTAATTTTATTCATTCAGATCGATACTTGATCGCAATGGATCAGCTGTGGATGCTACGTTGGCCGCCATGATTTGCAATGGTTTAATAAATATGCAAAGCATGGGATTCGGAGGGGGATTCCTAATGACAATTTACGAGCGTGCAGCACAGAAGGCCATTGTTCTTAATGCCAGGGATTGTGCACCTCAGGCTGCCAGGACCAACATGTACGAAAAGGAAGACAAGGATGCTTCGAAAGTCGGTAAGAAGAAATTTTCGGTATCGACAAGTCAATAATTACTTGAAAAAGGTGAATAGACTTTTCGTATAGAAGCTCGTTTCAGGTGCCCTGGCCAGTGGTGTTCCTGGTGAATTAGCAGGATACTGGGAAGCCCATCGAAGATTTGGCAAGTTACCATGGTCAGAAATTTTTCAGCCAAGTATTGAACTTTGTGAAACTGGATACAATTTGACTCAAATTCAGTACGATGGATTATTAGCTAATAAAAATAGCATCCATAGAGATCCTACGCTGAAGTGAGTAAAACGACAGATTATATATTTTCATAAAATATCCAAAAAAATTCATAGCTGACATTTATTTTTCTTTTTTAGAAAATGGTTCGTGGATCCAGAGACTAATGAATTCAAGAAAGCAGGCTCTGTCATAAGACCCGAGGAACTTTGTAGGACTATGAAAATAATAGCAAGAAAGAGTGCAGGAGAGCTATACAATGGAACATTGGGTAAAACATTGGTCGAGGACCTGAAACAACGCGGTGGTATTATCACTATGAAAGATTTAAACGATTACAGGTAATTAGCGAAAGTTAAAATTGACCTGACAAAGTAATTCAACCTAACGGAATGACTTGAACTTCAGAGCAAAATGGGAAGATCCGGTTGAAACAAAATTATCAAACGGAGAACAAGTGTTCACGGCAGGCTTACCCGGCAGTGGAGCCTTGCTCGCGTTCGCTCTGAACGTTTTAGATGAATTCAAATTCTCAGCGAACAGCCTGGCTGATGTCAACAGTACCGTCACGACCTATCACCGAATTATAGAGACATTCAAATACGCCTACGCCTTCCGAAACAGCTTGGGCGATCAAGATTTCGTTAACCTGACGGACGTACGTTTCAACCGAATTAATTCCTCCGTACGATTTCGTCCAGTTAAATATCAATCGTATCTTGACTCTTCCTTCCTTAGATACTCGGGAATTTGACGTCGAAAGACTACGCAAGGTCCATCAGAGAGAAAATAAATGACAACAGAACCTGGAATGATCCTGGTCATTACGGCGCCTCTACAGCTGGTGATTTCGGTGATCACGGAACAGCACATATCTCTGTCTTAGCACCAAACGGCGACGCTGTTTCCGTCACCAGCACAATAAATATCTAGTAAATATATTCTCGGAATATATAAAGTATTCTGAATGACTCGAATGAAATTAATTCATTAAAATCTTAATGAAGCTTTGGCAGTGGAATCGTCAGCCAGAGCACAGGAATCCTCATGAACAGTGGAATGGATGACTTCGGTATTCCATCTCGTTACAGTTACTTCGGTTTACCACCAAGTCCAAATAATTATATTCAACCTGGAAAGCGAGCTCTTTCGTCCATGGCACCAACTATCCTGGTCGAGAATAACGGTGAGGTTAGGATGGTAATCGGTGCTGCCGGAGGTACCAAAATTACGACTGCTCTAGCCTATGTAAGTAATTCCAGATCCTGGTACGATATTTACCTTCTGAACACGATCCTTCGTCCTCCTCTTTTACGTGTATTTCCTTTCCTTTTCTTTATCCTCGTTCCGTATTCTTTTCAGACGATAGCCAGACAACTCTGGATGAATAATACGATCAAGCAGGCTGTCGATGCTGCCAGGATTCATCATCAGTTGTTCCCCATGAAGATCATTTATGAATTCGGTGTGCCAGCACAGGTGATCGATGGTCTCAAGAAACTGGGTCATCAAACTGCTCGATATAGAAATCGTGGTAGTGTCGTTTGTGTGCTTGTTCAACAGAATGGTACTGTTTATGCAAATGCCGATTTCAGAAAAGGTGGTGACGTTTACGGCATCGACTGAGCATAAACTTCTAGGAGCCTCCATATTGTTCTTCTTCTAAACATTCTTATCGCAAAAGATGTTTTGACTTTTCACCAGACGTCAGACACCCAGCGCACCAAATTCTCATATTTGATTAGATAATATCAAGTTATTAACGTGAAGCAATAGATACAGCATTGTGTAATTTTCGTAGGAAATATAAAATTCACATCTGACACGTGAGTAATTAATGAGTGATAAATATTGATTTTTATTGCCTGCTCATACTGCGCCATCCAATGAGTCATTCATTATTTTCGAAATAAATTCCTATAGGCTGATTAATACTTTTCAACCAAATAAGAAACATTAATTGAAACATTTAATAAGCGCAATGAAATTTTCTATAAAAATATATTTTATAGGTTATACCTGTAAAGGTAGGCGGGGAGAGCACAAGCTCTTATTCGAGTTTTAAATTAACTTCAATTTCTCGTCTATTCGTCATTTCCTTATTTTCGCTAAATGTTGTTTCACTGTATGCACTTAAAAATGTAGGAATAACGATACGGTTCACGAGACGTCAGCATTTCAGTCGCATAAAAATGAGACATCGCAAAAAAATATGATATCGTGTTTCATAAATTGACAATTTATCAAAGATCGACACAGTTTTCGTGTTAGGTTATGAAAGAGGAATGAAAATAAATAATACTTGCGTTATCGTGTAGTTGGTGCAGATATGATCCAAGAGAGATAAACACGATCGAGATTATTCCTCGCCAGAAGCTAAATATCAACTATGGCAGACCAGCCCAAGATCTGAGAAACTTACTGACGAAAGGATGCACGTAAACTGCATAGTATAGTACTTGCAGTAAATACTTTTACAATGCTATACTAAAGGCTGTTGTGTATAAGTAGTGTACATATACTCCTTCAGGCCACAACCGTATTAGTAAGATAAAGGTGAATAGTTGCCGTATAAGGAGACATGTGCCTACGCGTCGAAATACTAACGGGATATATTAACAAGATATAGCAACAAACAAGAATAATTTCCAAGACTCGACAGACTAGTTCCATACACAATCAGTACAGACATAACATCATTCTATGGTTACAATCTTCGTGCAACAGTGTTGTTGATGTTACTGTACATAGAGATATTAATATACATACATATGTAATTCGTTTAAAGAAAGGAATGAGCGGATGATATAATTAAATCACAAGATGATCAAAGTACTTTGTCAGTGTTAAATCATGGCACGAAATGGGATTTGCAAATACTTTTTGTATCTACTATACGTATCTGACTCTCCTGAAACGGTCATCAATACAAAACGGCAACGTAATTAAATTTATGTTACCTTGGAGACTCACACTGCTGAATATTCACTGTACGAAATTGACTTTGAGTGCGAGGACGGGAAATTCTTGACACTGATAGGATGCAGAGGTCCGACGATCTGTACGTCAGCTTTTTTTTACTTGTGTAGGCCGTTTCAAAATTTACTGTACGTGTTTCACACGTTATTTTGTCTCTTTTTTTCTCATCGAGCATCTAAAAAAAAAACGCAAATTAGGTAATTGTTACTGTAAGTTTTAGGGCACAACGAGGTTTTGAATACATATTTGAACGAGTTTGGGTAAATTCAAAATTCACAGCATTTCTAATATTTGTTCTGATATGTGGAATTAAACTAATCCCATGAAATAAGAACGAGAAGAAATTTCACAATCTATGTTAATCGTTCTTGGATAATTGCGCATAATCATGGATTGCCGGCAGAAGAACCATCTGGAATATTCAATACTCCAGAATATTCCATACCTTCTAGTATTTTATACTCCGGTATTTTGGATTATTTGATATGTCATATGCATATGTGTCTTCAAAATAGCGACGCTTCAAGAAATGTTATCTTCTTCAAGCCTGAAACAGTTTGACATATTGACTTTATGAAAGCTGGAAAAATAACTAAAGCTTACATTTTACCACGTCAGCGATTCTCAATACATTCGTGTAATGTTTCAGTACAAGTTCTTTTAATTTCTAGTAAAGAAGGATACAAATACATATAAACAGTCTCCTAGACTAGATAGGGTTAAAATAGAAAGGAGATCGTTCTGGGAGTACTGCATGTCTTTATGTACAATCATTTGCACTTCTGACAATGCCGTGTCCCAAAATGATAGCGGATAGAAACTCGATAGATACCGAGCTCACAGAATCCCCACCATTCCCTCTTGCGCCTTGAACGTGTCACACCCAGAGTCACACCATATCCCGTACCAGTCATCAGTAAAATGAAGAAAACAACAAGCCATATATGTATTACCGGTCTTCAGCACATTTTCAGAGAGGTCGGAAAGAGTATCTGCGTCTCCATTGCGCATGTGTATCCCCACTATTCTTTTTAATAATGTTGCCAAACATACCGGCGTCCCACGTGATAAAAATCATTGAAAAACAAAAGCCCGAGGATTGGCATTCCAATGAAAATTATATGAGGACAATTGAATTAGAGTTTATATTAAATGCCGATAAATACCATTATACACTGTCTAAAGAATCCACGTGAACAAATGCCACTTCTTCGTTTCGTTGCATTGTGATCCGTATATAATTCGACCAATACTAAGAAAATGGTGGAATAAACGTAATGCGAACGTCCGACACTGTGAGCAAGGCTAGTCGGTGCGCATGTGCGAACCGTGAGAGCATATAAAAAAGGAGCGGCAACGGGACGAACAACGCAGTATCGAGGAAACCGTGAAAGCGAGTGGATAAGCGTTACCTAGAGAGAGTATCTCTGCAGTGTATCTGCGATATAATTTTTTTCGAGTAATTTGTTAAATCACCGAGTGAACTATGTCGGAGCAGAATTACGACGAATACGAGCACTTCAATTACGATTACGACAAGCACATCTTTACTGGACACGGCGGTAAACAGCGTAGTAAACGTGAAGCTGTTTTTCATACGAATCACTTCGATCCCAGCGGCCATTCCAGAAAGATCGTGACCAAGCTCATGAATTCTGAGCACAACAAGAGACAAGTTCCCAAGGACAAACCTTAGAGCGCAGGTATGGTTATTGATGAAATCCTAATATCTCATTGCTACTTTCTTGCTTTTGATTAGTGTTTGTGATTTGTCAGAAAAGACGCAGTATAAGATGGCCTCTTATACGCGAACAAAGAAATTGACAATTTATAAGCTAACGATTAGTAGCATAATTATATTATCTGACCTTTTATTTATATTGGTAATATCTTATTTCAGATCTCGAAGATTCCACGTTCCTCAACCATTGGTAGAAGGGACGATCGTGGACCTCCTGTTTCCCATATGAGCTTATTTAGGAGGTCATTAGTCTCTACAACGTAATTATTGGCAATCTCGCCCAGTCAGCGATCATGGAGTCTTTGTCTCTTCGTTCTAAATAGCGACAATTAGTCATTTAAGTCATTTACATTATATATTGCATCATCATCGATGTCACAGCGCTAGAGATCGCCTTAAACATATACATATATATATAGGATTAACCAAAAAAATTGAGTGTATCAAGGTGTTTGCTGACGAGCCGCCTGTTTCCTGACTTTTAGACATAAGTTTAAATCATCGATGTCTCTCAGTAGAAAAATCGATTATAAATAAATCTTAAAGTCGTTAGGATTACTTTTTTTTAAGTTTTTTTTCCATCTGAGCGAGTTGTGATTATCTCGCTCTCATTAATATCAATAATAAAGTCTGTATGTTGAAGCAGAGGAAAATGCAATAAAGAATACTTGCAGTAATCATCTTTTTACTCTTCTACCTTCTCTTTTTAAGTATTTGCAACAGTTTATATAACAATTTCATCTACTATAGCTTCTTCACTCTGAGTCATTCATTGTTCTGCTCTCTTGGAACTAGATTTTGTATAATACAATGAATGGGTAATGCTGCGTTAGCTTGTGTGGCGAATAACGTGCAATATTGTACATACAATTCGTTTCGCTTCACGGTTCCACGAGGATAAAGAAACTACGCCGTGGCCTTTTATTTTCTCCCACTACTTGGTCAGCTCCGATAGTGGCGGACACCTGCCTTACGTTTGTGCACGTTGTATGCTATGTAAACATTGCATGTACAGTCGCTGCATAAACGTTTTGTCGTTTAAAAAATTATTCACTATTTGTTAAAATTATTCAACTTTTAATAGGAATATAGGAATATTTAGTAACATCTCTCTTATAAAATATCAAGCAGTAAAAAAAATGTATATGATGATTACTGAAGCGTCAATCGATGCTCATCAAAGTTCACTTCGTGCCTCAAGATACCGGTCAGAATGAATTCTGGTGATACTAATGGAACATTTTTTGGCGCCTTGGAAAGGAACTTTTTGGCGTTTGCTAAATCTTCTTCACGAGATATTACTATTGTCTTCTTGTTCCAGGTGGTAGGTGGCTTTAGGAGCGGTCTTGCTCCACAGTTTTTTAATATCTCTGTAAGAATGAGACAGTTTTCATGTTTTTATTCGTATAAATAACGATTGATGACTCACCTTTGAACTCTGCGATTGACGGTGGCGCCACGTTAGGTGTTAGTAGTACGTCGTAATCTTTTAAAAGTTTTTCAGCCTGCGCTCTCTCTAGACTCTCTCTTAAAATAAATTGGAATTTTAATTCAGCACTATGATCGTGCAGAATAAAATTTTCCATATCTAGGAAATGACCAGATTTTTCACTCTCAATTAACCATTCGACAGATACTATTGGAACCGGTCTGGCCATAACACAGAGAAACTTGAATGTCCTTCGTACCTTGTCAGTAACAAGTACTGTACAAGTAGATGGACTTTCAGTTATCGTCCCACCTGTAATTTTGGTATTCTTATTAGTACATTTTTTTACCTTATTCAAGAAGTTATCCTCACCTAACTTTTGTATGATTTTGCGATAATCGTTCTGCGTGACACCTGTAAACAGTATTCTCTGCCTTCTCTTAGATGGCGACATCAGACTCAACATCGATGAATTATTCTTGTTAACAGATGCCGTTGAGATGTTTAATATTGATGAATCAATACTTGTATCTGCTAGATTTTCAATTTCAACTTCATCCAGTTTACGTTTCCTTGCTCTACCTCTTCCTTTCTTAGGTGTTCTTATTGTAGACTCTTTCGAAGTATCCATCACGGCAGAAATATCTTTCTCATTGTTATCACTTGGTGATTTTTCATCAACCAAACCTCTCTCAACGGTAGCTGATTTTGCACGTCGAGTTCGTGCTGGTTGAGTTTGGGACATTGTAATATTTTCGGTTAACTTTGGTGGCTCTATTACACTCTTTGGGAGTGTTGAGGATTGTTTCGTTGCTCTTGTTCTTCTTGGAATTTTTGTGGGTTTCCCAAATATGACTTTGCGACTCGAATCATTGGAGTCAATAGAAATATTGGTATCATTCGTTGTTTCATTTTTTATCTCTGTATTAATAACGTTACTTCTCTTGGATTTTCTGCTGGGACATTTTCTTCCACTTGTTTCCTCTTTTTCATTTATATTGATACCTGTGGTATTGGACCACTTTGTTATAATTTCGTCGATCTCCTGTGACTCTGATCCTGGCTCGTCCTCCTTCTTAGATTCGATTAATTTGGTTTTCATATTTTTATTTTCTTTCCGACTCCCAATGCGAGCTGACTTTTTTCCCAATTCGCTCGAGACCTCCTGAAGCTCATCCTTAATAACAAAGGAACAATTCCATTTTGTATCGTCATCTATTTTTTTTATTACAACTTTTAACTGCTTTCCATTTAATAATGATTTTTCACCCATTGGGTCGCAACTTACATTTTCGTCGAACGTCTTGGTATTCTCGCTGCGCGTTTTCGCCCGCGAATTTCTCTCCTGCGCTTTAACAATCGTTCTTAACGGAGCTTCCTTCTCGACCTGAAAAACAGACGATCGCTCATCATCCAATTTATTGCACGGTGAATTTTTCTTATTATTGCCTATAACACTGACTGATAAGGAACAACTTTGACGGTCCGTAGATAAAAGAGAACGTCCAGGTAATTTATTATGCAATACTGTATCAAATTTCCTGACGGATCTTGTTGTCCCTTTTTTACTCGGAACCGCATTACTGGAACCGTAAACAGATTTCACGGCCAACATTCTCTCTGCTATGTTCTTTATCTCTTCAAACTCCATTTCATCGTCGGAAAGTTCTGCGACAACTTTAGCTGATATCTTTCTTTTACTGCCAGCAGGTTTCTCAGGGTCTAGGTTCAAGGAAAATGACGACTGCCTCGAGGATGATCCTCCTAAGGAATACTTTACAATACGATACGGTTCGCCTTCGTCTCTATTCATGCTAGAACTAGGAGAGTCTCTTTTTCCAATGGATTTGTCCAGTTTCCGGTTGTTCATCTTAATTTTCGCAGCAGTCCGCCGACCGGGCTTCTTAGTGCCCTTAAACAAATTATTGGTTATGGGTTTTCGTAAAATAACAGGATTTGACAAGGTACCTGAAATATACACGGGTGGAAATTCAGCCAAAATATCTACCTCATCCTTCGGCCAGGGTGTCAATCTTTCGGGTAACGTTTCGCCGCAGCTTTTTCTATCCGACTGGCGGCTTCTCGAATTTTCCTTTTTGAAATCTGTCTCAGTCGGAACATTCTTCGTTTCTTCAGTTTCCTTCTGATTGAGTTCGTTATCCGCCGTCTCTAGCTTCTTACGTAATGATTTTTTAGTCTTCGTCTCAGGATTACGTCTGGGTGACTTCTCAATAGCTGCTTCCTGGGTTGACTCCAGCACGTTCAGAAGCGTCTGTGACGACATTTGACAATGCTCCATCCCTCCGTCCTTATTACTCGATTCGTTAAACATACTTTTAAGATTAGTCTCGATATTATCATTCCAAGTTCCTTCTGTGTCTTCAGAATCCGTCAGAGGCATTTTAATTCTTCTGTACGTTTTTTTGCGCGATGGACTCCTCTGTTTTTTGGATGCTACTTTAGATGACGTCTCAACGATATCATCGATCCTTTGAGTCGGAGCCATTTCGTAATCTATGTTATGTTCGGTGCTTTCACTGGACACATTTGACGCTTTCTCAGTTGATTCTACGTCATTGACTTCCAGAATTTGGGTAGGCTGTGACTCTATGTCCACCTGCTGATCATCCTTAGGAGGAATTTGCGTTGGCGCTGTGAAAAAATCAACGTCTTCCTCGAGGACAATTGGAGGATCTGTGCTCCCTGACTGATTTGACAATTTATTTGTTTCTGTAATCGCCTTCTTCTCTTTAGTGCTAATTTTCTGAGTGAGAGCATCGAATATATCATTATCGTTATCAGGTTTCTCGATGCTAGAATTCTTTGATTCCTTCGCGTTTGAATTGTCTTTTCCTTTATCCTTCTGTGTGAATCTTTCAAAAAGTCCTTCTTCATCTGTTTCCGAATCGTCCTTAGTCTCGGATTTCTTTGGATGCCTCGATTTCTTTTTGTCGACATAATCTTCGAAAATTCCCTCCTCATCTGTTTCAGAGTCATCATCCATCGTTTTCTCTGTTATATTTGATTTTTCATTATCGATGCACTGAGTTGGCGCATCATACATATCAGTATTTAAACAATTATTAGACTCAACATTTAGATTAGAATTAACTTTCGCCGAGGCTGTAACGTCGCTTCTATCTTTGTAATTTCCATCGCGGGCATTCAATTTGTCAGACAATGGTCCGTAAAAATCCTCAACCCTTATCAAAATGATGCTGCCTTCCGTATCGGAGCGTCCGTCGTTTTCGCCAACGTGACTATTCACCGGGCTAGGCGGTAATGAGATATTCAGAAAATTCTGTGAGGACGAATTTGAATTCTCCGAAGGATTCAACGTCCCTTCCTGGCTCTTTGACTTTGTACTTTCGTCTATAATCTTCTCCTCATTCACTTTTCCCGCTTTTTCACCTCTTATCCCATCCACCACAAATATCTGCGTTTCCGCATCGTGGATATCGAATGTTGGTTGCGATTCGTTTCCATGTGCTTGCGAATAGCTTTCGGTTTCCTTATCAAAAATACTGACCTCGTCCTTTTCATTTTCAGAATTCGAAGGTCGCACATCTATCGCCATATCATTGTCATTCAATAAGATGCCAGTGACTGTTTCCACAGCATCAGCAGATACATTTGCCGTGTTGTTTTTGGAGATAAGTTGTGCAGGTAACGAGGGAAGTCGAAAGACGTTTGATTTTTCGAGCTGAGTTCCAGGAATAACGGAATCGTCATTTTCGCACGTGGATGAATTATTCTACACAAATACACAATCAGACTTGTATCCTTAAACTTAAGAACTCCAAGTAATTCAAATAAACCTTCTTATCCTCTTAAACTCACCAATGAAGAATCAGGTGTACCGGGAATTATGTTCTTTTGCTTATTTTTATTGTTTCCTGATAACGGCGTTATCGGTATTATAGAATTCTCCATCAAGACGTCATCATTACCATCCAGTACCTTGTAGGTGGCTTTTATTTGACCCATAGTGATAACGTTTCCATCGTTCAGCTGATAGAAGAGACCCGGTCGAAGGCACCGCTGACAAAAAAAAAACATAATTTAACATAAGTAAGCTCTCTCAAGTAGAGTTAAATTGGACTCGTTAATGTTACAATAAAACGTAATAAGAATTATCATGCAATTTAGCTTATCATTGAGTAACTATCTTGCAATTGCAGCATGTTACACAGTCAGAGAATATTTACAACAGTCTATGTACGAACAGACTGTGAAATTAAGATATATAAAGAATTGCAGCCATTATTTACATTGTTTATTACAGTTCTGTTGGCAGATCTCAGGTCGCATATGAATGTGTTATTTTCTTTGCCTGCATCGATCTCAGCATGTTCCTTGGACACCGTCTGAAATCCAAAGAAAAGAGAATGTGTTCATACGCGACATTATTAAGTTTATCTCCTGGAGGTTGATCGAGCTCAAACGAATCCTATTTAAATGTAGTAAACAGTTTATCTGGCTTGTATCGTACCCGCCTATTTTTAGTCACTCTGGAGAAACGTATAAGGTCGTGGAAGGAATAAGAAATTTCGGTACATACGCATCTTGTTTCAATAAAAAAGCCGTTATCAGAATGTTTTTTAATATTAAAAATTATACTTGCGCAGTAATAAGCCAAGGAGAAACATAACGCGAGATATCACGAGTCAAGGAGAACCTGTGGGGTTAGTTATTGTAGGGAAGTTACGTTAATCGGATGTGTATTGCACAAGCAACGTAATGAAGCTGATCGTCCTGATACTTTTGAGTGTCCTGAGCTCTGGCTATGCAGATGATGTGGAACCGAGAGTAAAGACACCTCTGGGAGGAATCAAAGGATATTACAAGTTGTCTCACGAAGGTAGACAGTATGAGGCCTACGAAGGAATTCCTTATGCAATTCCACCGGTTGGGAAACTCAGGTTCAAGGTAAGCTGGAACAATAATTATTGTGATAATTGGGTTATATTATAGTTAATTAATTGGATAATATTTGCAATCGAGTTCTCGGTGTAACGAGGATAGGTACAATTGTTATGTTACAGCCTCCGCAAGAGATAATGGCTTGGCCCGGGGAACTGCAAGCTATGAAATTTGGATCTCCGTGCCTTCAGTACGCTCATGTACCTCAAAATCCTCAGGAGCGCGTAGAGGGTGCAGAGGACTGTCTGTATTTGAATATTTATACGCCAGTCCGAGATAATAAAGATGAACTGATTCCTGTATTCTTTTGGATTCATGGCGGTGCCTTTCAGTATGGTACTGGCATGATCTACAATCCTAAGTATTTGATGGATAGTGATGTTATACTAGTGACTATTAATTATCGTTTGGGACCGCTTGGTAGGTGCTACAGACAACAGCTACTTGTTAGAATCAGCAATTTTGAGGATGTTATGCGAAAGAGAATTGCGTTACAGGTTTCCTGAGTACCGAGGACGATGTGGTTCCTGGCAACATGGGCCTGAAGGATCAAAGTATGGCACTGAGATGGGTTTCTGAGAACATTGAATCTTTTGGTGGGGATTCCAAAAAGGTGACCTTGGTTGGATTGAGTGCTGGTGGTGCCAGTGTCCATTATCATTATCTATCACCATTGAGTGCCGGTCTCTTCCAAAGTACTACAACCATATCAAGATAAATTAATTTTTTCATAACTATGGAATATGTAACTATCGTGTATCTCGTAGATGGAATATCTTTGAGTGGTACTGCGCTGGACTGCTGGACCCAAACTGAGAATTCTTTGGAAAAGGCAAAGAAGCTGGGTTCACTTATGGGATGTCCTACGGAGAACAACAAAGAATTGGTCCGCTGTCTCAAATATCGTCCTAGCAAAGCCTTGGTGCAGGCTGTTGGGGATTTTATGGTAAAATTGGATACATCTATCAAGATATCTTGATAAGAATAAAAAGTAATCCTTTATATTTCCAGCCGTGGCTTTACAATCCCTTTACTCCTTTTGGCCCAGTAGTTGAAAAAGCTGGCGATGCACCATTTATCAATCGTTCTCCTATAGAAGTGATTACCAGTGGTGCTGTACAGGATGTTCCTTGGATTACAGGAGTTGTAAGCGAGGAAGGACTATATCCCGTTGCTGGTAAAAATGACTGCCGATAATCTTGTAAGTAAGACTTTTATTTATCCTTGTTTAATTATAGAGTTTGCTGGCAAGGAGCAGCTACTAAAGGAATTGGATGATAACTGGGAATCAATTGCACCACATCTCCTGGACTTCAACTACACAGTACCAAAAGAGAAGCATGTAGAGATTGCAAGAAAGATTAAAGAACATTATTTTGGATCAAAACTAATTGACAAATTAAGTGTAAAATCCTTGATACAAATGGTGGGTGATCGACTCTTTGTTGTGGATGCAGAAAAAGCTGCTAGAGTTCAAGCGAAAGTCAATGAGAGTCCAGTTTGGTTTTATTATTTCTCGTACAAAGGAGCTTCGAGTACAAGCGAATTCTTAAGTGGTACCAAGGAAGACTTTGGTAAGAGAAAAACATTTATATTTTTAGCATATCTTTCATTTGTATCTTCCATAGGTGTGAGCCATGCTGATGATGCTAGATATATTTTGGATTTGTGGTACAAAAATGAATTTACTACAGTGGAAAGTCTAATGCAAAAGAAATTAATTAGTATTTGGGTTTCATATGCTATGAAAAAGTAAGTAAATTCCGCTAAACCTCTAGGAACAAAGTAACCAGAATATCCAATGTATTCCAGAGTACCTGATATTGGAACAGAATGGCATGAACTGGATTCATCCAAGAAGGATATGTACTATCTTCACATCGCATCACCTGATAGAATCTATATGGAATTAAATTCCAATTTGGGAGAAAAGAATTTCTGGAGAACCATAGACTTTGAAGAAAATAAACTAAAGGGTTGGACCGAGAAAGATGAATTTTAAAGATTTCGATTTATCACTATGTATGAAAGTTACATCCAAAAATGTTTGAGTAAAACGTTATTTTTTTCATAGAACTATTTTATTGTCCTTGATTATGAATGTAAAATAAACGAAAATACATTTCTCGATACTTTGTAGTATTTAATTAATCAAAAAATGAATAAACATATTGTTAATCAAGTATTCTAATAATTATCTCATTCAAGAATAAATTACAAGACTGATAAAAATATAGCTTCATTGATGCTGTATATATAGTATCGATGTATAGCTGTTAGATTTTCAAAGAGAAGGTTCATCAGTGAAGACAAATGAATTCCCAAATAATAATATATATTTAAACTAATAACATTACTCACATTATGGTTGATAACAATGTGACATCCTGGATGTCGTCCAATTTTATTGGCACCCAAAAACACTGGATAATTAATTGATCCAACAGATAGAATTCCAACCTGTACAGACAAATGATAAAATTTATGAAGTAACTCTATATATAAGTAAACTGTATCAATATTCACCTGCTCATTTGAAATATCATCTGATGGACAATCGAGGACTTGGGTTGCGGGAATATCCATATTTACTTTGATTTACTTATAAAAGTTAATATGACATACAAAACGTAACCTCGCTACAGTAAAACGCGCACCGTTCACTTTATTATTAAGTAACTACAATGACAATGTTCGAATACGTTATTAAATTTAAAAAAAGCAACACTGTACGCCTACTGTAATATAACAAGGAAGATTGTTCACTCACTTATTTTAAATAAATGACAACCACATAAAAACTCATTCCTTCGACAAAGGAATTACTGGTTCCCGCCTTTTCTTTTTAAGAACAAAGATATGTAGCACCAACGTCGCCACAGATTGCAAAGCTAATTGTTCGAATAAAAGAGACCGTAATATAAGACAAAATCGTTTTTTAAAAGAAACTGCTGCTAAATCTCATTTTAATTATATCAATGACATTCGTGACACGTGCAATGCAGTTTTCTTCATCTTATGGAAATAAAAAAAAGCGTTAATTATACTTTCAGACAATAAAGTTACTTTGCGAAACTGGATATATAAAAATACTACACTGCTAGGTATTTTTTAATAAATAATCAAATAAACTATAATACGACCATCAAATAATTTCAATGACAACACGCGCGAGAGTTTAAAACCGTTTGAACAGTTTGAAACAGTTGCAAACAGTTGCAGCAACTACGCATCAGCCTAAATTACATTTTTTTTACGACAGCAGCGCCATATGATTATAACTAATAACATGAATAACTGTCGTTTGGAATACTTAACAATTCATGAGTTTATTGTCCTTTATAATTGCTCTTACTTTATATCTTATCTACAACTGTGATATGAAAAAATTGCGTACTAAAATCTGGTTAAAATTATTCGTCTTTATTAGAAGTATTTCATACAAGATCATATCCTAATCGCATATACTCGTTCCGTTCCGTAGGGGGTAAGGATTATACTTACATGATACTATACACCTTAAAAAATATGGTTGATTTTATATGATTAACTTAATAATAACGTGAACGCAGGTGGATATATAATTTTCACATAGTATAGAATGAAAATTAAATTCTTCAATTATTTATATAGAATTAAAGAGGCTCTAATCTTGGCCGGCAACGAATAACTATTCTGTAATACAATTCGCGATCGTGGGGTCAGTAACCCCCAGCATCTTGATGATGACTTTTATTCGACCCACAGTGACGTTTTCGTGGTTCACATCAGACATAGATAAAACCCGGTTGAAGAAATCGTTAACAGAACAGATATAAAATAACATTTAAAAAGTCGTATCAAATGTAATAATTCTATTTTTTAACCGATCTAGAAAGTGTTTTAGGTAAAAATTTACGATCAGAGAATTCTATCTACTAGTTAACTAATAGACATACGTTCACACGCAGATTCTAAAAAGGTAGTAAGAACGACCAGGGACAGTTTTAAAGCAGAACTTCATCAATTATCTAGCAGTGCCTTAAATAATCTTAAAGTACCATGTATGTCATGTATACTAATGTATATAAAATCTATATATTATTATTAACGACAAGGCTAAACTGTAGAATACGACTTCTTGAAGTTAGTTGTGGATGGTTTAGTTTTTTTTTTTCACTGAAACTCTTCAAGAAGGAATCGCATTCTGCAGTTTTATTTATGCTGAACACGTACAAGTTATCATTCTTTATTTTATTAGTATTTTAAGAAATATGATAAATAGAAGTGACAAACATTAAATATTCTAAATCGCAGTATGTGGCCTGGAAGCTGGCGATCTAACAACTGTTATAAGATAAGTACGCAAATTGTGCCTGAGCCGTTTATTTTCTGCGCACAAACGATCATGATCTTTCCTCATCAATATATTCTCAGCTTTGATACGATTATATTTTTCCCAAAACTTTTCCATTTTGTTATAAGGATTAGTGATCTACAAAACATACAATTTAGTGTATATCATCACCACGTTACTCCTGAATCATTTCAACGTGACTTACATATTTTGAATACGATTCCTTTCCTGTATTCTCATTGCAAATTGCATATTTTTCAATAGCAGGTAATGGCAACTCTAGATTCGAGCAGATTTTCAATAATAATTTTAACGTCATACCCTTGTCCTTACAGCTTTCCAATTCCTAGAAATAAAAAAAGCAATTTCTCATAATTTTACAAATAATTAATAAAATCTACTTCCATACTTTTATTACTCCCGCGCTAATGACACTCAGCCTCTTCAGTTGTATAGCATCGATAGTGCCAGCTAATTTTGTATCATGTCTTAATTTCCAAATACGCTTATTTAACTCTTGAACTTGGTCCCTTAATTCTGTAGTAGTATCTTCGCAGTCACGCGAAAGTACATCCAAGTCTTCTTTCAACTTTTCTATAGTATCCTGGAGTTGTGCCTGATGTTTAGGAAACAGAGCAGCCTCCATCCTTGCTGCATCATCCTGTTCCTTTAAATATTCATACTGTTTCCGTTTACTTTCCGTGTTCGACATGTACTCCGAAATAATTGAATTCAATTGAACCCACATATCTTCCATTTTACTGCCTATATCACGACTCAACTCTGATAACGTTTCTTCTTTCTAAGAAAAAAATTAAACTACTCAAGAAATCATGCTATTATCAATGAATGATAATTATTGAATATTTATACCGAATACACAATATTATGTGTATTCACAGCATTGCGTGTTCTGGTTTGAGCTAATTTCGTTGCTAAACACTCTTTCTGTGCAAAAATTATAGTTTGCAAGTGTTTAGCGTCCTCGTTCAGTTCTTTCTTGAGCTCTTGCAATTCCTTTACTTCGCCACATTCGATTTTCTTCAAAGCCTGTTGATAATTTATCCGCAGAGTCGCGAGTCTGTCCCTGTGCATGCCTGAAAAATCATTAATTACGGTGCAATCTAATTTAATCGTATCGTGTAAAAATCTGCACGCTGTATTATTTACAAAAAATTTATATTACAAAACCGTACCAATTAATCTATCCAACATCGTAACGTGCGCCTCTTGCGACCTTCTGTGATCAGCATCCGCCGTTTCCAATTCATCATACAATTTCTGTATCACAGCATCTCGTGTTTCTAATGTTCTGTCAAAGTTCTTCCAAAGATACTCGACGTGCACATATAATTCGCGGCACTTGATTTGCCGTAATATGAAACGCCATTGCTCGTTGATCTTTGCAGTGTTGAGTCGCGAAAATGCCTCTTCGCGTTTTAGTTTATTCTAAAATCACACAAACGACTAAACAATAATATAAAATAAATGACAAATGCTTCTCTTTTACAAAATTACATTATACCTTTGTAAAAACAGCTATTAATTGTTGCTTACGCCTCTTCGCTTCCAATTCTAATTCTGCTCTATGTTGCAAATAACGTGTACGCTCCTCGTCGCTCATACGAGCCAATTTTGAAGCTTTTCCTTTTTTCTTCTTAGCTGGCATTTCGAAAATCTATTTCTACGACTTTAACAAGTCTACCTTAATGAATGATACTTGGAAAATCGTTTGATCAATCACATGCTGGTTACCATGGATATACAATATGATAATACATTATGAACGACTAAGGTTCATAAAATAAATACTATTATCTCCTCAGGATAAGTAAAATATATAATCTTTATAATTTCACCTTATAAATTTTATACATAAAAATGATTATTCTTATGAATAAATATGCTCGTCGTTCCCAATATATCCGACTGAACGATAATCGCATCTATTGGCAAGCTCCTGTAAAGCGCAGCACGTCCATTGAACTTTTAAAATAATATTAAAATATAGAATATTAGTATTTACAGCGAGTGAAAGAATTTGTCATAATAGATAAGTAAATAACGTCATAGTAGACTGGCATTTGATTAAAAATTATACTGTGCGGTAACTCTCATTCGTTAATATCGCACGTGTATAAAGTTAACGTGAACTTCGAGGACCACGTGTAATAATAATAATAATAATAATAATAATAATATTAATAATAATAGGTACTACAGCATCGTTGTTCTTGTTCGAATTTGGCTAAAGTTTTGGCGAATCCACGATAGGGCAAGAATTAGTTTACATAGGAACTAACAGAGTTCGTTTTCTCGCCCGTGATAAATTCTGAACACATATTTTGATTTTCGAGATACATATGATTAGTAATGTCTTTGCAGGGACGATATTCTGTCTTCGTGCTTCTCAAGGGATAGAGGCCGCTCTTTAGTCGTTGGAATAAAACTCTGCGTCCGTCTTATTCGCTCGCCGGTTCTCTGGGGCCTCGTTACGACTATTTGTGCCTCCAATAAAACTTGAGCTTCTTCGGCACGTTTTGCTTTCTCACAAGCGGAACGCAATTCCGCGTCGAGATTTTGCTTTTCCGCTTCCAATTGATGAAGACGCCCTTGTGCTTCTACAATGTTTGACCAGATGTTTAAAAAAATATATTTTTTTAAAGGAAGATATTTTTATTTCATGTAGAACTCACCTCGTAATTGTCGTTCATTTTCACCTTGTTTGCGCTCAAATTCTAAGCGTTTCAATTTTTCTGATTCAAGGAGCTCTTGCTGTTCTTGTTGTAGCCTTTCAAGTTGTTCCCGTCGTTCCCATTCCTCCCGTAAAACCCTGGCTTGTAAACCTCGCACTGACAATGATTAGAATTTCAGTTAACGTATTTTGTTTTTGGATTTGTGGATGAAAATTAGGGATAATTAGTACTAACCTATCTCTTCGTCACGCAAAGCTTGTTTCTCTTCTTGCAATAGAGTCTCTAGCTTTCGTTTAACATCCTCTAATTCCTGGACTCTTGCACCTTCTTCCTTAGAGATGGCTTCCAGTCTTCTGGCTTGTAATTCTGCGGCTATTCGCGCTTGTCGCTCATGCTGCAATTCCAATCTGGTCTCTTCATTCTGTTGTTTTGTAGCCTGGAAAACATACGAAATGTTCAATATAAAAAAAATAGTTTTTTAATTTAATTTAAAAACTCACTTGACGCAGAGATCTTCTTTGATTAGCAAGACTTCTCTGGTATCCAATTTTTTCCCCTGAATGCTGTATCGCTGTTTGCAAAGCCGCCAACCATTGCAATCTTCCTCTATGATTCTCAGCTACCAATTCGATGCACCTGTGCTCCGGAGTGCTCAGCATGAATCTTCTGTCAGGTTTACCACCACTGGTGACAGTGTCTGCCCAACAATTGGCATTTAGATTTATCGTTCCCGTAGGTTCCTTCTGTTGAGAATCTTTGTAGTATGCCAATTCACCAGGTCGTAGGACAAACCAGAAGTAGCGCAACGTCGGTAGCAAGTAGCCTTTTTTCATCAAGTAGCCCTTCGTCGAGATAGCATGGTTTAATCAATTTTTCGGACGTCAATGGAGAAGAAGGATACCTCGAGCACATTTATATCTTACTTTCTTGATTACGTCATTCACGTATATCTGATGGAGGTCATCTATCGCTTCTGTTAACGCGGCTGTGTCCAGCGCACCGCCTCCACTATATTTCGACTCCAGAACTGCCAGAAATGTGGGGAATCTTTTTGGAAATACGTTTGCTAAATGGAAGGTCGATGAAACGAGAGATGCGGCTACTAGTTACGTTTTTAATCCCAAATCTAGCTTTTTGATAGTAACTTATTTCTTTCGCCGATATATAAGATATATTTATTTATTAAGGTTTTCTTCGGGATTAAATACGTTTTCTTGGTAAAATCAATGAGATACCTGAATGTTCCAATCGCTGCAGACAATGCTGAAAAGTCATTGGCATCCCAGTTTAGTCCTAACGAAGTAACCAACTGTGAAGCAACTTGAGCTAATTCATCAGCGTGCATTGTTACCTATTAAAATGAAGTATCGACGTGAAATACAATAGAATACCAGTTCACAAGGCTATAGATACAAGAAATTATTGTACCAAATAAGAAGAATCTGTAGCATCTGTTTCCATTTCAGCTAATAGACAAAAAATTCTGAAAAGTTGATATACACTATGATCTTCGAAAATGGGATGAGCCCTTTCCAAGTATGGCTTCCTACATACGAGCCAGCATATTTCATCGACACACTCTTCCAATGCTTTACAAGCTTGGATAGACGTAGAATCAGTGAGGGAGGCAAAAACCTACAAATTACATGAACCAATTATACAATGTACAATAAATAGTTAAAATAAATAACATTTACCTCTCGTTGTAAGTAATAAATATATTGTTCAAAGGTCAGTGTTGGAGTGCTTCTGTAATGTTCAAGACCTTTTTCAACTCCATAGAGATCCAGTAGAGTTCCTATATTTGCTGTCAGCACCTAATGAACGGAAGTTTATTGAAAATAAAATTTAAGATCCTCACACAAGATAAATGCTCACACCAACTATACGTATATTATGTGGTGAATCTGAAGAGATTTAAAATTGGCCACACCCCCTTGGATCTTTAAAGGCCTGACATAAGATTATGTGGCAGTTAAGATAAGTGAATGGAAAATTTACCTTTAATTTCGACTTTGCCACAATGTATGGAATGTCTCCTTGCAACGCGTGGAAGGCATGCCAAATGCTGTTTGTCAAATTCTTCAGCAAATGGGCCATTATTTACGTGAAGGAGCAACAGGTGTTTCTACAGTATCACATCTCATCGAACTAATTCACTACTGAAGGCGAGAGACTATAGTTTCCGTCAGTCTCCGTCCCAGACTGGTTCCCATTGAGTCATATCGTCTACAATTTGTTCGACATAACTGTTATCTTTAAAATTTCACACATTTTTAAGACGCTTATGAATTCCGGAATGCTTTTGTTAATTTCTTTTACTCACTACGATGACAATGCAATTCACAGTATGATGATCTGAGTCTGGAATGTACAAATCGATCATCTGCGTTTAACGTGAAAGATGAGTTTGGTACACGAAGCACAATTAAATAGGCAAATACAAATCTTCTTATCTAAATAAAAAAAGAGATTTAACGCTAGGATGAATTTACGTAAATTTATGCATCCGAGAAATAAGTATAGGGATAAACCAGATTTCAAGAAACTCGCTATTCTCTATCCGGAGTTTGGCCGAAACGCGATCACGGTATTTATTTTTAAGTATAACCTCGAGCATATTTTAATATTTTGTTTTATGTTTTCTTGACATCAGCTTATTTTTAATATTTTAAAATAACTTGTAGGATCTCACTGGCAAAGTGAAGATCAATTTTAAGAATGAAGAAAGTTTACGAGTACTTACAAGGATATTATTGAAACATGATTTTGGTTTGGAAGTTGAGATTCCTAAAGAGAAACTAGTTCCTGCACTTCCACTGCGTCTCAATTATATTCTCTGGATAGAAGATTTACTGCGGCATTTTGGACTCACTGATATTTCTTTAGCACATGGTCTTGACATTGGTGAGTTTGCAAAGCTTAAAATGTTTAGACAACCTAGAACAAGTTCTCTTTTATACATAGGAACAGGGGCAGTTTGCATATATCCTCTGTTGCTTGCAAAAATATATGGTTGCAGAATGATTGGAACTGAAATTCAACAATCTAGTATTGAATCTGCCTTAAAGAATGTGAAATGCAATAATTTACAGGATCTCATACAAGGTAGAGAAGCGTAGCCTATTAAATAAATAAATGATGCTAGATGATAGCTAAAAACATAAAAATTTTTTTGTAACATAGTAATTCCAGTGAGCAAAGATACGATTTTGGAGAATGCTGTTCCTAAGAATGAAACATATTCATTCTCAATGTGCAACCCTCCATTCTTTGAAACTAACGAAGTTTCAGAGAATAACGGACAGAGACTACCACCAAGAAATGCACCAACTGGTTGCAAAGACGAATTAATAGTCGAGGGTGGTGAACAAAAATTTGTATTGAAAATTATTGAAGATAGTATGAAAATGGGTGATCAGATCAAAATTTACACCACAATGCTAGGACGCAAGGCCAGTTTACTATTTTTATTAAATGAAATGGCAAAGAAAAATATCAGCAACGTCGCATGGACAGAATTTTGTCAGGGTAATACAAAAAGGTCTGTCGAAAGTTTCTCTTAACAATCAAACATTCCAAAATAATAAAAAAACATCTGCACATCTACAGATGGGGCCTGGCATGGACATTTCTCTCGCGCGACATATTAGATCTCACAAAAGCACCTGTGATAAGATCAAAGCCTGATGATACAAAAACAAAACGTTCAACCGATCGACTTCCAGTGGATTTAATATTTCCAATTCAAGATCCATTCTTCTCGTGCGATGATGTAGTGAAAGTTTTAAAAACCTGGATCAGCGATTTAAACGTAAAGTATCACCTATCAAAATTCTTTAAAAACAAAAAAAAACCTAATACAACTCATACTAAGTCTTACATATTCAGCAGATCAAGATGGAAAGTCTTCACATAGAAGAGAATGAGACTAAGAATTGGGCATGTCGCCTAACATGTTACAAAGACACCTGGTCTCACGCCCGAAAAAAACGTCGTATGGTCAAAGCGCAAGAAACAAATGCGAAAAAAATCTGCACAGCCGAATCCACTGCGCAAACACAACTCAAAACGAGCGACTCAGGTAAAATAGTCTCTGAAGCGGATCTACCAAATATAACGTCGGACAAAAATAATGATTCCGTAAACGTTAACGAGGAACCTTCGACACTCGTGGATTCGTCGAGCAAAACAGAATCCGCAGATCCTTTGCTTGTCTGCTCTTTACTTCTGACCGAAATGAAAAACGAAAACGAGGAGTGTAACACAGAAGAGACTAAAAGACTATGCATGAGAATGATCTACGAGAAAGGACACGGTGGAAAAAATTCGTTGGAGATGTTTCGTCAATATTTGATTAACAAACTAAACGTGAGAGAGTACTTGCAGAAACAGGGCTCGAGCAAAGCGAGTAAACGAAAAAAGAAAAAACTGAAGAAGTGCGAACCAGCATCGCTTGCATCCAGTGTACAGAATGACAGTAGTAATAAATAAATAAAAAGGTAATTCACAAAGTTCCGGGTGTGCCTGAGGCCATCCTATTTGCGAACCATGAGAAATCCGTACGCTTGCATTGCATATAAAATGATTTATTCTGCAGAATCGTTCGCCAAGGTATCCGATACTTGATAACAGGTAATATATAATATTTATATGTATACATATACATGCAAATCAGGTGGTTTACTTTATTCTTTAAACAATATTTTACTTATTGACTAATATCTTTTCCTTCTTTGTCATTAGTATCGTACATTCTTCGTTAACAAGTGTAATTCGGCAATTCGAAATTAAACGTGTAATGTACGTATCTAACAAGGAGGATACCCTCACGAGGCTAACATCCATTCGTTTTGGCATGAGCATTGCACGCGAGATAAACCAATGAAAAAAAAAAACAATTGAGTCATACAAATGTTAATCGGACCACGAGGGACGCGCAAACTATTCTTATCTCAGGCACATTCATCATGCTTGGCCCTATATGTATTTGTGTTGTTTTTCCTCATTTTTCTCTTTCTTGTTTTTTTGAAGTTGGCCACGATGCTTGCGATAAACAAAAACAATAAAAACAAACATTCTGAGCTTTGAGATATATTCCGCTGTAGTAACAAAGCCGATGTGCACTCGGCTACGGAATTAAAATCCTTAGAGCAATTGCTTTCTTACTAAAAACTATGACTATTTATAACACTATGAATATCGATAATAAATGATACGCTAACTCTCATAGAAAGTTTGACTAATCTTATCGTCTTTTCTATTTTATCTATAATGTATATTCTGTGAGTGTTTACGAACGCAAGAATAATTGCTACTACGTGTAAAACAATAGAGTCGCCATTCATTCGTCACAGTTGTCAGATACCAAGGATTTAATCACAACGCAATCATCAATATTAATTTACCGGGTTGTAAACTTATGTAGAAAATTAATGGTGTACTTGATATTTTATGATGAGAGAATAGAGAGGGAGAAAATGAAAAAGTTCAAGAGTAAATGTACCATCGTGACAAACGAAGCATATACACGATTATGAAGATACATCTCTTTAATTTGATCTTGATTAATAAAATTGCTGATAGCGACTCGGTACGAATGAGATTTTAAATGACTATCGGCTGGATAATACGAAGCAACAGTCTTGACTAACAATCACTCTACGACATCTAACAAAACAGTTCATTTACATACTAATAAACGAATGATCGGTAACGTTTATGGCTGTCTTATTTAAATCTATTACGTGCTTCTTTTTAGCTTAGTTGCTTTATCTCTTTCCCTTATATCTTAGGGTATCTGTTTTTACGTACGTTCTAAAAAGAACATTTTTTTTACTCCGATTTCCTCAAAGATGAACACTCGTCTAGAGGTTCTTGCGAATCCTGATAAAGGACAATCGCGTGGAGCTGTTCAGATTTATTATCATTGTTATACAATGGTAGTTGAACGTGGATAAAAGAATGAAAAAAAAAAATATTTCATTATTGACATTTGACCTCAGATCATTGATGGTATCCACGTTCAAGTTCCATAAAGGTAGTGAGTTCGTTTGCATTTTTGAAATTGAAAATTCTCTTGGTGCTACCTGCGGGAATTTGGATTTGTTTTTTTTGTTTCTTTAGGTAATACGAGAACTGGCCGATAGCAGACACTCAACAAGAATTTCTTCTGAGTTATTTACACGAATAATAATTGGAGACGCGTAACGGATGCGCTTCGTAGATGCTTGATAATGATAAAATGGAGTTGAGATTAACGATCTTTAAAATTCGAAAAAAATCGCTGATAGGGCAATTTCTTGATCCTTGGCCCGGATACTGAGTAACATGCATCGGCCAATTCTAACGTTCAATATTCGTTTACACAGGAAGACACTTTCTTTTAGACTGTTTCTTCATCTTCTCTTTAAACGACACTCTAGATGATTAGATTCTCGAATCCACGTCCTTTCCAGCTTGGCCGAACTCAACAATAAAGACTAGGATATTAGAAAACAATCAACATTCACCCGCTCCGTACGCAGCTAAGAAAGTTCAGCTCTCGCTCAGTATCGGCTGGGCAATTGGTATTTTGCTCTCATCGAGCTTTTTCGATTCCACGATTTCCTCGTTCATTGCCACATCACCGTTTTCAATCGCCGCCACGTCGATCTTTTCTTTGATCTCCTTAAGTTCGCCGTCAGGCGTCTGTTCCTTTTGTCGCTTCTCGATTTCCGCTTTGAAGTTTTCAATATCCTGCTGGCTGATTTGCACGAATAGAATTCCGTTGATAACATTGAGCATGTCCAGTACGGAACCCATGCTAGGTGGTTGAATCTGAATAGGCGGTAGACTGACACCTGGCTTTCCTGTGTAAATCTCGTTCATCTTCTTCTGGAGAACAACGGCCTGTTGTGTTAGATGCCTCAGACAGTCGCTGCTCTCCTTTGTTTTTTCATGCTCCTCGCCAAGCTGTTGCTTGTAAATCGCATAGGTTTCTTTTTCGTTGTTCAAAGCAGCCCGGAAGTCTCCCATGCAAGATTGCGTTCGAGCTACCAGATGATAGGACACAGCCACTTTCAGGGAACGCGGCCCATGGTAACGTAAGTTCAGAGCCAGACCATGCTCCAGAAATCGAAGGGACAACTCGTACTCTCCAACGGCGTGAAGAATAAGGGATATATTGCTCTGTAAGAATGAAATTCGAACTGTCGAGTCTAATCCTATTCCGATTCTAGGATCAATCTTCATAGACTGTTTTACTTACGTCAAGCAAAGCCACCTCGGGATGATCTTCGCCGCAGACAAGAAGGGCCAGATAACGAGCTCTATATAAAAGTCTTAACGATACAGATACTTGGCCATTTGCAAATGAATACAAAGCAAGATGGATCTGCAGAATGAACAAGATAATTGTATAAGTATATTAAAAGATTTTAATAATATATACCAATTATTAATAGCCCTTACGTATTCGGTTATAGTATAAGGATGATCTATTCCGTTAACACGTTCTGACATAAGTACTGCTTTCTGTTGAGTAGCCAGAGCTTCTGCGTGATCACCCATTATGTAATTCAATCTGGCGAGCATTCTCAGACATTGTGCAATTTCTGGATGCATGGCGCCGTATACGTTGTTCAATAAATTGAGAGCCTCGCTTATTAGTTCGTAACCATCTTTCAAATATCCCTGCTGTATCTTGCCCTGGCCAGTAGTATAGAAATTATAAGCGTCGCTTGCCTGTCGATCAAATAATAGAGATTCATTGAATGTGGATTATCAATAGAAATAAAAATCTCGATTAATCTCATAAAACTGAATACAAACCCTAGGATTGATATGTTTAACGACCGGGAAGATATTGAGAATGTCTTCCTCGAAGAAGGTGGCGCGATTCTTATTCTCAAAATTGTATTCGCGCAAGAGTATCTGTATTCCAGTTTTTATGCAGAAACTACGAAGAAGCGAAATCTTCTGAAGACGATAATGCTCGATGGTCGTGTCGAGTGATTCTGGAGTAGGAGGTTCCCAATCGTAATAACTTTTGAGGTCGGATTTTATTTGCTGCCAAAGTGCTTTGGGACTCAAGGACGCCCATTCAACGTCTGACTGTTGTGGCCCATTGTTTCTGCCCTTCCTCTTGTTGCGGCGTTTCGCAGTTTTACTTTGCAACTGTTGATAGAATTGATTAGACGTACAATTTTTTGTATACGTGAATAATTATCGTACAGATTAGAATTTACCTCTTCGACATTTTGTTGCGGATGGCTGAGTTGAGCGGATGAGAAGAGACAATTAAGAAAGTGGCTAACGGCTGCAGATAGACTCATTAATTCAGTGCCCTAAAAATCCAAGAGAAATAAACATGTTTCTTTTTAATAATTAAAGATTTTTCAAAACCTAAGATAATTGCTGACCTGCATGTATGAGGTGAAGACGTGTTTGGCAGATCGAAGAATCAATTCCGACACAGCAATGCAATTGAGATACTGAAGTTGAGGAACCGCGGCCAACATGGCGGCTAACTTTCCAAGATACCTAATGTTTATACCTCTACCGTGCAAAGCTTCAACCAAGGTACTCCCGTCCATGGCAGCTGCTGTGTGGTCCAGGCATTCACGAATCTGGAAGAATTTTATCAGAACGAAATAAATATTGATTATATCAATAAACTACTCATGAAAAAGATTACTTACGAAAGTCGGTAATTGTACGGTGAGCAAAAAGTCAGCAGCATCCTTTACAAGTTGACGTTGCTTCCTGAGAGCATTTCCATTAGGGTCAGGATGTCGAACACCCGGTGAATAAACGTCTGGATTAAATCTGACATCAAATTCTGCCTCGCACAAGCTACCCACCGCAGCTGCTGCTTTACGCACAATTTCTTTGGTGCTTTCCTCCACTGACAAGAACAACAAACGTGATAATTTATTTGGTATATTGATTCAGCGATTTGGGTAGAGAAATAAGAGAAAAGAAAAAAATGAAAAATGACTTCCTGTCAGGATACTAACATTCTTGCTTTCCACCTGTTATCGAATCTGTGATGCTCTCGACAATTTTCTTTACTTCGTCCGCTTCTATGTTAGATTGTGCTGAATCCTCTTTGTTGCTGTCAACTATAGCTGAGCTTGTCTCTTCTTTTTTCTCTTCCTTCGGACAGGATTCTTTGTCCTTTTGAGTGCGTCTGGCCGATGTGACTTGTTGCAGATGAACTGCGGCATGTTTTATAAATTGAACGTATCTGGCCTCGATGAAGGAGTCTATCAATTCCTGACGTAGACATGCCAATCTGTGCTTGTGTTCCACCGGGAAACCTAGTGCTCGTGCTTCTTTGCTCAGTTCTACGCCTTCCACTGAAGACCGAAGATTTAATTGAATTCACATTTTATTCACCTTGACATCAAGATTCATGATTTTTATAGAAAAGCCTTACGTTTCAGAAAATTAACATCCGGTGGAAAAGTTCTCAATAAATCTAGTACGTAATGTCGCGAATCATTGCCAATGATTCCCTTGCACTCAACGCTACTGCACAATTCTACTTCCTCTCCGGCATCGTTGATCACTTTGTGAGGAAGAATTTTGAGCTGACTTCCGGCTTTATTGAGCTGATCAAAATATACGTTTCATAAGTTTGCATTCAATTTTTCAACGATATCTTATTAAATAAATATTATTAATGACATACCAATTCAAGATACTTGGGATGGGTTAGGACAGTTTTGCCAAAATCAATAGAGCCATAAACTACTGACTGTTCTTGTTCCCTCTCTAAGATTCCAGGAATAATAGATTGTGCAGTCACTCGATAACCCCTGGAAGTATTGTTAATTCCACATATTTATTGTGGTTCGATTAAATTTTATTTGTTATCAATAGTCATACCTATAATCGATAACCACAGTACCCAGGGTGTACAAACCCGGGAGATCTACCGCAGCGTATACTCGTACACCCTGGAGGTCATTACGGGGTGCTACAAAAGCTGCTGCATCACCACCAAGTTCCTTATAATGATCACGAACGTCGAATCCCAAAGAGAAGAAAATATTATTCCAAATGAACATTTGCATCTTAGCTTCCTCCCCTGGATTTATAGCCATAACGTTGCCATCTATAACCGCAACTGCACCTCGAGTAGCTGCAGCTACGAAATCACTGTGAACCTGTATAAGGACAAATCATTAATTACCCACAACTCACGAATAAAAGAAAAAAAGATTTTCCTTTAATACAACTTACTTTAAAAATAGCACGTTCCCTGAGTAATCTTTCCGGTAAATTTTTTCGCGGTAGCTCCCTCGTCGTCTGCAACTCCTCGTTCCAGTCTCTGGTCTGTCCAGGGATATGTTCCTCGTATCCCAATTTCGATGAGAAAGCTAACGAAAAAGTTATATAAAGATAAAGCTAACTTTTTAAAAAATTTCAATAAACTTCACCCATCCTACTCGCAATGAACTCACTGTCCTCGGCACGTATAGCGTCGATTGTGTGTTCTGTTTGCGGAGCACTCCAGGCGTACAATTGATAAGGCGTAGCAACGCGTTCGAATGGATGCCTCTGGGTTCTACGTCTTTGCATAGCAGCGAATCCTCTTTTGAAAGCAGGACTCAATTGATTCAGAAGCTCAATAAGACTGTGACACAAATGACTTGGCGTGGCTGGCTTGGGATTGAAAATTTCTTTCGACGATTGATTTACGAAGAAACCACGAGCGCAAGCCGTCAGATTATACTGCTTGTCTTCCAAGGTAATAACGTGGAGATACATCAAGTCTCCATGAAGTTTTCTATGGCCAGGTGGTGGATTCCATCCGGAAGTGGTAAGGACTTTTAAACAGGGTGGACACTTCTGCTCCTTGGCCTGAGGTTGCAACGGCAACAAGGGTCTGTCCTTGCATCCTGGTATAATATAATCAGGTGGAGTACAGTCAACGGAATCTGGCCTAGCCTTCTTCTTCTCCAGAATATCGCCGTTCGTCACTACGTTAAGGAAGGACAAGCTGCTGCAGTCCACTCCGTTGTAAGCGTCAGCCGGGTCGACGGATTTCAAAAGATCCCGCACGTGTCGCACGTGTATGCGTGCTTCGCGCATAGTGTACGGCTCTTCGACGACCTTAATGACAGATCCTTCCTTGAGACCTTCGATGTTCTTCAGCTCAGCAAAATTGTCCAGTGTGTTGTTGTCCAATTGCAAGGAGAAGCAAGTGCGGTGACACGTATCCTCGCGGTCCATGAGGAGTTGATGAATCTCCTGTTGAGAATACAAGCACGCGTTAGGGCTACCGAAGACTCAAATCGATATACCGAACTTAAAAGAAGCGTGGCATAAAACTGTTTATCGTTACCTGAACCAGTTCCATACTCGAGACTTGAATATCAAAGGGCTCTGACCCAGGACTAACAATCTTGACAGTAAATCCCATATCCTGTATGAAGACCACTTCCTGCTCATTAGAGGCATCCTTATCTTTGGTTTCACCTTTTTCTTTATCCTTATCATCCTCGGATTCCTTCTCGTTATCAGGCTCCTTATCTTTATCCTTTTCCTTCTCACCTTCCTTTGTGGCTTCGACCTCTCCCTTTTCCACAATATTTTCAACGTTTCCATTAACCGGCGCACTGCTCTCCCCGTTGCTCTTTACGTCTGTAATACAGTAAGATCAGCAGGGATTCAGTTGTATCTATTTGATTTTAAACTTTCCTGTCGCACACCCGTTAGACTTCAGAGACGCCGTGAAGCATGTCATGAAAACGTCTTTAGGGTACTGTACAACTTAGACTTGCATTCACCGAAGCTTATAAATAAACCTCCATGTAAATAGTGCGCACTGAAATGCCAGCTATTTTTATCGATCGCTTCTTTGCCACTCCATTATCATCATACACATCCTTCGTCTTCGAGATGATCCACTGATCTTTAACCCCAGACACAACAGATGCACCAGGTTCCTCGGGTTCAAATGAGTATAAAAACAGCATTGATTCATTGACTCTAAACCAGACTGCGTTTTAAATGCAATTGCGCACGCTGTAACGCATCAATGCCCTATTGCACTGCTAAACTTCTGATCTTGCCATCCAAGATTCTCATGGGATCTTAACCTTACTTAGTTTACCACCAATTTTCATTAAGCCTGTTATATCATCTTATCGCTTCGAGAAAAGATAAGAAAATGTCTAGCGTCTGTGTATAAAGGCGGAACCAACCGCTCCACTATTAAGTACACAATCAGCTGCAGGAAAAGACCAAATAACGACCCCTTCTCATGCTGTGTCACATATATCACAGGACTAAGGATAACCGTGAACCTGTAGAAATTATCACGTAGCGGGATTACATTGCCGGCTAAGAAATTCTGTATGTTAAATGTTTGCCAGACCTAACAGTCGAGGGTGGCCGGACAAAGCTTCTGCTCTTCTTCAACGTAGTTAGACTCGAGGAACACGATAACCCTTGTTATCTCCTATTGTTGTTTAGCATTGTTATTCGTCCATTGGTGAAACTTCCCAGCCGACAGACTGTGAAATTCCTAAGTATCCCTAAGTTTTGATGTTACTATCCAGCCTATGTAACGAACCACGCTGCTCATAATACATACATAATTGAGAGAGCAAACAGAAAAATCGAACATTCTGTGCCTTTTACCTGTGAAACGTAGCTTCGACTGAATTCAACGAAAGTCCAGGTGCATCCGGTTTCTTGTTACGAAATCGGTTAAATATTCAATTATTCGTCAAGTGTCTATTTCAGTAAAGATAATTATTGAAAGTACGTATAACCACGAAGAAAACATTGATGCAGTCTTCTTCCATTCACTGGTTGTGAAATGCTCGAAAAATAAAATGCTACGATTCTCTTTAAACATTGAAATTTGAGACTTTGGGGTTTAGATGATTGATCTCTCTTTTCTCAGTCTCGATGATATATTCCCAAATGGGTAAAAGACAGCAGGATCATTACGACTAGCAGCATTACTATACTAACGGACTACAACGACCAGTGTCTGGTCCTTGTCAGGGCCGTACGACGTGGGAGACTGTACGAACGATATATAAGTATATGAAAAAAAGGAAAAGGAAAAGAAGCACGGAAAATTCCTCAGGTATAGGTTCATTAGTTTATTAAGGATTGTCCAGCATCTAGAGTCTTTAATGAGAATCTGGTTAAATATGTTGACTGAACTAATTACGGTTACAGGAGTAAGTAATATATGCAGCCATTGAAGAACCGATCACCATGAGGAGACAATGATAAATGAGAAAGAATATAATTTTTATATATTCTTTGATCAATGAAAACTTGACGCTCCCTATTATCGTAATTTTGGGTTTCACGCGTCTTCACTTATTTTCCTTAGGCCTTAACTGAACAGCATGATGCAACCGGCAGATTAGAAAAGCCTCATCGATTTCAGAAGGCTCGTGAAATCAGAGTTCAGTGCCCTGTTCGCGATCTAAGGGAATTCGTAGACGTTAAGTATCTTAAAAAGTTGCTAGAAACTGTAATGTAAGAATTTAAAAGCGTTCTTTAAAACAGTCGAAAAATTCGTCTGCTCCGATAACCAAGGAGCGTCTTCTGCTAGGTGTACCACGGTTCAGCCAGCAAGTTCACATGACCCCACCGTAAGATTCGCGCAATTGATGTTACATAACGCAAGGTACCGACGTGTTTAATGCCGTGAAACGAGATAATGACCATGGGAAATATAAATGCCGAATGGGATATTGAATTATTACGTAATGACATTGTTAAAGCATTACGATTTTAACCTAGAAAGAACGAGCACGAGTCGCACCTCGTTCGAACTCGCAAGTTCTAAACTCACCATTGGTTGTTTCATCCTCCTTGCCGTTGATCAAGGGAATTTTCACACTCCCGCTTTCTCGGGATTCATCCACCTGAGAATCCAGAGCCATATCTTTTGATGATTTTACTGGTATTCACTTTTCTTACTATGTCGGCGAGACACAGAACGCGGACGCACAATTTTCGAATAGGAGCGCAAGACCGTCCTTCTTTCTTTCTACGGGGCGGCACACTCGGAAATCCTCTGAGCCGCTTTTCTCTGTTGCACGTGCGTTTCGCACGGAGTACAAAGTCTATGGATTGTCATTGGTTATTTCCATTGGTGCTGATTTCGTTTTTAGGTATTGGTAGAGGGTTAGAATTCGGGGCCCACATGTCGAAGCTCATCACGGCCCTGCAGCTGCGTTTCTATTAGTCGTTTCTGTTGGTTTAGACGTTTTCATTGGATGATTAAAGCGCCATCAATATAACGATAGTACCAAATGGAAACTCCCTGTTACGGCCTGCAGACGCTCTTGCGGGCTGAATCAGGCTGAATTCATCGGACGCGGGTGTTTCTAACCTAGGATCACCTAGGGTGCTTAGTGAGACAATAGGATCAGATTGTGGTTAAGGTTTTTTTGAAAAAGAATTTTTCTATAATTCACAAATCGTCTCCGAGATCCTAAACGTTGTACTAGATACAGCGTGGATTCGGAGCGACCGGTTGAAAATAAAAGACAAACTACTCTTTCTTTGGTATTTGATTAGGTTAGTTTGGGAAGAATGTCAGACGAAATACAACCGGATTTGCACTTAGGTCCTAAGCCTGATGTTACTTATCCTATTCAAGTACAATATTGTGGGAATTGCTCTCTTCCTATTGAGGTAATGTAATGCTATTTTTGTGGCTGAATGGTACTACGCGGTCATGAGTCCAAGGAAACAGTTGGTTCTTGTGTCCTTGTTTCAGGATATCCAAATGTCTTCTTTCCTTTACAGTACTGTGAATATTATCCCGAGTATGAGAAATGTAAGCAGTGGCTTGAAAGAAATTTGCCCACAGAATTTGAAAAGGTCAAATTAGGTGAGCCTATTAAATATTCTATATCGGTGCTCTTCTTCATATTGATGTTTTACTAGGTGAAGATGTAGCTATGGAAGGTGGAGCAGGGGAGGATGAGAAAAAGCGTCAAAAACGTGGTGGTAAAGGAATGCTCAAAACTAAGAAGAAGGATGATGTACCAAAATTAGTCACAGTATCTAGAGCTCCAAGAGGAAAGAAGAAGTCTGTAACTGTGGTTACAGGACTCAGCACTTTTGGTAAGACATTATAACACATTTTTCTGAACATTTATGAATGACACATTTGAATCAATTTCAGACATAGACCTAAAAGTGGCTGCTAAGTTTTTTGGTAGTAAATTTGCTTGTGGATCAAGCGTGACTGGTGATGATGAAATTGTCATCCAGGGTGACGTTAAAGATGACTTGTTTGACGTCATTCCAGAAAAGTGGCCACAGGTATATATTTTACTTTGCAAACTATTGTTTCTTTGTAAGGGTCTAACAAATATTTCATCCATGTTCAGATTGATGAAGATTCCATAGATGATCTGGGAGATCAGAAGAGATAATAATGCAATCAAATTAATTTCGCACAATATTATTTAACAATATCCAATTTGGTATTTATTATGAATGAATGTATATAAAATAAATACAAATATTGGAATACCAAATTTTATTGGTTGACTCAGTAACATTTGTTTCTTAGCTAGCTAAGTCCTCTTCTTCAAAATGTGCTGCAACTATCTTTAAAAGTGACTCTACTTCTTCTTCACTTAAACGATCTTCGCTATCTTCAATTACCTATAATGTACAATGCAATGTAAATATGTATATACATACAAGTACACAAAAGAATTATCCAGCTTACCAACTGAATTTCAAGAGCTGTTTTGGGACAAATATTGAGCAAAGCCAGCTTCTCACACTTTGTCAGTTTGAATCCTTCAACCGCTCTCAGAAAATCCTGTATCTTCTCTGGAGACTGTTTTTTACAAGCAGTATCCTCCAAATATCTTATAGTCTGATATGTTATCGTAGCCAATTGATTTTGTGTCATCTTTTGTTTTTTATTCGACTTAATCCCCTGCAGAATATCCAAGACTTCATAGTTACTAAGATATGCCGCGCAATCGTTTCGCCTGCAAAAAACATTACAATGAATATACAAAATATATAATAATTATAAAGAATAATAAAATTCCGTAACAAACTAACACTTCCATCTAAAGGAGTAAACAAATATCCAGTAGAAATCTGTCAAACACTACATATATGTACTAGGAATTCACCCTTAACCAAAAATTCTTGTAATAAATTCTTAGATTAGAACTATCAGCACAGGTTAGCTAGTAATTTAGTAAAAGGTAAATAAAAGAGAAACTGTGGGAACACAGGAAGTTAAGGAATTCGAGGGACTACTTTGTCGTTGGTCTAGTGTGCAGAACAGCCCACACAGCTGATTGATGCAAATTCCTGGCGTATTAATACCCAGTGGATGCGCATGTCCGTCTGACATTTTGCGACGAGAAGTAGGAGAGTGTGTTCCGAGTGTTTTGTGCTCAAAAAACGTGGTCGTACAGTGTCGAAATTGAAGAATATAAATGCGATATGTACTCCGTCTGAGTAACAAAATGTAGACCCCGATGATTCTTGCTCGAGAAGGAGGTCGGAATGTATTATAGTTGACTGTACCATCAGCATTTTCTTCCCCGTATTGATCTCCCTCTGGGCGATGCATCTCTTCGCTTTACGAACGGTGCTTGTTTGTAAACTGTTGACCTTGCTTTTGAAAAGTCGGTGAACCTACCTCGAAAGAATATGGAGATCGTTGGGGACTACGAATACAATACTAAGGATCTCATCGGCCATGGCGCTTTTGCCGTCGTCTTCAAGGGCAGACATCGGAAAGTAAGCATTTCTTTTTGGAGCACTTCAATGATGTCATAACGGTTTCCTCTCTAGCTTAGCTTTGACTAACTCTTTTTGGTGTGGTAATATTTTTTAGAAATCCAACTTCGTCGTGGCCATTAAGAGTATCACTAAGAAGAGTCTTGCGAAGTCACAAAATCTTCTTGGAAAGGAAATCAAGATACTAAAGGTTAGCGACCTGTCGCGAGTAATTAAATGGATTGTACCTCGTTTTTGAGAGAGACCAAAATAGTATAGGAAGCATGCTTTGGTTTTAGTCTTTTCTTAAATGAAACAAAACCAAGAAAAGAGCAACATGAGTCACAGCTTCTTGTATTCGTGGAATAGAATGTTAACTCAAACACGAATAACTTATTATTTTTGTCATTGCTAATATTATTGTCTCTGTTATTATTCTGTATTTTGTAATGTAGATCAAAGTTTGCTGGCTCATTATTACTTTTTCTTTATGCTTATGCAACTAACTATTACTTCCAGGAACTCACAGAATTGCACCACGAGAATGTCGTAGCCCTGCTGGATTGTAAGGTCAGTTTGATACAGATTTACAACATATATTTGCACAAAGAAACTTTCTGTTGTATTATCACAGTGTGACAGAAAATTTACTTAGAAAAACTCTTATCCTATTATTTTAGGAATCTAATCACAATGTCTTCCTGGTAATGGAGTATTGCAATGGTGGAGACTTAGCTGATTATCTAGGTGGTAAGCAATTTTATTTATTGTCCTACCCCTATCCATTCTATTAATTTTATGACAGTTCAGAGAAGACTAACTTGATATTTCTAAAACAGCAAAGGGCACCTTATCAGAAGATACCATCAGAGTATTTCTTAAACAACTGGCAGGTGCTATGAAAGCACTGCATGCAAAAGGCGTAGTGCACAGAGACCTCAAACCACAAAATATCCTTTTGAGTCATAATTGTGGTAAAGCATGTCCACAGCCACATCAAATAACACTGAAAATTGGTAATAACGTCACTTCTAAAATAGTTTATTGGAGTCAGCCATTTTTCACTAAAATTGGAATTTATTATATTGCAGCGGATTTCGGTTTTGCCCGATTTCTTCAGGATGGTGTGATGGCAGCTACTTTATGTGGCTCTCCCATGTACATGGCACCAGAAGTTATTATGTCCTTACAGTACGATGCAAAAGCTGATCTTTGGTCATTGGGAACTATCGTGTTTCAGTGTCTTACCGGAAAAGCTCCGTTCCAAGCTCATACACCTCAGGCTCTCAAGCTATTTTACGAAAAGAATGCAAATTTGGGTCCCAAGTATGCCTTATGTTATTACATAAAGTTTAAATGCGACTACATGTTAATGTGATTGATTGTAATTTGCGTGTGTGTAGAATTCCTGCAGGTACATCGCCAGAGCTGTCTGACCTCCTGATGGGATTATTGAGACGTAACGCAAGAGATCGTATGCCTTTTGACGAGTTTTTCGGTCATCCATTTTTACAAGGACCAAGAGAGAGTCCAAGTCCCGTACCAGCTGAGTTACCAGCCTCACCAGGTGCTTTGGTTGTAGCTGAAGGGGCTATTGGTGGTACACGCTCCGGACCTGAAACCAGCAGTCCTTGCTCTAGTCCTGAAGATGATTTTGTCTTGGTACCAAGTGATCTTAGCAGTGACACTGATAATAACACCAATGCACCACCAGTTAAGTAAGTACATTTCTTTGTGTAAATTTCATGTTAATTGGCCCTCCAGGTAAAGTTTATCTAAATGTAATATTCCTTGCTTTAGGTACAATAAGCAGAACAGTCGCGAGGCAGTTAGTCCACCGAGACCCTGTTTCCTACCGATTTCCGAACCGATACCTGTACCCTCTCAGAGGAGTATCGCTCAACCAGCATCTCCGTCGAATCCTAGAACCGGTGCCAACAGTGTACCACGTTCCCAGCCGATCAGCATGAAGCGCAGTGTTGACTCCCACAGGAGTCACGCGCCAGACATAGGTTCTCTCAGTCCACCTAGTGTCCAATTTGTAATCGGTACACCTCCTGGCCGAAGGTATTAATCATATGAAATATAAAATTCATCTTAGTTAAGAAATTTATCCAGAATCTCCAGATCAATCTGTTCCAGAATGAGTGAAACACCGCCGCCACCAAATACTTGGCAGGTCAGTCCAGTTGCGAGACATTCTCATACTTCTAGTGGCACATCGCCTCTTCGACGTTCTGCTGGAAACAATAGCTCATCCTCACCTTTACTTACTGGCCCATTGGCCGTCCTAGGCTCTCCTACAGGAAGAGCCCTGCAGGATAACAACAACACCCTGAGGCACTCGCCTATTATTCCCTTTGGTACAAGAGCCGTGACCCTTCCTGAAATATCTGGTAAGTGCCATGTAGATGACATTTTGTTATTCAAACTTAAAAGATACGTCCAGACCAAGTATACTTGAAACTTGTCTTTCATGCAGAAGCTGGGAGCTTTCACAATCTCTTTCCCGATACGAATTCTATTCTAACCGATGATCGTCCCTTGACATTCATCGCTCCGGAACTTCCGGAAGAAACGCTCCTGGAACGTGAACATAACGAGATCCTCGCGAAGCTCAATTTCGTTGTGGCCCTTTGCGAATGCGTTTGCGAAGTAGCCCGAACCAGGGCAGGTCCTCTTGGAGCTCCTCTAGGAGGGATCGAGCAGGCTAGTAACGGAGCTACGAGGAGAAGGGCTGAACAGGTTATACTTTTGGTGAGAGCCTTGCAATGGCTCAGCTCCGGACTCAGTTTGGCTACGCAGCAGCTCAAAGCTGGCCGACTGCAACCTACGGCGAATGTTAAAGAAGGTAGGGAGGTATAACGAGTCACTACGCTTATTACTCTCAATAAAAAATTAAGATTAAGACTTTGGTATGGCAGTGGTGGGCACGATGAACAACAAGTTCAAAGCGTGTCTCGCAGAATGTAAGCAGCTCAATAGTGCCGGACTTTTGCGGCAGACAGGAGCCACGGCTGATAAGATACTTTACAATCACGCTATACAGATGGTAATTGTCGTATTTTCAGTTTGCAGTATTGCTGTCTTAAAAAATTCTATAAAGCGCTATTAATCTACCTCATTTCAGTGTCAATCCGCAGCTCTTGATGAATTGTTTGGAAATCCTGCGGATTGCTTTCAGCGGTATCATACAGCGCAGATATTGTTACACTCGTTGTCGCAGCACGTGAGTCACAGTCAGGACAGGGCTCTCCTTACCAAATGTAAATATCCGCTTGATTTGTCTTAACCGTGCAGGACCATTCTATTAATATCACAATGTCATACACGATTTCAGACAAGGATGCTGTGGAAAAGCGTTTGTACGTCTTGCAGCAGCAAGGTTACATCTACGCCACGGATCCCACGTAACGCTCGTAAAGCGAGCGTAATTCAGTTGTGAGCAGAATCCTGGCCGAACCTGTACCGTATCCAATACCTCTAACACATAAGATAAGGATTAAGTGAAGATAAAGGCAAAGAGAAAAATAAAGCAAAGACAAGAGAGAGAGAGAGAAAAAAAAGAGAGTAAGACGATTTCCCTTGGTTCAGTGACATATAATTTATCTGTCAATTTGAATGGTCGCAGATCATCCATTATATATATATTATATATATAATAACATACTCGTGGTTGATTAACCAATGTTTATTTCATATCATTGAATAAAGTCACATATACATATATTAACCGTAAAAATTGACAATATTTATTAGAACACCTCAGGTGTCAAGAGTAGACGTGTTACTACCTCTTTAATTGAATAGATCGTTTTCCGGCTGGACCAAGCTTTACGCTCTAATTGTCCCTGTAGATGACGTAGTTCAAAGCTGTTGCAATAGTGGTCCACACAAAATATGGAATTATCAAATAGCCCGCTGTACGATCCACTCTAAAAAAAGTTACACCCACAGCAGCAGTCGATCCCCAAAGTACTATAATCTCATACAGCGCCTTAAATATCAAAGAGAGATTATAATTATTATCAATCCATTTTCAATATCGTATCAGCATACTGATAACAGTACCAGTTTTAGGTTGTGCAATCCAAAGAAGAGAGGAGTCCACGCCCAGTTCAGGATTAAATTAATACCGTACAAGGACAGTGGTAATGCTGCATTTTTAAAGCCACCGCCGTTTATCCATACACGATAGGAAGCATATCCCATTGTACAATAAAGAGTTGTCCAAATTGGAGCAAATGCCCAATTAGGTGGCGTCCATGATGGCCTGTTTAGCGACTGTACGAAACAACAGTGAATTAATGTAAAATTCTATGTTTCTATTAAAAAAAAATAATTTTATTACGGCATCCTTGAAAATCATAAAGATCTCATTTCGCGGGTCTGTTGAAATGGGAAACCACATGGGAGCCCGTCATACCGAATCTACACACACTTCTTTTATGCTATACTTTTCCAGTGTTCTGTTAGAACGAACCAATAAGATGTTGGGCATAAGAAAGAGGTTAGTCGATTTCTGCCGTAAGAGAAAACCGCGCGATGATCACTATGAATGGGAATATTCTCTTTATCTCTGACGTAATATTTTAAAATTATTTACCTGATACCATGGATTTATGTTCCTTCGGGTAACGAAGCCACCGATCCATCCGCCTACATTTGGTAAAATGATTGCCCCAATTAACGAGGGATAGTGCGTTTTCACAGGCATCCTAACAGGTTAACGTACCTTGTCTATATCCTACGAATTATTCCGTTATCGCGGTACCACGTCTAATATATATAGATATCTTGTATGAGTATCTATATGATGACTATTCAGTTTCTGGGATGTATGTATGTACGTACATATATACATTAGTAGTGACATCGCAAGAATAAACTAGAAATAACAGTAGCGGCTAGTGCAAAGTTATAGTGTATGTAAAATTTGATTTCTTTTTACCATATTTCTTTAAAAAATGTTATGCAACAGTTTTGGTGATGCGATTTCTTTATTTATTTACAGATATTGTAATAAATACACCAGTATAAGTAATTGTAAAGAAACAAATAGTCTATATTGCCGCATCTGTATATGCGATAATAACGAGAACGAGATACGATCTCTGCCAATTATTGTAGGAGTTTCGATAAGATTCCTTTGGAATTTCTAAATAAAAATAGAAGCCGTGACGGTTAGTCGATTTTTTTCGTGTCTTTTATTCCGTTACTGACAGTAGCACGAACTACTTTTTTTCTTCTCTTGATAAGTTTAAACTCGTATGATCGTGGATCGTATGTATAAGAATCATGGTCGACGTTACAAAAACAACACGTGTTATGACACTTTACTGTATATTACACAATGCATTGCATTTTGCAATGCAAAATTGATCTGCGCGCTATGGACGATGAAAATGATTGTAATCGAGCCTTCGCGATTACTAGCGGATTGCGTCGAATGATTAATTACTTCGGAGTCCCCGATTCATATTTCAATACTTGATGCTTCGAAAGAACACAATAGCTCCCTTCTATATACACTGAGGAAAAGGAAATAAAAATACCTATCCCTTCGTATACGGCACTTTATGTCACGTAATTTTACCCTTTTCTTTTTGTGATGTTTCGACGCACTAAACGTCAATACAAGGAGTGTTTCTTGTCAATCGGAAATTTTAATTTGTATTTGATTCAGTCATGTTTGGTTGATTTGTTCTCTTCTTCTTTAACTTCTTTTTTGCGATCTGATTTCGAACTAAATACTCCGGGAAGATGGTCGCGGACTCGCTCCCGCAGCTTTTCAGGAATAACCATTATCGTGGTTATTACATTACCTAGAAACAATACCAAGAACATGGCACTAAGCACTGGCACATGCCAGGTTGCTTCTGGATGAGAGATTAGCACATATAATGTATAGGCATTGTAGAGCTGGAAGAAGTAGCCCACAAAAAGGAATGGTAAGAGGAAGGAAAGGCCTCGCCACATCCAGGAATGGAACCCTTCGATAGTGATGTCCATGTTGTGTCTTTCACCTAGTGCTTTCAAACGATAGAGAACACCTCGCTGATAACGGAATTGTAGATATTGTACAAAACCTGGGAATAAAAAAATTTCTATAAGCTATCACCTTCTGGGTTAGACTCAATTAGAAACTTACTTATATACACGTTGAAGTACATGAATTGCTGACGGAACGCATACCAAGGACCTGTGTTAGGCCAGACTAACAGAACACCGGATACTACAGTGGATAGGAAATGATGAAAACGCCACCATCCTTTTATTCGGGATCCATTTACTTTTAATATGCTTTCACGTATTGTTAAAGTACAGTAGTACCATACCAGCACAAACATAAAAATGAGCTCCAAAGTTCTGGAAGGATGTAATGAGCTTAGATGTATTTTTATTAATTTTGTCTATATTACTATAAGTAAGTGGTGTACCAAGGACAACAGAAATTTGCCTCTTACCTTATATTAGTTAGAAGATTGATCACAGACAATACAAAACCAATGACTGATAAGACCAATTTGAATTTCTCGTATTCATCTTTATATCGGAATCTATAAGAAGATAATGATTTGTCTCATAATGCATATTCATGTGGTATGTAAGTTATTGTTATATTCAAGAGAACTTACTTGTCATTTTTATTTAATATAGAAACATTAACATTGCCCAATATTATTTTGAGATATCTTCCATTTGGCTTTGGTAAAGTTTGTTCCATTTCATGAAGCTGTTCCTTTCGTCTAGTCATATCTTTATCTAGAGCCTTTCTGGTTTCACATGCATGAAGTCTAAAGAAACAAGAAACAATTACCATCCATCCTACAGAAATAACTCTCTAACTCTAAATATCAGATGTAAATGAACTTACTGTTTAAGAGATTTGGATATCACACCCATACGATATCTTTGATGTGAAATCCCCTTCAAACATTTTGCCTGTAGCTCTCCAACTTCCTCTAGTTTAGCAATATACTCTCTATTCAGTGTCTGCAAAAAAAAAAAGATTGGCTAACAAATAGAAATTATATACCAGATTGTCATAAACAAGTCTCATCAATCAATTTTTTAAAAAATTATCTAGTAAACCATTTAAAAGGAGGGCTACAAATCGTACAAGGTCGATAACCCAGAGGTAACTTTGCCTATGAATCTCATCATCCTCCATACATATTCTAAAAACTAAGCTCAATCTAAACCACAAGTGTCATATTACCTCCAGCTCCTTGTAATCCTGAGCCAAATCATTCCAATCCTTCAAACAAGTGTCCACATCGATGTCCATCTTCGCCAGAGGATCTTATGATTCTTCTGCCTTATCCTCCCAGATTCTGAGGTAAGCAGATAGGTAGATAAGTAGATGTCAAGACAATAAACCGCCTCGTAGTACTTCGATCCCAACGCGAATTTAATTCAAGGACAATCGACCGCAGCTCATTCACTGGCAGAGTATCGCACAAACTTAATGTGTCGCAGTACCGGGATACGTGAGACAAATTATTAATAAGAGAAGCCAAATTGTGCCGATAAGAGGTCCCTCGTCAGACAACGATTAATCTGCATTCATTCCACATGAACCTCGGAACGATTAAGCAGTAGCCGACAGTAGCGATTTCACACAAGTGTGGGACCCCTTGCGAGGTGCTTCTCTCTACTCAGTATATTTAATCAGTTTCTCACTTTTTACGTCAGATGGCAGGACGAACGCCATTTTCCGGCAGCTGTTGAGCCGCACCATAGCCGCACAAACGACCCTGAACAATGTTTCCAAGAGGCTACTCGTTAAATCTTATATTACATATATTTCCGATAATACAGGTAGTACATTCAAGTGTAACTAAACCATGGATATAAATGATTGAGATTTTGAGAAATAAAACATGTACTACAAAGGAAAGATGACAAGGATTTTTTAAAAGGAAAAACTCATAACGTTTCTTTCATTGAACACAAGGGGTAAACTACATAGTACTTTAATTCGATATAATACAAAAGTGATTCTTTGGGTAAGTAAAGAATTTCAATCAAGATATTTAAGCTTGCAGCTTTTTTATCTTATGCCACATTGTGTTATACCTAAATTCACAGAGACTGTATAGTAGCTATGTACAGGTACTCCAAATATTATACTCCAAGATATTTATAATAGCAGAAGCTCAAGAGATAGCAAGTTGAAACTGGCAAAAGGAACGTACACGTGCAACCGTATTGTGAGATATGCACATTTTTTGATGGTCAACGACCGGTCACGCCACGTCGATCTTTCAAAACGAATAGTTTTGCATTCGTTGCTCAAAGACAGCAAATACTTGAAAAATATAGCGCGATGTTGTATTTTTAACAACGATTCTCAGTAGTTTCATATAATTAACAGTCATGAAGTCTTTATTAATTAATACTTAGAAGTATCTAACTTCCATTACAAAGATCTCAAATGTCATCCAGTCTGCAGGGATTTGATATTGTATTGTATGTACATACGTAAGGATGTGATATTGGAGTGGCATTTGATTTGTCGCGGGATTCCGCGGTGAGATGGAGCTGGGTTGTCGTTGTAGCCGAGTCTTAATACATCCAATAGACCGATCGGACTTTAAAACGAAGCTGCTGCTTGGATTTCTTATCTATGCGCATAAGTGCGACTAAGTTATCTGTAAACCCATTGTTGGAGGGAAACATTATTTGAATAAAAAAGGGTAGGTATATCCGATTATTTAAATCCTATATAAATGCAAAGTATGATACTATTTTATAGAATATATTCTTGCAGGATACAATTTACAGAGATTGAGGCAATTAGTCAATTCTAACAAAGAAATATTTCATATTTTTTAGTAAAATTTCTTGTTAGTTGAAACAAAAATTGGATGAACTAAAATTTGAATATGCGAAAATTACACGCTTCTTTTGAAGTGACGTAAAGAAGCCAAATGGCACAAAGTCAACTTACTGATACCTTAAAGATATCTGAATAACGTTACCGGTAGATTTTAGGTATTACAAAAGTCATCTTTTATATCATAAAACTAATACCTAATGTCCTTCCCCAAAAATAGCTTTTTACATATTCCAAAAAGATTTGTCAATCCTTTGACAACTTTTTTTGTCAACCCAAAGTGTGATTTGTTATGACGGTCATTTATAATGAAATTTCAATAACTTTTCTAATATGCTATTTTATCGACATTATTTTGGCATATTTTTGATAGTTCTAAAGTTTACTTGTAGAACGCAAGCTAACGATATCAAGAAGGAAGATGCGCCACTTGGGAAGATGTTATGGTTCTACGAGTCTACGACAATGAGTTCCACATTATCATGTTTCGTTCCCTCGTCGCATTGTTTTCCACAGCAGCTGGGGAATTTCCATTAGACAGATCTCGAAATCCCCTCTGGTGTGACGTCGGTGAATAGAAGCCAAGGAAGGAGAGTAACTCTAGTCAAAATCACCGAAACTCCAGGCTCGCTCTTCAGTGCGAGAATATCCTTGCGAGAGGAAGCATCGGTGTCGCGTTAACGTTTGCTTTCTTCACGCTCGCTTTGGCATTTAAAAAGAAGCGAAGAGAGAGAGAAAGAGAAGAAGTTTTTTTCAAGTGATCTGAGAATATTGAAAAAGGATCTGGAATGGATACGGAGCATTTAGAAGTAAAGAAAAACTAGTGATAACGGCATTACTCAACGGTAACTCTAAGATCCTTCTAAAGAGAGTATAGGCCGAAGAATGTGATATATGATAGTCTTTCATGAATCAGCTGTTTATCAGGTGATTAATATTAAAAAGATTGAACGAAGCCACGAAAATTTATGAGTTGTCTACAGCGTCACACATTACTTCGTTTATTGTCAACAATGAAAAATGTAATCTCTTCGTCATAAGAAGCCGTATTAAATTCAACTCAGGGAATACAATTACCTAAGGGCCGCAGGCAATTATATTTTTTAACTAATTATATTATCGTTCCTATCGTGTTATGATAAAAGAACGATCGTCGTAAGGAGTTAGCATTGTTCCTGAACTTCATTTATTCTTTACGCGGACATGAAGATGTTGCTACGCTTCTCAGGATTTACCGGGCACAAAGAGTTCTCGAAAATGGTAGAAAAACCAACTTTGAAAAGAGTCTTGAAGAACTTTACATCAATGTCGTCGATACATTCGAAAGCAAGAATGGAAAACCCATGCGAGACTGTCGTGGATTCAGGAGCTTTGAGAGAAATGCCTGAACCTAAAGGACTTCCGGTTCTCGGGACTATTGTAGATCTGATCATTTCCGGTGGAGCTGCAAAACTGCACCTATATAACGACAAAAGACATGCAGAACTGGGCCCAATCTATAGAGAACGTATCGGTTCCGTTAAGGCTGTGTTCATAAATTCTCCAGACGAATTTCGCCGGGTCTTCCGCCTAGAAGGACCTAAACCGATCCACTTTTTACCTGAAGCCTGGACACTGTATAATGAGATCCGAAAGTGTAAACGCGGTCTATTCTTTATGTGTGTTCAATAACTTTTCTAAAGTCGAGGCTCGTCTTCGATTTTCTTATCGCCATTTCGTTCGTAGCCATTCTTTCAGATAATTTTCCTAATCAACAGGGATGGAGACGAATGGCTGTACTTCCGCAGAATAGCAAACAAACTTCTCTTGAGACCGAAATCCGAGGAATTTATGTCAAGACCATGTCAGAATGCTGCGGATAGTCTTGCCAGCAGATGGGAAATTTATAGTGAAAATGGAAAATTGATCCCGGAATTGGAAGCGCAGCTTTATCAATGGTCAATTGAAGGTAGAAATCTTAGGTAGCGCGATATGTCTAATAACAATAGGTCCTATAACTTTCTCGACTTGTAATCTCAATAGTGATGCTGGCAACCCTTATGGGAAGAAATAAGTGGGAGGAGTATGGTCCAAATATTATGAGGAAGAGTGAAAATCTGGCGAAGAATTTACATATGATATTTGAGTACTCAGCAACGTTATCATTGATCCCAGCGAAACTTGCCATGAGAATTAAACTTCCGATATGGAAGAAATTCGTGGGATCCATAGACGAAGTCATGGAGATTGTAAGGATCTTGGTTCCTGAGATTATTCGACTCGATGGAGACGGTCTTACTACAATGATATTGGACGAAGGAGTTCAGGGTGAAGATCTCGTGCGAATTGTGGCAGACTTGATTTTGGCTGCTGGTGATACGGTAATACACAATGTGAATGATATTTATATCAATATTTAATATTTTTCATTTTTTATAGACGGCCTATTCCATGCAGTGGGCACTATTCCTCCTAGCTAGTCACCCAGATGTACAAGAGAGACTGTACGAAAGCATAAAATCTCTGGACCAGGATGAGATACCAAAAGATCCATTTCTAAAGGGTGTCATAAAAGAATCTCTCAGGCTGTACCCCACTGCTCCATTCCTCACTAGATTTTTACCAGAAGATAACATCATTGGCGGTTATCGCGTAGCTAAAGGGGTAATTTTTATGTTGACTTTGTGTTTTGTAATAGAAATATTCCATTGTTTTTTTAAAACACTTATCCGCTTTAGGAACTTCTGCTGCTTTCGCTCTACTCCAGTGGACGCAACGATGCCAATTTTCCAGAAGCCAATGAATTCCGCCCGGAAAGATGGATTAGAACGTCTACAGGAGAATACAAAGGGGTCATTAATCCTCATGCTACTTTACCATTTGCACTTGGTGCAAGATCCTGCGTTGGACGAAAGCTAGCTGAATATCAAATATCTCTAACATTGGCGAAGGTTAATTTGATGAGAATTTAAATGCAGTATTGTGAAGTCGGTAATCCTAAATTGCAGTCAATGATATTTTACAGATTGTTAAAACTTTTCGTATGGATTGTACGAACAAGGACAGTGTCGAGATGATCTTGCATCTTGTTCCTGTGCCTTCAGAACCAATCCAGTTGTTGCTTACAAAGAGAAGTTGGCCGTGAAAAGAGATAAGGATCGTCACGATCTATTTACGTATATTCACGGACATAAATTCTACATTGCGAGTGTTCATCGTTAAAATATCAAATACTATTAATTTCATCCTTGACTCGATTAAAGTATTTAATTGGAAATCTTATGCATTTACAGTGCTATTATGCAATCAAGAACCATTATCTGAGGGACAATAACCTACGTGTTATGTACATACAATGAAATCGAAACATTAAAGATAACATTGAAAGCGTATAAATATGTTATGAATAAACCCTAACGTTGACAAAGTACCCCACTGACGATATCCTTGATTTCACCAAGAAATTCCGTGAAACCGTCACTCCTTGAGAAATCATAAAATGCTTGGACCCTCTCGGCCCTTGAAATTTTTGCAGTGAGGAAAATCTTGACACAGCAAGTTTTCAACTCGTAGCACTCATTGTTCCTGGCCCAGTTCCAGGCACGACTGAAATTCTCAAAATTTAATCTGGTAACAGAGAACTCCGTCAGGTTTTTTGAGACGTCGAACATGAGGAACTTATCAGCTAGTAACACAGCATCGAGAAGCGACTCGATTGTCCTATTATCAAAAACGTCACCCCTAGCCGCAAGGAGTAACGTATCCAATCCATCCTTTGACGTGTTCTTCAGCTTAACCCTCTTCTTGCCCGATTCCGAAAAACTACCCTGGAGCATAGCCGAGAAGAAGTCAGACTTCTGACAGAGGAAGTTTCTGCAGGCATCAACAGTACTTCCGTCGTCGAGTTCGAAGGTGACTGTTGAAGGTTTTAGAAGACGTCCATCGAATGATTCGGAGCAACTTATAGCAGTTGAACTAACTAGATCAGAAGCCCATTGACTCCTATCGACGCTATCCGGTCGTATCTCCAACGAATTGGCTAAACAGGATATAGAGCAGATGGCGTTCTCATGCAAGGAATGTTCCCGGTCAGCCAGGACACGAAATATCAATGATAGACCTCCATGATTGTTAAGAAGATTTCGCAAGCCGTCCCTTGATTTTATCAGAAACGGAATCGAGACGGCTACCATGAATCGATGTGATTCTTGACCTCGTACTAAAATCGAAGCAAATTCTCCGAGGGCGCCACCAGTTTCCGCCAAGGCACAAAGTTGTCTTGTATATTGTTCCGAACCGTAGAGTGTTTGAGCTTCGAAAACGAAGCCCTGCTTCAAAAGAGGTATTAGATACGTTCTATTTCTGAAAGAAAAATTATTTTTTTTTTAACATTTACAATTTTACTTTCATTTTACAATAGCACAGTTTATAACTTATCGTGGTCCCACTCATACCTTACGATTCTGGTGAGGATTCTTGAGGCCCGTGGACTCTTTGACATCCTTATATAAGTTGTCAGTGGTTCTATTGTAGATGGATCACCCAATTTTTCTATTGGCTCGTCATGATGACTCAATCTACTCAGTAATGTTAATGTCCAGGCATTAACGTGTTCGTTCGCAATGACCTTTAGACCCTTTCCCGTCTCCTGTGTTTCTTCCATATCCGCAATCAATGATGATGAACTTTTTAAAGATTCCACTTCCTCCTGTGGCTCTGTATATTTCAATTAAATTATATTAAACTTTATTTGTACACTCAATCAAAGTAAATACGACTCCTTACCTTCTTCATTATCTGCCCATTCATTGTCACTACAGACGGGACTGTAATTGTCCTCCGCATTGTCATCCACCTCGTTTTCGTAGAAAGGTAATGGCGGAGTACTTGGGGGTGAAGAACAAATGCTAGCAGCACTGCCGGGACTCCAATCATCTCGACGATAATCCAAACTGAATCTAAAAATAAGATTTTATGCAGTGACAATTGAAAAAAAAAGAGTGAGTATCTAGTGATCATGAAATGGTGACATACCTGCCATAATTTGTTCTGTTGTACTTTAAATCTGCTCTACCTGTGGAAGTGTCCCCAGGGCGTTTCTTGGATGCTGTTCTTTCCTCTGATTCTTTGGGTATTTCCAAAATCATTTGCTTCAGTTTTTTGACTAGTACATCCAACAGTCCATTTTTCACCATTATAAAAATACTCTGGTCATCGTAGACAAATTGAGCAAGAGCATGCAAGAGCATTGGGTGATACTTCTCGCACTCATCTTTCTTGAGAAGTGCTAACATCACGTCAAGCCCTGAACCAGAACGAATTTTCGCACGATTCACAGCTTCTCTGGAGAATAGACACAAGCTCACCAGAACTTCCCAGGATGGTGAATTTTTCATTGTTAGATCTATTACACATTCTACTGCTCCCACGCTACCTAGGATAGGACGACACTCTGCTATTTGACAAAGACTATGCAGGCACTTAATGGCCTTTTTATTTTTTTCCATGCAACAGTCAATAATGTATCTGTAACCCTGGACATCATTTTCTCCACGCATGTGATCGCCAGAACGCGGATCTAGGCCTCCTAATAATGCACACATTGCTTTTAGACATACTTCTACCAATTCTCTGTGCTTAGAACTGTTTTGTATCGACTCCTCCACAGCTTGAATGAATGTGGCGGTGATGTGTCTTATGGCACCTGATTCTAAAATCTCTTCTTGGCTACTTTCAAGCGAGATCCAAATGTTCCTGTATGAGATTTTTTATTATAATCAATAAACCTGTTACTCAATGGCAATTACTAAAAATCTCAATGGAATAACATTACCTTACTGCTCTGATTGCCATCAGACTAAGTGGAATATTAGATGATGATTTCAATACGTTTGAAAGAACTTTAACAACACCAGCTTCGCATAAAGTTGTTGCATGACAGCTGCATTCAGATAAATTTCCAATCAGTCTGCAGGCACGGCATCTCAATATGTTACCAAGTTTAATATTCTTAAGTATGGATACTGCATGTATGGCTATTTTTGTCCCTTGAACCTGAATAATAAAACATAAAATTATACAATATTAATGGCAGACTTCAAATACCAGAAGTCTGTTACAAAATACCTACCTCTTGTCTTATATGTGAAACCAAGCATGCATTAGCCAGGATACTCAGTAATAAATTGAGTATCTTGAACTTCTGGTAGGAAAATAACTTTATCAAGAGGCCCAGACCCCCGTCCTTAAAAAACTGTTTTGAGCACTTGGGATCATCCTTGATACGTTCTAAGCACGAAAGAATTCCACTCTTAGAGTCAGTTTTCAGATGTTTAGATAGTTCTAATATAACTGGATTCTTTAATTCCCCAATTTCGGATCCCATATTTCCCGTGACACATCGATATCTTCATGAAATCTTAATTAAAAAGGAACGAACATAACCATAAATTTGCTGCGCTCGTCCGATCGACGTACATATACAACTCCTTACAGTCCCATTCAAAAGTATGTACTGCCATCGATATATTTCCAGAATACATACATTTACACTAACGGATTTAGTTTCTCCGAATAAAATGTATAAATTTCCTTAATTTCTGAAAATCTTAATATTTCATCAGTATTGTTCATTGTCCTGGAATTTCTCCAGGAAAAATAGGATCTACAGAGCCTTTCAAATATCGATGAGGATCTGTACTAATTACCCATATCAGTGACTCAAATCCTGTTAAGTTAACTGTAAATAATTTTAGCATGAAACTCAATTCTCTTACCTATAGATTAATTTTCTACAAAAGAAAATGAACATTCAAACCCTCGAATTTGTCAACTGCTCTAATTAAAGCGATTCATAAACAAATAGCTCGGAGCTTTTCAGAGTTAGCTGGAAGGAATTATGGAGGGGGAGGCGTCAAATGACGCAAGAACACAGGACAGGCATCGGAACGTGACATCTATGCAGGAGATGTCGGCAAGATGACAGCGGCCGTACGACATTCGTCTCGTTTTATTGCAGTTCGGTTTTTCTGCTTATCGGACTAAGCATTGTGCGGCACTCAAAGAGCTAGTGGGCGTACATCGTACGCGACGGCTGTCTACGATAGGGTCCGATACGGACGAACGCCTCTTAGTAGGATTTTTTGGGCCAGCCGGGAAAATTAGGGCTACTTTGGCCGTAATAAAGTTGACAAGATATATCGTGACTGTTACTGATTATTGAAAACAATTCTCCTCTTGAGGTGCAATGCGCTTAGGAGTAGCTTGAAGTGACGGTAGATCCTCTTCGTCGAAAAAGGGAACAAGCTGAGAGTTTCTTGACGGAGTGATGAGCGTTTTCGGGGACTTCCAGCGTGTCTGGGTGCAAAGATTCCCGGACAGCGCCCTGCCAGCAGCCTGGGAGGAGGATGTCAGGGCGAACCTAGTGAAACATAAGCAGAAGGTATCAACCTAGTTTAAGATGAAATTTATGTATTAAGATTTGGAGCAGCATGGAAAGTAAATCGTAGGTCAGTTTTGGGAGAGATGTACTATCGAAGGTTTTACTCTGTAATAGGTTGCTGCGTTGAAGGAAGAATTGGAGAAGGAAGAATTTTATGTGGAGTATTTGCAAAGGCTACTGGCTGATGTTGAAAGACATAGACAATTGGCCAATGCTTCTTTTAATAATGATGATGCAGAAGTTAAGACTGCATTGACTGATCCACGGACTAAGAGCGAAAATCAAGGAGATGATAATAATCCACCAGATCCTACAAATCCTGTTAATCAACAGATTATAGAACCTTCAGCACCGCCACTTCCTGCCAGAGAGGATATTAGTAAGCTTCAAGACAAATGTGTGTCTGAATTAAGTTCCACTCTTACCTCGAGTAGGAGACCCAAGAGCGAAATTCCTGGTAGTCCTGATAAAGTACCTGTACTTAGGAGAAACAGTAATCCAGATGTACCCAGTAACTATGTCACAGTAATACAAGTGACTGGCAGTTCCAAAAAGGAGAAAGGTGAAGAGTCTGTTAAAGAAGAGGATGAAAAGGGTAAATATGTCAATCACAGTTCATTTAGATATTGTAATATTTAGTTAAAAACCGGAATACCTAAGAAAAGTTATTTTACAATTAGATTCTGAAAAAGCTGTAAATGAGGATGGCGAAGATGGTGATGCAGAGGCTTCTGAGGAAGAACCATATTATGATTCTGTAGCATTAGACCAAACTGGAGAATATGTATACATTGATGCTCGTGTACCTCCAGTTGGGAATAACAATAGTGGTAAAGTACCATTACGTAGGCCACCTTCACTCCCTGATTCACCTGGCAATCAAAGCAACTATGTCAATATTGACTACTTTATACAGTAAGTGATTATTTCTATCCAATGAGTCGAATTCTTTTATCACACTTCGAGTTTCCTTATGCAACTTAAATTTACAAATCTACTACTTCTCAGACACAGAGCAGCAGTGGATAGCGAGGATGAAGAAGGAGCCAGTACAGCTCCCCCAATTCTTTTACGTGCCTTGAGCACTGATAATGAAACTGGCAGTAGCGATGCAGAACCACTCAGTCTAAGCGAAGGAAGTTTAGAGTCTCCAACACCAACAACACCACGCAGACAGGATAAAAGCAAGGAACGAGAAGATGACAGAACATCAATGGTAAAGTGTATCATCAACTCCGTAGTAGACAGCGAAGCTGTATATGTGGAATGTCTCACCGTAATGCTTCAGGTAAAGTTTCACATTATTATTGCTCAACATTAATTACTTATTCGATTAATATATATTTACATTTTATCTCTACAGTACATGAAAGCAATCAGGGCAACACTAACTACATCACAGCCTGTTATATCCGAAGAAGAATTTGGTACCATGTTCTACAAGATTCCTGAACTTCATGCTCTTCATCAGAACTTCCTTGATGGTCTGCGAAAGAAAACAGAAAAGTGGGACAGCAGAACAACTATCGGTGAACAATTTAAGGTTGGTTACACTTTTGTACAATTATATTTAATTTCGTGGACTTTTCCATGCATACAACGAATCAACAGGTGATGGCTAGTAACATCGGACTCTATGGAGCATTTTTACATAACTATGCTCGTGCTACCGATACTGTACGTCGTTGCTCCGCCCATTCCACTCAATTTGGAGAAATTACAAGAGACATTCGACTCAGGGGTTTCCCTAAGGGACCAGGACTTTCTCTGGAGGACTTACTTCATAAGCCAGTAGCACGTGTCCAGAAGAATGCTTTAGTTCTACATGTAAATATATCCTGGTTCTGTATAATTTGTTTATTGATTTCATAGCAATTTAGTGACGTATATAATTTCCCAATGATTTCAGGATCTTCTTAAGCATACACCGTCGAATCATGCTGACCATGCACCTCTTTCAGACGCTCTGGCAATGACCAGGAATTTCTTGGACGAATTCAATATCATTCAAACGAAATCCATGTTCCCAGTATGTTCTGCAATTTTTTAATAATCACATAAATGCACTGATAACTTCAATTGATTGAGGATTTTTTATTCTTTTCATATAGAGTCATGATCGAGCACAACGAAGACTGGTAAAAAATTCCTTCGTGGTTGAACTTTCTGATGGCCACAGAAAATTAAGACATCTTTTTCTGTTTAACGATGTTATTGCCTGCGCAAAGTATAAGGCTTCTGGTAGGGATAAATTTACTTTTGAACTTAAGTGGTATGTTCCTGTGGCGGAGGCTGCGGTCTCTGAAGATGGTGTAGAACCAAGAGAAGCTAGTCCTGCCAATGTAGTAGCATTGAGGTACAGTCATTTTTTAAGTATACCTAAAATTTCTTATTAACTAGTTAGTCATTTTTATTATTAATATAATAATAGGTCTCAAGCGTGTACCGTGAGAGATCAAATTCTCTGGGAGGAACGTAACGACGAGAAACGCATCAGACTTGGTGGCAGGGGTTCTGAGAAAAATAGAAAAAAATTAGCGGAATTAGAAGCTCAGCTGGTATTGGCATCGCCGAATTTAGTCTTACGTGTTGCTCATAAGAGTCAGCACCGCGTACAGAATTCCTATACATTTTTCCTATCCAGTGAATTCGAGCGTTCACAATGGGTTGAGGCTGTTGAGGCTCTGCAGCAGGTACGTAGTCCATTTTGGCACTGTCAAATTAAGAATAACATAGTACAAATATTCTATTTTCTTTTCTTTTCATTCTACCAGGGTGGTCAACCACCAGGTCCGTTACCGCTGTCAATGTACGAGCTACAGGCCTGGGTCACTGCTTGTCGTACATATTTACAGACTGACATGGGGAGCTATCTGTTAAGATCAGGACGTGATGAAAGTCTTCTTCTGGGTGATTTGCATCTGACACTATTGGGACTAACGCCACCGGGTTTAGACAGACCTGGTGATCTGTACATCATCGTTGAGGTTGACAGTTATGGACATTACTTTAAACGAGCTAAAAGTCGCGTTGCTAGAGGTCAAGTCCCGACCTGGGGTAAGAATCTTATAGTACACCGTTGAAAGTAGTAAAAGTGGGATTGAATAATACAATATTATTACAGGAGAGACATTTGTCGTGGAATTAGAGGGTAGTCAGAATGTTAGAATCCTTCTGTATGAAGAAGGTGGACCGCGTCCTGTTCTTCGAGGTAAATGTACCCAACGACTAAGTCGATCCTGGCTTCAATCAGATCAAGTTGAAAGGGCTTTGAACCTGGGACCAGCGTCTCTGGATGTGGCCCTGAGATTTGTACCCAGTGAAGTTACACTGAGAAGAGTACCTTCCGCCAAGCCTCAAGGACTCTTTGGAGCAAAAATTCAACAAGTTTGCAAGTGAGATTCAAGTTCAGATGTAAAGTCAATCTGAAGAGTAATTATCACAAAAGTTATAAACTTATCACCTGTAATTTTTGCGACAGACGGGAAAAGCGTGACGTACCATTCATAATAACTGCCTGTGTCCGTGAAGTGGAAAGGCGAGGTGTCGGCGAAGTGGGTCTCTATCGTGTTTCAGGATCAGCCTCTGACTTGGCCAAATTACGTAAATCCTTTGAGAGCAATTCATACGAAGCCGAACAATTACTTAAAGAGGTAAAGATCATCAAAGTCATGATCCCACGTTATAAACTTCTTTATACTAATTTGATGTTTCTCCGATTGATCAAAATTCCAGGTAGACGTTCATTCCGTGACGGGTGTACTAAAGTTATATCTCCGTGAGATGCCAGAAGCTCTGTTCACAGACGCCCTGTATCCTGCCTTCCTGGAGGCTTATCAAACTGGCGAATTATCCAGAGGCGTCGCTCTGCGTCGAGTGTACGAGAGTTTACCCCTAGTGAACAAAGCAGTAATCGACTTCCTCTTGTCGCATCTGATCCGTGTGAACAAGCACGAAGGGCAAAACAAAATGTCCTTGCATAATCTAGCCACCGTCTTCGGACCAACTCTTCTCCGACCTGGCACAAATTCTCGATCGGATGCAAAGAGTCGTGATCCTCTGGCTGCTGGAACTGTGGACGTAATGGCGCAGGCTGGTATATTGTATTGCTTCCTACAAATGCATCTGCAACAGAATAATCAATCGCTCTAGTCGAAAGCGTTTCGTCGATCAACGGCCATTAGCGATTTCCTATTTGACGTCGCTTATCGGTATCGCATCGAACCATGGTTTTTTGTATTTCATATTTTATATTCCTTTTCATCATTGTTATATTTCTTTTTTCTTTAACTATTGCCAATAATATACTATGGTGGACGAATGAGTGGAAGGTGAATAGTAAATGAAGAGAAGGCAGCAGACGAGGAGAGAGAATTACCGATTTTACAATAAGCTATTTTATTAATCTCATAGCATAATATATTGCGAAGCTGATTTAATAAGGGGGGAAAAGGGGAGACAGAAGTATTACTCTGTGACGAACAAAAGAAACAGCTTTATACGCAAAAGACAATTGCGAGTGTCGTGTTATTTTAACGAATAATCTCGAAATTGACGACTTTTATGTTTGCCGGTCGTCATCCTATGCCAGGTCCTAGTGCTGGTCTCAGGTCCATGTGAAAGACGTTAAGAAAATTTCTGTAAACGCGAATAGAAAGACAATCTGTTGATCAAGTAACGATATACTCATTCTCGTGAAGGACATTTCGTATGAACTTCTTGTAAGACTCAATGCATTTTTCTAACTATCCTTTTTCTATTCCAATACGTGGCCTATAGGATCCATAATTACCTTTGTACTTGTACTTAGGAAAGTTTTATACCAGCTGTGCGTGACGATTGATATATGTTTTATAAATTATTCTTTAAACAGTTGTCTTAATTCCAATAATTATTTTTTATCTTTGCAAAATTTAAAAATCCAGAGCAGTTGGAACTTATCAGTTGCGTATTAATAATTCGGACGAATAATTAAGGAGAAACATGCGACTTCAAGTTCCAAAACATCTGGTTATAATAAATAAAAAAAAGAGAGACTGGTATATACTTATAAAAACCGTATTATAATTTCAAATGGAGTGACATTTTTACAAAGCAAGCAGAAGGCAACTATTTCTACGTGCATAAATTTTTGTAACCCGCCCATGTGTATTATATCGTATATATTGAATATTTTTAATTTTTATATCACATTAGATATACGAACGAATATTTGTATGTACATTCATATACGACATAATGTAAAGTAGAGATGGAGACAGAATGAAAATTCGAAAAAAAAGAATGACGATTGTCTTTGAAATGACAATCGTCACAATCAATAATCTTGACGCACCCATTTATCATCAGCCATCATTTATCCATTAGCAACGTCATAGATTAATAATGAAGACCAAGTTATTTTTTACTGAACGCAATCAAGCTAGCTTTATATGCAGCGAGACGGTGTACTGCCAAAAAAACTGGAGATTTTGAAATATGGAAATAAAAAAAAGTTTATAAACTTGTACGTTCCACGATATATTTTATTTACACATACCAGAATCTTATTTAGCAGAAATGAGACATGTGGAAATATGTATATATTCATGCATAATATGTGTACGTCACATGAGGGGCTCTACTTTTAAAACTTTGTTTGTACTTTGGCTTTATTTTTCGCCCACGAAAGAAGCTTTCTAAAAGTTACCGCTTTGCTCTAGGGTTTTAATTCAAATTATTCTTCCGCCTAAGGGCGAGCGTGGTTCTGAAGTAAAGTAACCAAAGAAACTGCTGGAGGCCATCTTCATGTTTGTTCAGAGAGCAGCGCACTTGTCAAGTTCTATTAGACAATATTCAGCAGCAGTGCTAAATTCAATACACCAAAGAAAGACGTAACGCGTATTTTAACTACCTTGGAATACAGTCGCAAATATTATTCCGATTCTAGGCCATTTTTTGTAAAATCGGTACAATCCCTAGCAGGTGGTGATAATGGGAGTGAAACTGGAGATGCTGCGACATTTTCCCAGAGACCAGGTAATCGCGAACCATCAGATGCATTGCACTGCATTCCTGAAAGGGGCAAATGCATTTTTAAACGAGTAAATTATATTTAACCTTTCTTCAATCTTTTACCTAATGGCGCTGCTTCGTAAAGATCGTGCAATGCAGCCACTCGCACTTTGGTCCATTCTATTCCATTGTAATTAGCAGATATAGCTTCGTTACTCGTTGGCTGATTTTCCCAGTCTCTCATGTACCGGAAATACGTACGCAGAGCGTCGTTGCTTATTGCACTTTTACAAACCTGTCATACAAGCATGAAATTTAGGATTCGTAAAATCAAATTGTGAACAATGGAAACCGACCAAACAGACCTCTAATCGCGTGTTGGGATAATAATGAATATAGTTCACACACATCTCGTCGGAAATGGCAAAACCGCCAAGTGTTACGTTTTTCCTGTTTTTAGTATCGTAGGTACATGTAGTTATCAGAGCGTCGCCCTAACGATATAGATAAGATAAAGAAAACGTCATGAGTACAAATTTCGTAAAGTTCTGTATTTACCGGTAAAACAGTGACGGGTTTTGGTAACAATCTGATTTCTTGAAAATGAGTGGAGTAATGATTGTCGTAATTCAATAAAGGTAATTCCTTGCCGTCACGGATGTGACGTGTCACGACTCTCTTGCCGGTTAGATGAGTGTGCAGTTGAGAACCAAAAATGTGAATTCCACTTTGTGGCAATCCTACTCCTGTACACTCGGAAATGCAGTGACCGGATAGCGTGAAGGATTCCTAGAGTAATGAGAAACAAATTTAATGGATTTAATATGTATATCCGTTATCATTTATTAAGCTTTCTTCTTTACCTGATTGGGCGGTATCGCCATTTTATCGGTATATTCCAATCCCAGCTCTATTACTCCAGCATCGTAACGCCTCAGGCTCTTGGTAAGAACGAAACGGATTCCAGAGGAGTCTATATTACCGTCTTGTAATTCTGGGTTATTATAATGCACTTCCAGCATGACGTAACGATTAAAATTTGTTCCTCCAATAGGTAAACCAGTCTCTTTCGGATAAACAAAGGCATCAGCACCCATAGCCCAAGCAGCAAGGACTTTCTTGCAAATCTATGATAAAGAGAGTGTAGGACATGTAGATATATTTTCGTTTAAAAGATTCTATTTAATATAACCTACTTGAGTTCCCTCTGGACGATCAGCAGCGTCACAAGGACCATTGTAATGAGGAACTTGAATATTGGCTAGTCCAGCACAATGAAAAATTTCCATATGATGCACCAGGTGTTCATTGCCTGTTTGTATGGCAGGTCCAAACTGAAGAATATGATGTCTGCAATAAGAATTAACGATCAGCACGTCTTTAGCATTTACATATTCAATGGTAAGTTTCGGATTTACAGACTTTTGCTTCAATGAATCCGGAAGTTTGTGTACACGACACCAATACGTTGTTTCTCTATTTGGTACTTTTATTCTGTTCACCAGCAATTCCAGTTCCCAAGCGTCGGAAGGCCACTCTGGCGCCGGATGTGATGTTCTCAGTAATTCCGTTCTTGACATTCCGGAACTTTTGGCGTCGGATACTCGCAGACCTGCCAAGGATGACAAGGGACCCTGACCCTTTAGCCATACTATGTGAGTTGTTCCCCTCTGAGATAAGAAAAATCACAAAGTCTAATTTTCCATCCTCCATTATTAGGATTAAGAACACACCTCTATTATGTAATCGTGATTGTCGCAGGTATCAAATTTCCGGGAGAAAGTGAACTTGGTGATATTGTCACGCTGCTTCCAGTCGAAGCTTTCACAATCCTGCTGCTGATCCAGGTTTAATTCTCCATCTTCATCAGCCCAGGCGTCCTGGAGTACACTCATCATTTAAAATGGTATCGACAAAGGATATTAAAATTTTATATATTACTTGTAATTGCATATGGCGATGCCAATCGATCCACAAGACACAATAGTCTGCATGTTTGAATTCTCCATAATTTGAAAATCCTACAGCAAACCAAGAACTTTCTTCAGCCACAAAGTGAACTTCGATCGTTACAGATTCGCTGGTATAGTCAGTCCTGGAAGGATGCAATATAAGATTTTAAAAAATTTGAAGACACGAGCGAATATACGATTTTCAAAATATAATCAGCACCTCCAATAGAATGTGGATTCAGAACCAAGTGGTACCGAGTGTACCCCATTTTTTTCGTAAGCTTTATTACTATGAGTAGAAATATGATCAGAAAGACCAAGGATGATCTTTGCAAGTATTAATACGAAGATATACTTCATTCTTAAAACTTTCTTTCAATCCTAGTCCTGGGCCAGCTCTTCAACTTCTCTTTTCACCGTTCGACTAGAACTGAGCTTCTGAGCTCTGAAGAAAATTTTGCGCTGAAGCTTTTCTCGCGGGCTTCGCTCTTCACGCGCAAGCCCTTGCGCCGTGATGATGTGCGCCTCAGGATCTTCCACTACAAGCTACTAAAATCAGGTCGAACCCTTTGGCTACTGGATATTAAAAAATAATTATATTTAAAAAAAAAACAGGAATTTTGAACCACGAACGCACGAATAATTGATTTAGGCCTTATAATTATATGATTAGTTGGAAGTATCTTAATTAGAAGAAAATTAAGATACTACAATAGTATACTTAATTAAACAAATTATATGTCCTATTAGGTACTCAGTAGAACAAGAGATCTAATAATGATTATTTTTAATGATGAATCAAGTCATAATCAAGTCATATCAGGCATAATCGATACCAGAAAAATATATATCATTATTTGCTGGGAATATTTCCACGACTAGACGCTGAATTCCATTATCAAGATTATTGCATTCTTCGACACGGCCATATAGCACGTGCCCGTTCAAAAATGCCAATCATGAAATTCCGAGGATTCTCATTAACTCCGTTATTTCTTTATTGTACCGTCTCATTCGTTCTGCAATAGGGACCCACGTGAAAATTCCTTTGTCTCTATTAATTCTATAGGAAGCTTTGAAATCGTTTCCAGACCCTTTCTTGTAATTATGTTCCAGAGTTTTAAGGGTCGCCGCAGCGTGATTTCAATCGGTCAGGTAGAAAAGACCCTTGTTAGCTTTTATAATCCTTTCATATTTTTCTTTAACTTTTATTCCTTTGCAGACATGCTGCTAAAGTATACGTCTTCTCTGTAACGGTTACACAATCTACAAGCAACTTCCGGTTAAACTTTTGTCTTCTGGATGGGATCATTGAAGCTGGACCAAGTCATCCTGTCACCCATTAATTCAATGCATGGCTAAGCCTGATAAATATGAATATTTAAAAGTCATTCAAAAGGCTTTCAATGGAAATAAAAATTGTGTTAGAAATTATTCAGGTAAATATCCTAAGTATATCTAGTTTAAAGGAAAAATGGTAATTTAATGGAATGCTGAAAAATGATGACTGCCGATACTCCAGCAGGTTTAAAAAAAATTATCTTTTAGCATTTGTTTGTATATTCTGGCTATTATCAATTCATTCGTTCTAGAAAGCTCGACGAACGATGCACACGTTACTCGAAGCACGCTGTCACGTAATGATCTTTGATTGACTCTAATTGAAAACTTTAATCATCTCTTAACTCCAACCTCAGACTCGGATAGAGATCTAGAACCTTTCGCTTGACACGCCGAATGATTAATAAATACAAATACGCATTCAAGTGATATACGACGCCAATAATAATCAAGAGTTCTTTATAAGATGGCGTGGCTAGACTTAAATAGTATTAAAGTACGTACATGAGAATCTACTGATTGAATGATAAAAGTTATTTAACTAAAACCTCATTATCTAGCGACGCAACAGAACAGCGTATAATCTCGACAAGCAAGACATTTTAACAAGTATAAGTGAAATAGCAAGAAAAAAAAATTTAAAGAAAAAATCAAAAGCTATCTCAGACATGGATTCTAATGAATATTTCCTGACTTTCAGCACTCGTTGGAAATTTCACTCAGGTAATTATTTCCAAGTCTAAGGTACCCAATGGAAAGTGAACATGGCAAATATAAAATATGCCAAGCAGCCATTTGTCCAGGCAGCCGCCGGTCTACCCAGCCAGACAGTCAAGCAAGTCACAAAGAACGGACGCAATGGCGTGCACGGTGGGAAACCGAGACAGCCTCGGATTCCGTGAAGGCTAGGAGGAGGCGAAGCAAGGAGTGTCCCAATGTCGAGCACAAATGTCGGAACCCAGAGTAGACGAGAGAGGGCTCGGGAAGACTGGGGGCCCAACTTAGCCTGGTTGGGACCGTGCGGAGCAGGCGGCGGCCGTCGTCACCATCGGCTGAGCTGGCGATGCAGCTCAGTGGCAATTGAGAAGCGAAAGAGAACGCTTGGACTTCAGTGTCGGAGCAACTGGTCCATAGCCGTCGTGACGATACGACCACTGTCCATAAGGAATGTGATCTCTATGTGCATCCTAAATCCTCTTTTTGTGTGGGACACGCAAGTGAGAATATTAATTGAGGTAAATATTAATTTAAATAAATATAAAAATTACAATTGGCCTACCAATCATTGAAAATAACTGAACGGATAACTGAACTGAGCTATTGGATGACTTGAGACTCGTCACTTTAATCGATGTACCAAGAATAGGTCTTACCTCCTTATTTCCACGAATAGGCAAAGTTATTGTAACTCTGAAAAACTTGTGAATTTTTCAAAACTGTCAAGGCAACATAGATTGCGCGGGATTTGAAAGGGGCACGTGTGTATTTCGCTTCCGGTATCTTGGAGCACTTGGGATCTTTGATCATGGTTTTAACTGCTTTTTTTTTGTCTAGTGCATCTAGTACCTACGTCTTATGTTTCCTGATTCGAGATCGTTCTCCATCATCGATATTTAATAAGCTATAGATCTTGCTAACAGTTAGATCCGTTCTCATCAGTCACGGTGTACGTCAGCACACATAGAGGATCGCCATTGCTTTTGTCGACTTGCCACTTCTCCCACTTAGCATCGAAATATGCTATTTTAAAGCGAGGATCCGCGCGTGCTCGTGCCTCAGACGATGTGTGTCTACGTTATATGGAACGACCTATAACGAAATTTATATGCAAGCATAAATCAAGCAATGGCGATAGCTTGTCTAGGTACTTTCCAATGAATGCCAATAGATTCCTGGTATAATCGATAATTCTCATTTTTCTAGCATATGCTTAAGAAGCAAATGCGTATATTACATGAAGACATGAAAAATCCATTGACTCGATCGATACTATGATAATTAGTATGCTGGAAAATGGACTTAGTAAATTATATAAAAACTTAAGTATTCTTATTTAAGTATTCTTTATTTTTATTTTCCTTTCTTATTCTTATTCTTATACTGATAACCTAAATCGAACTTTTCATGGAATGCAAATCTTCTATATTCTATATTCTTTAAAAACCTTCTATTATTTCAACACACAAACTATTTTCATGGACTTTGATTATTTTCGTCCTGACTCTGTTAGACTATGTCAATTACTTGGCAATAAGTTGTACCTTTGCGTAGGATCCTATTATACTCTGTAAACACGTGTTCGTCAGATCGACGTCGACGTACGTCGGTTATATAGAACCCACTCCAAATTAGAGAGTCAGTTCACGTTAAATATTGCACAAGCAACAGTGACTTGATGAGTTTTTAAATATTTTCTGGAAAATCTTGAAAGTCAGCGTAACAATTTATTTCATAAATCACCCCATCATTGTGACCTTTCAACCCGCGAGTTCGCTCTATCGCGAAAACCGTGTATACTTTTTAAATTAAACTGATAAGACCCTAATTAGCTCTTCACTGCTAGAGCCAATTCTTAAATGCCTATCATTATTGACCTTCAAAAATTTAACGTTGCAATCATACCACATATATCTATATCGATAAGCTTATCAATGTATATGTCTAGTCAAGTCCCCAGTAAAACTGTCTGACATGGGTCGTCTATTGAAAAAAAAGAATACGTTTTTTATACAAATAAAACATTCGAGTTGCGCAATTGACTTATCAATAACTCGTATCAAACGGACTACATAAACCGTATGACTAATTAATTGTTAATTATTCTGAATACTGATCCTATTTTCCAAGAATTTAATATACTCACTGTCGATCTCAAAATGATTCACATCACGTGACCCCTACGTGAGCATTCCAAAAGTTTATCAAATTGTATATATGTATGTACGTCTGTCGCAACCAATTATGATATATTAACATACGTTGATTGCACTGCCACCTGTGGCCCGTCAATTTACTTAGAGACATGATAAGGATGAACTATGGTTCCTGGTATTATATATACACAGTCGTTTCCTCACTCGATAAAACTTTTATGTTTAACTATGAAAGTTTAAAAAATGTATCAATACGTATTGCACATTAATTTACATTAAGTAAACTTTTGACAGCGAATCTGAAAATATAAACATAAGATTTACATTAGGTAAAAATCACAGTTCCCATATACTGTAAAACTTTTATCAAAAGGAATAAGTATTCTATTGTTTTATGTTGCAGAGAGCATAAAGAGACGCCAAGAGCGTACATAGAGAGGCAACTTCGAATAAGAAGAAGCCGCGGCTGGGCGTAATAGTTTGTAATCGATGGGTTGAGAACGCAAGTGTCTTTTTTTTTCTTTCGAACCAAGGTGTTTAGCTTACCGATGAGCCATGCTGAAGGTAGTAGGGGCCTCGTGGCTGCAAACCCGCATCTCCACTTACATACTCGTTGCCGTAGCAATGCTCGGCATCGGGGCCATCATCCTCGGGGAGTTTGGCCAGTACGTATACTCATTCTCATCTTTTTTATCCTTTGCTAAAGTGAGAGCAAAGTAGAGATTGGCCCTAATCAACATTTACTTGACATCTTGCTCAACTGATGTAAATCGTTAGCAATACCTTAAATCAATATTGAATTTAGATATTTGATGTTGGCATAACCATAATGACACAGCCTGGTACCGATTCCACTTGCTGTTCTTGATGATTTTGCTTATTATCTCTTTTTACACAGTGTGGAAAATGATGGAACTTACTCAGCGACTGTAACATGGAAACGTAACGGTGGGTACCGTGTCGACTTTTGGGGACAAGGCAATGATCTTACAGCCATACCACTTGGAGCAGCACGTGCTTATTATAAAACTGGTATCTATGAGACAGGGTATGTCCTACGAGTATTGTTGATATCCGACTTGAAAGATAATGATGTTAAATGTCTATAGTCAAATCTTTCTTCAGATGGTCCATCATTGAGATTCAGACTTCTGAGGAATATCCGGATATGGTACAGGCTTATGCGGCAGGACTCGTGGAAGGTAGTTTAACCTGGCAGCTCATACATCATCATTGGCGTAATACAATGCGCTCCGCGTGTGCACCAAGAGCTGCCATTTGTCGGAAAATGCGAAACTTTCTTCGTGAGAACAACGCAGCTGTCAGAGAACGTGCTGAAGTCCTAGCTGATAAGGATCCATACTGGCATATGGTGGATAATGATGCTTTATATAAATTAATAATACATTTCTTTTGGACATGAACGTAGTACTTACTCTCCCTTCTGTTCTTAGATACGTCTATTCTACGCGCAACTGGATGGTATGGAAGCTGGATGGAAATTCGCGGTTCGACGGAGCCGTCAATCGGTTGAGATTGAGTCGGAGGATTTCCTTTGGCTTGCTATGGCTTCCGATTTGCCTGACCTGGAGCGTGCTCTCAATGGTTCAGATTTCAAGGATAACTACAGAGGAATGACGTTCCTGAAGTCACTGCCCAGGGAGCATTTAGGACCTTTGATCGCCGTAGCCCAGAACACAGCTGCACCGTAAGTTATAGTTAATAACTTTGTCTAGCTAAAATTAACTGTTTGTCCTTCTCTTTGTGCTGCTCCATATGTGAAATATAATCAGCAACGTGGGTATCGATTAAAATCTTTCAACTTACGGTATCGTCTGAGTTATCTGAACAAATTGTACTCTTATCATTCATAGATACAATAGAATGCTGAGACTCCTAAAGAGATACACGTTTGGTTATCACGTTTCCACGGACAAGGACGCTGAAGTTGTAACTGGTCGCTCGGTTGTAATGTCATCTTATCCTGGAGCATTATCCTCCCAGGACGAATATTATCTGGTACAGGGAGAAGAGCGTGAATTAATAGTTGCGGGAACACCATTGGTAGTAAGCAACAAAAGTCTATGGTCCCATTTAAGTCCGAAAAAACAGGTGAGCTCTATTGTCTTCAGGTCCTCAGTAAGAATCGCCGAAAGTGGTAAACCGAATGAAAATATTTGTTTCAATCGTTCAGGTAATGTCAGCTCCAAGAGTGATGGCAGCAAATCGTTTGGCACCGGATGGACGTGCCTGGTCCCGTCTTATAGCCCGACAAAATGGCGAAACATCCTCTCGCCAATGGATCGCAGTGGAGTCTCGTTTAAATTCCATCTTCCTGGTAGAACAGCTTCCAGGTCTAACGTGGGCTGCGGACTACACCAAGGAGTTCACAGAGAATGGATTTTTATCCTGCGTTGGTATTCCTGTTTTTGAACAGATCAAAGATATAAACGGACGTTTGGATAATGATAGCGAGACTTACTTGCTTACGAAAAGTATGAAGGTAACCATGCTCCAGAAGAACATCACGACAGCCGAGGAGATTGTAAGGATGATGCGGGGTTTCATTCACGAGGACGACAGTCAGGTTAACTTAGAAACAGGTGATTCTACTTCAAGTACATCGGCTACAGATTTTGAATTGCATAGGCTCCTCTCCTTCAGAGGTGACTTGGAGGAGCGATCCAGACCCGTAGGTATAATCGATACGAAAATACTCCTGGTAGATCTCGATGGGTTAGAAATGTTCGAGGCTACATCAGGCCCGACCTTTTCTAACAACTGCCCATCATTTAATTGGTCTAAGAGCTTTCCTAACATCTCCCACGTCGGTCAGCCAGATATCTTTAATTTCGACAGTGTAAGGCCAATTTGGGTCTGGATTTAATGATCTAGATTATCTCTATCTCTGGGTTTGCCACGGTGCCACTATTTAATCTGAAATTCATATGTATAAATGTTTAACTTTTGATTGTATGTATACAGCTGGCTCATATGTAAACTTAACCGTGGCGAGTTTTTTTTTTCAATAAAAATATTACAAAAAGATATCCAAGTTTTACCCCACACTCTCCAGCATCTCTTCCAACCCGAAATCATATTTCCTATGGTTCATGAAGAAAATTTACAGATAAAATTAAACGGTTTTGTAAATTTAATTGTGTCTACGCCACTGGGTGTCTTGCATGCTGTGATGTAATGAAATGTGTATGAAGTCTCTGATTGTCTCTGATCTGCTCTGATCCTCGTGGTTTATTTGACAGGTCGAGTTAAGTTTAGCCGTTTTGCGATCGATGATAATTTCTGGCGCGTAGTCAGGTTATATTGGGTTACACCGAATTTCCAGACAACACGCAAATAAAGGAATTAACTCAAATGTTATTTTTACTCGATATTTGTATTCTAGATTAAACTTAATATGATGGAGATTAACAATGATACTGGAAGCCATGAAAAAGATATGCCTGTCACGCTGGGAACTACTGTTGACGTTGAGCAAAATTTACTTAAGGTTAGAGCTTTAGCTTTGTTCAACAGTCAAGAAAGACGAAATGAACGGAGAGACGTAACGTACTGCTGAAAGCCTTACTATTTAAAATTTAGGATAACTTTATATTAAGATTTTAGTCGTACGTTATGTGGTTTCATTGGATTTTTCAAAAATCACTAACTCCAAGACGTTATTCATTCTATGTAGAATTTTTGCTATTTTTCTTCTTAGGCAATCGCCCTTCCTGAGGCTACGGTTTTAGAAGCTGCTGCTAAGCATATCACCGAGCTCGCCAAATGTAAATTGAGCGTGTCCAATGATGATAATGTCAAAGAGAACAACTCTGGAGAAAGTGAGTTACAAAAACAGGTCCGGTTGGGAGAAATTACACCATTCCAAGCTGCAAAGGAATCTGCTAAACGCAACACTACTGGGTATTGAATTTTTCCATAAAACCAGAATTTTGTTCCTATCGATTAAAATATTTTAATTATAAATCTGTTTTTGGATATTCTTGAAGAACCTTCAATAAAACAACACAGCTATTGGATCTTGAGAAGTATTTGTATCAACAGGCAGAATTAGCCAAGAAGAGGTGTCAGTTGAAGAAATCAATAAAGTCAAAGTTCAATGCAACCCAAACGGCAGATGAAGTAATACCTAATAAAAAACGACGTTTGGAACGTATTAGTTCAGAGTCACGCACTTCGAAAAAGCATGTTCCTAGAAAAAGAGAGACTTTGGAAACAAAAATGCTTGACCCATCTGGTGATGACGGTTACATTGAAAATGGGATAGATGATAAACGTTATTCCGACGAGAGCGTAAAGAATAATGAATTATCCGTAACTCTGGATGGATCCAAAGATAACACTGGTAGTGAAAGAATTACGAAAGCAGGTACAGGATCCCTTGATGTAATAGAATCTCCAAATGATTCCGGAAGCGAATATATTCCAAGCGATGATCATAGAGATTCAGAGGATGAGAATAGGAAGACATCATCCACGAAGAAGGATACTTCAACAAAATCCAAAAAGACACGTATAAAGAGAATTCTGGATGATGGGGACGAGGATACGTACAGACACAGAGTGGAAAGTAGTAGCTGTTTAAAAACTGAATCCTTCCATCCTATAGATAATTTATTCAAAGTTCCAAATTCCGTATGGAAGAGACTGTATAAGTATCAAAGAGTGTCTGTTCAATGGCTGTGGGAATTGCATGGTCGAAATTTAGGTGGTTTACTTGGAGATGAGATGGGTCTAGGAAAAACTGTACAAGTAATCGCCTTTCTGGCAGGTCTTGACTGTAGCGAATTACTGAGTGATGGTGGAAGGTTTCGTGGACTGGGACCAACTTTAATCATTTGTCCAGCAACCTTACTGGAACAATGGGTCAAACATTTTCATGATTGGTGGCCAACCTTGAGAGTTGCGACTTTACACCAATCTGGAACTTATCAAGGTGATCCGTATTACTTAGTAGATCGCCTTAAAGGTGGTGGAGTGCTCGTTACTTCGTATTCAGGAGTCCTTGGACACAAGGATCTCCTAGTCAATACAAACTGGCATTATGTGATCCTTGACGAAGGACATAAAATAAGAAATCCTCATGCTAAAGTGAGTAAAGCAGTCAAAGAATTCTCAACACCACATCGTCTTCTTCTAACAGGCAGTCCATTGCAAAATTCCTTAAAAGAATTGTGGTCTCTCTTTGATTTTATATTACCTGGAAAACTTGGTACCTTACCTACTTTTCTTGAACATTTTGCAAATCCCATAACACGTGGTGGTTACACAAACGCGAGTCCCCTTCAGGAAGCTACGGCTCTCCAGGTAGCAACTCTACTGAAGGATGCCATCACTCCCTATATGTTAAGAAGAACTAAGACAGATGTAAAGCATCATGTTAGTCTGCCCGAGAAGAACGAGCAAGTACTATTCTGTAGTCTTACAGATGAACAGCGTAAACTGTATAAAAATCATTTAAGATCTGATGACGTGTCCTACGTTTTACATGAAAAAAGTCAAGTCGGCGATACAGGAAGATATCGTGCAAGACTGCTAGTAGCCTTGACTGCCCTTAGAAAAATATGTAATCATCCTGACCTGTATATCTATGGAAATCAAACGGATAGCAGTGACGAAGAAGAGATAACGGACCAGACTATAGAAAAATTTGGTTACTGGAAACGTGCTGGAAAAATGGCTGTGGTACGATCCTTGCTTAAAATTTGGAAAAAGCAAGGACACAGAGTTCTCCTATTTACACAAAGTCGACAAATGATGCATATACTGGAAGGATTGATCCAGCATGAAGGATATTCTTATTTGAGAATGGATGGCACCACTCCAATGTCGCAACGACAACAGACAATAACAAAATTCAATGAGAATCCTTCCTATTTTGTATTTGTACTTACTACAAGAGTCGGTGGTTTAGGGGTAAATTTAACAGGTGCTAATCGGGTAATTATCTATGATCCTGATTGGAATCCAGCTACAGATGCGCAAGCAAGAGAACGAGCCTGGAGAATTGGCCAAAATAAAAGAGTCACTGTGTATAGACTCGTAACGGCTGGTACAATCGAAGAGAAAATGTATCACAGACAGATTTTTAAGTTATTACTATCAAATAAGGTCCTAGAAGATCCACGCCAGCGTAGACTGTTTCGAACGTCAGACCTTGCTGAATTATTTGATCTGAATGAACCAGGAAAAGATGGATCGATAGAATCAGAAAGACTATTTCAGGGCTCGAAATTAGTACCAGGAAAAATGAATTTCTCATCCGCGAAAGTCGAGGAGATGCGACGGCTAGCGTCTAGTTTAAGTAAAAAAATTAGCAAGCAGGTAGCAAGTACTAAGAATCAATTAGAAAAATCAGCTGGTAATGGAGATCAGAATGACGATGAAAAAACTATCTGTACAGTAAATGCATCGGAAACTGAAGATGGGAATAGAGAGAAACTAGAAGTCATGCAGAACCAAAAATGTAACATTGCAACTCAAGAAGAGACTGCTCCAACAGAAATAATCTCTGTGAAAGATACCAATCAAAATGAATCAATGAATGAGGCAGAAATTTCTATAGAAGCTACAAAGACTGAGGAAAGTCTTATGATGGATGAACAGACTCTTTTATTATCTACTGCCAAAATTGCAATTGAAAATCATTCAGAAACACCAAACGATGTTTCATCTTGCGACAAAAAGCACATTAGCATTTCACAAGAGAACGATGGCCGGACTAAGCATCGCAAAATGCAAAAGACAAAACAAAAATATTCCCATAGAAAAAAAGAACAGGTCTCTGCCATTTTCGAGGGAGAACGTGTACCTTGTTTACTAGGTCGTCGACTAGGAAATTCCTCGATGGATGAACTAACAGCAATGGCGGATGATCACTATGTACTACGTAAACTGTTCGCCAAATCAAGTAATTATTTCTTCAATAGTAAAATACATCAGACAGGAAATAGATGAGTCTGGATTAATGCAATCTTCTTTTATTGCAGAAGTAAGCACTGCTTTTCAACACGAAACTGTTCTCTCAGCTGCCGGATTTAACGTTGAGCAAAACAATCCCATGCAACGTCTAGCAAGACAAGCTGCCGAGGAGAGTATGGAATTCATACGTCAATCGCGTAAATGGTGCTGGAAACCATCCTGGGACAAACCACCAGATGAATAATCATATTATATTACTTGGCATGTTATATGCGCGCATGTAAATAAAGTATTTTTTTTTCTTTTTCTGGAAAAATAAATTTTGCAAAACGATACTGCACAGCAACCAGTCTTTGGTTACTATTTGATAAATACAACAAAATTATGAAAAGAACTCGTTATAAAAAATATGAATCAGTGACGCAAAAAATCATATAGGCTCGGGCCCCGTCTTCCTAAAGGATCATCTGGGAACATGACGTAATCTCCCACAAAAGTTGGCTCGAGCAATCTCTTATTAATGGTATCTTTCCATCCTGGTTTCTCATCATATAAATCCCTATACCGATCATGGGATATTACTATGCCTTGGCATTTTGTTGCGTATTCCAATATGTACCTGAATATAAATAATTCCTGATGAATATTTTCTGATAGCTGCATGTATTGACTGATTTAAAAAAAAAAGATGAAACCTACCGGTCATCGTATGGTGTTATCATTTTACCATCTATATTTCTACTAGGGGTGAAGATGACGATACCCTGCTTGTAAAGCTGTTCCAGGATTTTGTGACATGGAGAACGTCGGTGATGGGGTACAAAGGCCTTGACCGTGTGACCGCGACTCTTAAAATAATCTATCACCAGCTGTAATCCTTTTATCGAGAAACATTTCCCAGCTGTATGCCTGTGATAGATAGATATACCATACAACACATAGCATTCGTATAATAGTATTGTTCTCATTATATATTGATTTTACGAATTACTTGATACTGGGATGTAATTATTGATAATAAGCAAGCGAATGATGTTATAAGAAAATATAAACTGACGTACGCAAAGGCTACGTTGCTTCCATCGATTATTATTTCTCTTAAACTGCCGGGCGGCCTTCTTTCACAGTCTACTTGTACAGTTTCGCTTAACGGGGAATATTGATTATTGGATGATATTGAAGCCTGATTGAATACCATATCTTGCAAACATTTCATTTTCTTTTTTCCCATCATCGGAGTTTTCCCTGCGTTTTTTAAACGTATCCTTCTTGAGATATTCCTACTCCTTGCGTTTAGGTTATGAAGATTCGATCTGTCTGACTTCAGATTTTGAGAAGTTGTCGGATCGATCACCATTTTAACAGCATCAGTAGCATTCGAATTTGATGTATCAGAGTTGTCAGTTTGTTTCTCGTTAGTGGCATTCAAATTTGAAGTGCCACAGGTTTCAAGTTCATACGTAGATTTTGTTGTTAGACATGTATTTGTATTAGATGTCCATATTACTGCGATTTCTTCTGATACCTGTGATGCCTCCTTTGGTTCTGTAATTAATTCATTATCGAGGTCTCATTTCAATTTTTCAAAAGAGTTTAATACTGACCAATATTTTTCTCCTTTCTTTGTACTTCCACTTGTTTACTTTTTTCCTGAAGATGCAGTTTGGATGCCAAAGTAGATATTTTTCCCTTATCTGAATCTAACATATTTTCTTGAGGGGTCTTCTGACAGTTCTCTTTTGACATTTCTTCCCTCATTTTCTTCACGGATGCCCTTGTTCTATAAAACCCTTTTTGAACTTGAGGGACAGGATTTGTTCTATCGGCATGTTTATCCGTTATATTGGAACATTCAACTAGAATTAGGTCCTCAGAATCTGATTCAAGGATAGAAGAAGCTTCCTTAGGCAATGGAGAGACTTGATCATGTGAATGTGTAACCTTATCAGCTTTGTTTGACTCAATTTCACTATCACTAATGATAATTACACTGTCTTGAAGCGCAGCATTATCCTCGGGTGTAATAGGAATAGGACTCAGTCTCTTACATTTCTGTTTTAATCGCGTCTTAGATACCTTAATCTCTGGTGAATCAATAACTATTATGTCACTTTTGCTTGAAGACAGTGAACGCTTCCTGCTATAATATATAGACAAAAATTAATATCCACATACATACAATATGGAAATGTATGTTGCTTTTATTTTTAAATACCCATTTATCCTTAAATACTTTAAAGGACTTTCATATTCTTCAACTCTTAAAGGCGCCTTTGGGGGTTCCTCAACTTTCCTCCTTTTTCCACCATTATTTCTTTTTTTGCTTGTCCATCTTCTAGTCCTATTTACTTTGCAAATAGATGGCGATGGTTCGCAAATTATTATGGATTCTCTTGATAGGCTCATTATATTATATCAAATATTCAACCTATAATCTTCATTCTGAAAAAGTTGTAACACTTGTTTTTATCAAAATTATTACAATGTGAAAGATACAGTATCTATATACCATTATATGGTACATTATACATGCAGCAGAGGTGAAATAAAAAAAATAAAATAAAATTACTAAATAAATTACTCTAAAATAAAATTGGTTTTAAGAATATCAGCCTATTGTGTAAGCCTAATGTGTAATAAAAGAAGTTAAGACAAGTTCATTCGTTCAACAATACTTTAACGAATTACATATTAATAAATTTATTAACAAATTATAAGTTATTTCAGCTGATTTTAAAAAGCAGTAGGTTAGGTCAATATAATTATAATATACCATAATTAGAACCGTAGATAATAATTAATGAATATATATGTAGTGCCATTTGTTAGTTAGACGTTTCCAGAAGCGATGTCATTGCGTAACAAATATCCAGGACACTGAGTTTCCACAACGAAGATCCCTTTTTTCTCAAGAGTCAAAATAAAATATTCTGTACTGTTCTGTACTAAGTACGCCAGTGCGACGGGCATGAACTGGCAAAACATCAAGCTACACTCAAATTCCGTAAGACTTACGTGCGATCCAATAACAGAACCTGTTAAGATTGTAACACCAGTTATTTCCTTGCAACCCTTTAAGGCCCAAATCCACGAAATTTTGAGTCCGATCTACGAAGCTCCAGCCAATGAGCCAAGTCGAAACATCGTACAAAGGCGTCCTGGTTAGGGACCAAACGTACCAAAAATTAAAAAATCATTAATTATTATTGAAAACATAAAAGATTCATAATACAATACCCAACCAATATTATTTATAAATATCATAAATTAAACAGCTGTTATAAAACAATGGTAGTGGCCTATCGCAAAGTTAATATAGTCTAATAATTTCATGGGCTGGAACGTTACGAATAGCCAATCAGAATACCTAGTGCAGATTTGAATTTTCCTCTTTACTGGAGGGGATTTACACATCCATGAAAGCCTCGTCTGGCCTAGGGGGCCTACATGAACTAACGTAGGTCTGGCCCGACGCGGTTACATCTCCGTGCCAGACCCAGTTCACCCAGTCAGACCTGCCCGACTAACCAGCTAGTAGTAAGCCATGGTGTAGGCGCTCGTTAATTTCGCGTTTTATTTGATTTCGTTGAATTCTTATTTCGCAATTAGAATATTCGGTTCCATGTGAATCGACGTTCGCAAGCTGAAAGTCCACACGGGACTCTCGGCCGAGGGTACAAGCCGAGATTCTCGCAATTTTCGAGGGAGTGCAAGTAGTCGAGAGCGTATTCGGGCAGCCTTCAACGTAAACAAAAATGGAGGTGGAGGAGGAAGAGGCACGGATTTGCAGACTTTGCGGACAGTGTGGCAGCATTTATATTGATGTCTTTGGAGAGGAAGGAACGAAGAGATTATTGGGACTGAAAATACATACGAAAATCAACATTCTGGTGAGTCAGGGATGAAAATTCAATTCATAATTGCGATCATGGTGAAGCTGGCTTCTCCTGTAGCGACGAGGGTTAGGAAAATGGCCGTCTGAGGGCGAGATTCGATTTAAGGGATTGTATTTCCTTTTTTTTTTTTAATTTTTCTTTCTTATGCTTCTCTACTGCTATTCGGCGGATTCCTTCTCGTGTTTTTGTATCGCTTGTTTGTTTGATTCTGGTACTCGAGATGAGTCAGCGTACGGAGTTCTTTTTGCATAGCGCTGCGCATGGCGTCGCAACGCAATGGCGTCTGTCGCCACATGCTTGAAATTGCAAAAAAAATATTTTATGATTTTTTGTGTGTCGATACTCTTGCGTGATTTTAGCATGGTCAACCTTGTTTGTCATTTATGCAGAATTCTTCCTTCGAGCGAGCTTTATGCGTTACTTGAAAATTTATTATGCTGCTATGTTTTGACGAAATTTTTGAATGAAATTGAATTCTGTGTTGCGGTGGGAAAAAGCGCTTAGATTGTGTAAGACGTACGATGGGCACCTGTTGCTCTAAATTATTAAAAATATTTTGATTCATGTACTGTTGGAGCGGTAGGGTTTAGGTATACTTGCTTTTGTTAATTGTATTAGAGTTTCAAATATTAAATCCCTATTCAAAGAGCCAATATTTATTTAAAAAGTATATCGATTTTAGCAAAATAGTATAGTTATGCTGAATGTTTTGCAAAACTAATAGCCTCCTAATCCTCTTTTTCCTTAGCTTTGAGATTGTCAGGCATAAGATACTTATTGATTTGCCCCGTCTTTCATTCAAACTCATATGTTTTCTTCTATTGTGGAGTGGTTCAGCTTTCGAAAGGTATTTTGTTTAAATCGCAGATAGATGAGAGGGATGCTCTGCCCAAGGTGATCTGTGTTCAGTGTCTGGGAAAACTCGAATTCGTTTGCGACTTCCAAGAGGAGTGTCTTCGCACCCAGCAACTGTTACGCGATCGGTACAATCTGCCAACCTTAACAGATGTTGTAAGTCAGTCAGTCAATATATTATTTTGCTCATTCTCATTGTTCTACAAAACTCTACCGCTCTCCTGCAATTTAAATGATACATGTAGTTCTCGATTCAAGGAATTTCATGAAATAGAATACTTTGCAATACTCAAAGCTCATAGATTTCTTTGAATTATAGTATCTTTAGAAAAGAGCTTAAAAATGTTATTGAAAATTCAGATGAAAATGAGTGGTTAGTACATGCCAAAATGTTTTTCTAAAAAAATATATATATATTGGTGCCCACTCGTACGTCTAATACGATTTTTCCCAGGATGAAATTAAGACTGACAATGCAGCTGCAAGCACATCAACATCCAAGAATGGTACTGGCAAGAATCAAGAGATCTCAGACAATGATGGAGCCGACAAACAGGAACGTCTTCGTGCCTCACAAAGTGCTGAAAAATTACAAAGAAATGAAAGAAGCCAGCAAGAAACAGAAAGTGTCACAAAGAATACAACCGTCGTATTAAAAGCTATTAAATCAGTCAAGGAAAAGAATGTCGAAAGAGCGCAGAATGTCGAATCATGTAAAACGGTAGATACTCGCCGTTTACGAGGACGAGGAAACGCTGAAGAATCACGTCCTACAATAATCACTGAAAATATAACAGAAGTTCCCATTGCAAGTAGATTACGTAGTCGTAGCGATATTACGGAAACTACAGTATCACCGAATAGCAGCAATTCAAACCAGAATCCTCCCAAGCAGACACAGGAACAGGAATCGAACATGATACAGATCCCTACGTCAACATTAAATAAAGTATTAACAGCGGTAGCGAATTCCCCAAACATGGAGGTATTCGTGAAGGAAGCTACTAATCGTGGTACCGATCAAAAGGATATAAGTTACACAGTTGAATTGCGCAAGAAGCAGAACACAGAATCTGTGACTGTACTAGCCAAAGTATTTCCAGATCAGGGTTCCTGCATGGTGGATCCTGGGATAGTCGGTCTACTTGAGAATCAAAATGGCGTTGAGATACGTAATATCGTCAACACGATATTCAATCGCAACCCAAAGGAGGGAACTGCGAATTTCGATGAGTTGGAGGATCCCGAAGAGAAGCTGGATGCTTCAAAGAATCCTGAGGATCTCTTTAGAATGGATGGCGAGGAGATTCAAGTGGATGACAACGTCGAGCATATTTCTATGGAAAATCAAAGTAGTTATGCCTGTAGAATTTGCCGGAAAGTTTATGAAAGAAAAGATAAATGTACCGTACACGTAAAGACTCACCTCGGTATCAAGCAATTCGTCTGCATAGTCTGCCGCGCCAAATTCGTATGTAAATCCGACGTAATGAAACACATAAGATGTTCCCATACAAATCCACGACCCATACAGTGTCCAAAGTGTCCTAAGCGATTCAGGTCAAAGTTCGATTTGACAGAACACGACAATATTCACAAGGGAGTAAAACCCTACCGATGTCCTGATTGCGGTCTTAGCTATCATCATAAAGTTTCTCTGCAGATGCATCTAAAGTCACATCTGCCGCCACAAAATCTCGAATGCGAATATTGCAGTAAACTTTTCCCATTTCGTACGAGGTTATTGAGTCACATAGCGAGCGTTCACTTAAAAAGTCGACGAAAATTTCGCTGTCATTTTTGCTATAATCTTTACTCCAGTCTATCAGTTCTCAATGAACATATCAAGTCAAGACACGTTGCCACGCATACCTGTAACGTTTGTGGAAAAACTTTTAAAGTTGCTTCTAAATATAAAGCACATATGCTTCAGCATACTAATCCTAAACCCTTTATCTGCAATATATGCAACAATCGTTACGCGTCGAAGGCCTATCTGAATGAACATTTATTGAAGCACGAAGGATTGCGCAAGCACGTGTGCCAAAAATGCGGTGCAAGATTCGCACAAGCCAGTCATTTGGCTGCTCATCGACATGTCCACGAAGAGAAGAAACACGCATGTACTGTTTGCGGACGGAAATTCAACAGGCAGGATAACATGAAGGTTCATAGGAGAAGACACTTCGAAGATGCCAAGAAGAATGAGGGCAAGTCGAAAGAACTTAAACTCTCCGACAAGGCTACTGATGTTTCCATTCATTCTAACGAGAAGTGATATATGACACATGCATTGCGAATATCATACCAGACACTTGAAGGGATAGTGTATTACTTGAATTTCCAAAAGCAAATGATTTTCTTATGACTGCCATTCCACTCGATTCCAATTTCTCAATTTAATAATCAGAGAAAATTTATCTTTAATAAAAATATACAATCAGGGCTTCCAAAGTCTATAATCATGAACAGTGAATGAAGAATATTTTCTATGACGTATATCTATATATTTTTAAAAAAGACTCATGATAAATTTATACAAATACTAAAAATTTCAAATAAAATATAAGACTATATTGATATTAAAAAATTATAGACAGTCTTTAATATGGTGGCTCCTTTTTCTTGAAGAACTGCCAGGCTGAAAAATCCATTCTTGATCATGATTAATGCAATCTAATCATAATTAAAGAATCCACGGTACAAAGTACTAAATTGTCAATAATTAGACCACTGTAACTTTGCTCGAAGTGCCTTCACACCTTTCATATTGTTTCGCTCGACTTGAAGGAGCTGTACGATTTGATTCTAAATCATTGCCTCAAAGAAAGCGACAGTCAATTATTGATTCCACGATTCATTAATTGTGTCTTTTCGATAATAAACTATAAAGCAATAAAATATTATTTATACGATAACTGTATAGCCAAGAAATATATTTCTTTAATACCGAATCTATATCTTGAAATCGTTGATGACATTGATTAATGATAATTATTGAAGTAATAAAATATTTTCTTGATAATGTGATCACTATGACGATTCCATTTTTGACACCAATAAAGCTACAATATTTTTCAAAAATGTGATTTGATTCTCTTTTTTTTATTAACTCTTGCATCCCACCCAATGAAGTTAATTTAGTGCTTGCTGATTATATGCTTCTAGGAACCAATAAATTTTTAAACTCATTCGATATCCTCTGCGATAAATATTTTAGATACAAGAAGATGATGGCCTCTCCCACGTTGTGTGCGTGCGATGCATGGGGACGTTGGAATTTTTATGTGACTTTCATGAAAAGTGTCATCTTACACAACGAGAACTATTATCAGCTGTAAGTGCGTCGTTATTTACGAAGTTATATATCATTATAATAATTAACAATTCGTGAAGTAATTATTATTTGCCTTTTATTCATTTTAGAAAGAACGCCAAAACTTAGAAACCAATTTTAATGAAGACTGTGATGTTGATTCTGACAAGGAAAACATTTTGCCAGCTAAAGTTCCTCAGAAACGAAAAGTCATAAGGATTGTTCAGTCTGAGAAATCGAAAGTTCAAAAACTTAACAGCACAACCAATGAATCGCTCGTAAATTTTACTGAGAACGAAAATTCTAATTGCGATGAGAAATTTGAACAGAATAGGAACAGATTGTCTGAAAGTGATTCAGTGCATTCTCATGAAGATCTATCATCGGATTCGGAAGAGACTGAAATGTGTCAATCAATTTCAAAATCCACTGTACCTAAGAAAAATTTACCTGAAGAAAATGCAGATTCAAATTCTGTGCCAAGCTACACGAAATTGGACGTTGTGGAAAATTTGGGAACTTTAAAAAAGACTGAGGAAACTGTTAAGGAAATAATAGACGATCAAAATAATGTTAGACATAATTCACAAAATGTTGGAAAATTCGTCGATGAGATTATTTGTACAGATACTCAGACTGAAATAGCGTCTAATAAGAATAATGATCAAGAAATTTCAATAGTTAACCAAAAGAAATTTACCTGTATGGAAAACAAAAAATTGCATGATTCCAAAGACAACAATGAAAATTCTTTAGAGACGAGAGAACGTGAGTTACAAAGTAATCAGGAGCCTATGAACTCTAATAATAATCCAGTGAATCACACAGAGAATGAGTCTGAGTCCGGAACGATCTTAACGGATTCCACAAAAAGTAAAGCTGTGCCTGTTATAGTTAAGCAAGAAAAATATGAATATGTACGGTTACCAAATGAAGCAGCTTCGTGTTCAGCAGAAAAACCAAAGATAAATGGGACTAATAAACCCACAAATACAAGTCCTCCACCAGGTGACGAAGCTGAGGATGACATCGGTCATCACATTGCTACGTCATCCATAGCTTCCTCTAACTCTTCCCCATCTGTCAGAGAATCGTCCATAGACAATACAGAAGAAAATCATGATTCCACTGAAAATTTGAATACGTTCAAAGAACACAGCATGCAGAAGGACCACATGACGCAATTGAGGAAATCTGTCATAGAGATGTTAAAAAATACTAAATCTCAGAGCTCTTCCATCGAAGCCTCGGATGATCCTAATGACATAAAAATGCGACGTCGGACATCAAATAGTCTGAATTATCCATCGAGCTCCGATGATGCCTCTTTGATTGATATTTCTACAGAGGGTACAAAGGATTTTCGAGAAAGACGTAAAACGACTGATGGAAAGTTTGGCAGGGTATCAGAATTGATAAGCGAAGAACAAAAAGAAGTTATAGAAACACTTTATCATGTTGACATGACAGTTGTCGATAATGAAAAAGTTTACAAGAATCTTACGGTGCTAGATAGAATCAGTATACGGTGTAACATTTGTAATACGATTTATCCCAGAATGGATAAGTGTCAGGTGCACATATGGGGACATCTCAATATGAAACCTTATCGATGCAGAGGTTGTGAATTTGCTACTGTAACAGTTAGTAATGTACGGTGTCATATAAGGAAGAGCCATCTTAAAATCAAACCTTTCGAGTGTCACCTTTGCGAAAAGAGATATGTCACTGCAGTATTGCTAGAGGAACACTTGAACACTCATACTGGAGCAAAACCTTATAGCTGTAAACTCTGTGATTTCTCTAGTTCCAGCAGACAAGTTTTGAGTTACCACAAAACTACGCATAAGCCCTCCAAGGTTCGAATTGATATAGTTCAATGTTAAACGTTGTTTTATTTCGTATTCTATTAAGATACGTATCACACTAATGACTTTTTTTTTTATTAGGATGTAACCTGCAATATCTGTGGCAAAGACTTTTACTCAAAAGGCAGAATGCGAGCTCACATGAGCATTCATACCAAGAATAAAAACTTCATGTGTAAATTGTGCTCAACATATTTATGCAATGCAGAAGCGCTTGAAAGGCATTGCCAGAATGTACATTCTCGGGATTATACTTGCAACATCTGTGGCAAGAAAGTCAGATCGAAAAAAGCTTTACATACCCATCAAAATGTACGTATTATTCTTTTTTTTTTATTATCATCTAATTTTTCGAAACAATATAAATTGTTACTATTATATCAACAACTTTCAGGTACACGCAGCTGCAAAGTATAAATGTTCAATCTGCCCTAATGTATACAAAAGTAGTCACATACTTAAGGAACATCTTTTGAAACACGAGGGTATCAGAAAGTATAAATGCAACATCTGCGAGAAATCTTTTGCCCAACAATCTCACCTCGCAGCGCACATGGCTGTTCACAGCGAAAAGAGGTAAAACAGAAAATATCTCAAATCTCGAAATTACGTTTCAACTAAATAAGAAATGTGATTCGATACATTTATTTTTTGATATTCAGGTATTTTTGTCCAGGATGTAGTCGACCTTTTAATCGTCATGACAATATGAAGATGCACACAAAACGCTGCGAGGCTTTCCTTGCCAATCCAGAACTGAAGAACTTGCTGGCTAAAAGGATCCGAACAAGGTCTTTGGAGAGTACCTCTTCGAATGGTGACTCTTCTCAGACTCTAAACGACAATACGCTTATTACATTGAAGACTGAAACTAATAATGATAAGACTGATGTAGATTTAAATAATTGTACATCGAGAGATGCCGAGATATCGGATACCACCGATATCACAAATAATAAAAATACTGATGACGATTTGTTGCAATCCAAGGACAATGATATCATCAGGATTGGAGAGGTTGAGATCTTTCCAATCGTGGAAAAAAATGCCTTAAACGTTCGTACAAGTGGATCAGTTACCATTATCGAGAATGTACTAGGACCCGAATGTTTTTAATTAGTTAGTAATAAGATGCAATCCTGTTTATCCTTAATTCTCGAGATAACATAAAATTAATAGATCATTGAGTGATGTTGTTTTGAATCACCAATCATTTCGTGTATCTCGAGAGTTACGATCTTTATTTTTGATAAACTGGATTCTGTCGCATTGGCCATAATTAATATTTATAGTTCCCTATTGAATTGCTCAATATCTTTTTGTCTTTCCTTTTTTAAAGACAATCACGCTTTTGGCGTTACTTAATTCTAGAATCTAAGTTTTATCGATCAAGTAAAATTAATTGTTTTAGTCTAGTGAATTCGGATTGGACGGTTTCTCAAGAAAATGACATTTTCCATTAATTTTTTTTACTACGCCATTTTCTGCATTCTTTCGATTTGAGAAACAAGACATATCCTCAGAAAGACTATAGTGTTTCACAGAGTATTTTTGTAGAAGGAGAAATACGTTGATCAATATTTACGCTTACCTAAGATTTCACAATGAAACTAAGACTGATCGAATGTCAAATTGTAACGCGAAGTTCCTATAAAGTTGATTGACAAAGAAAAACAGGAAGTGCAAGTTTCATTTAGTTATACTATGTCGCGTTAATCCTTTCCGTTTCTAATTATTGATTTCCCGTATGCAACATTACAAGTGAAAAGAAATTTCTAATTTGGGGAAAGGGGTCTGCGGCTTCCTTAGGCAACGGTAACTTCTCCAAAGAAAGAGAAGCTGTTAGGAGGTGAAAGTAAGATGACCTGAATTCTAAGGAGGTACCAGGGCCAGCTGGTGTGTCATTTATCTTTGTAAAGTAAACTAGACAGACTTACATCAGTCGTGTGCGTGTGCAGTCGTAAACGTCAAACAAGACTTCAGTGGACTTTGACAAGTGAATATACACCGTGGCTGTAAATAATGACAAATTTTAACTGAGATTCTTTAGGAAACACTTAAAACTATTTGACGGTTTCTCGAATATCTTGTGTTCAAAATGAGCTCTGAACCACCCAGTTATGAATTTCTTGACAAGAAGAAAACAAGCGAGATGCTTAAAATGTTTCATGGTGAACGTACTGGTTGGGTTCGCGTTGGTGAAAAAAAATATTTTTTTCCATATAAATATACTGAACAAGGTGCAGGATTTTATAAATTCAAAGCAAGACCTAGTGATACCTGGGTTTTATCCTATCCTAGATCAGGTAAGCGTTTATGATGTAGTAAAGCATATTGTGACAAATATTTTATTAATTTGTTAATTAAAACAATGTCTTCTTTCATCAGGTACTACCTGGACTCAAGAGCTCGTTTGGCTTTTATCAAATAATTTAGATTTTGATACTGCTAATGAAAAATACTTGGCTGAGAGATTTCCATTTCTAGAGTATGAGAACAATTTTCCCCTTATTGTCCTCTTGAATGTTGACTGTATAAAAAAGTCATCGATAATGTTAATTGCGTTACGTTTCTAGATTCAGCATGTTTAACCATCCGGAAGTAACGAAAGAACTTCTTAAGATAAACGAGGGTGATCCTGAGAAAGTTAAACTCTGCCTGGAAGTTGCTAAACCTGGTTTTGAAGTTCTGGAGGCTTTACCTTCGCCCAGATTCATCAAGTCCCATTTCCCATTTAGTTTGTTGCCTGGCATTCTTGACGCTGATTGCAAGGTATCTATTGTCAGAGACATTGAATCAGAGATAAAAATGAAACATTACTGATAATCTTATTTTGAATTTATCCAGATTATATACGTAGCACGAAATCCAAAGGATGTAGCTGTCTCATGGTATCACTTGAACAGGGCTTTTGTGACCCAAGGATACCAAGGCGACTTTCCTCAGTTTTGGGAATACTTTAAGAATGACCTGAGTAAGTTATTAGCTTCTTAATAAATACAATATTTATTATATTACTGACATTGTTATTATTCATAGCACCATGGAGTCCATATTGGAAACATTTGAAAGAAGCATGGTCCCATAGACATCATCCAAATATGCTGTTCATATTCTATGAGGAAATGTATAATGTAAGTTTGATATTCGTTATGATAATGCTAAGTTTATCTTTGAATAAAAACATAAATTATATAAGGTTATCAATATTGTTAATCGATATCTTATCCTATTCGTAGGATCTACCAAACGCTGTTCTGAAGGTAGCCAACTTTTTGGGAAAATCCTACAGTAGTGAGCAAATTGCAAGATTGGCCGATCATTTGAATATAAAGAATTTCCAAAAGAATAAGTGTATAAATTCCTCGGAATTGGTGGAATGTAAAATTGTAGAAAAGGACTCGTTTGTTAGAAAAGGACAAAGCGGCAGATGGAAAGATACATTCACACCTGAACTCGAAGCTGATGCAGATAAATGGATTGAAGAGAATCTCAAGGACACTGATATCGAGTTCCCATATTTAAATAATAATTACCAATGAATGGTTTTTTTTATTATGTTTATTTAACGTTGTTGTCATTATTACTACTTTGAAATAAACTATTTAATTTAATCCGTGGAAATTAATTAGTCTGTTCGTAAGTTCACAAATATATATAATTAAATATAAAAATATTATAAAAATACGAAAAGTGGGCGAATGGAAGAATTAATTCACGCTTGAACTCGACGCTGAAGCGAATGAGTGGATTAAAGAAAATCTTAAAGATACTGATCTAAGGTTTCCCACTTCAGTGTAGATAAACTTACGTCTTTCAAGTTATTTTTATATTCTGGAATTAATATTAAAACATTCCAAAAGTATTTAAATGCCTCGATACATCCTTTTTCATGCTAAGATGATCAATAAGAAGATAGCAGGCAGTATATTTTTGCAGAATTTATAGATAAATATTTTGTAAAAATAAATAGATAATAGATAAACTGGTGACCAATTAATCATTACCAAAGATACGTATCCGATTCTATTGAATATTATTTTTTATCAGAAGCTGCTCAATCACTTTAATCAGTGAAAACAGCAAGGCATACAGTATCCTAAAAATATAACATCAAGTTCGTGGATTAGATAAAATAATATTTTAACTAACGATAAGGTTCCTTTAAAAAGTTCAGTACTTTTTAAATTGGACATTAAGACCACCGGTGGCACTGTTCAAGATGTGTGCTCAACCACTGCAGTACGAAGTCCTAGACGAGGAGACAAAGCATAAGCTACAAGAAGAGGACGAGTTATATGTAAATAATTGCATTCGCGTTGGTGATAAAAAATGGTTCTTTCTAAATACATATGCAGATCAAAATGAAGCATTTCGAAACTTTAAAACCAACCCTAGTGATGTATGGGTTTTATCACTGCCAAAATCAGGTATAACAGTAAGCTACTGCATATTGATTGTGCCTATGAAGTCTGTCATATTCATTAATAATATGAGATACGAGAAAGATTTTTTATATTTTCAGGTGCAAACTGCATGCAAGAATTGGTCTGGTTGTTGGAAAATAATTTGGACTATGACTCTGCTGTGAAGTACAAATTGGACACTAGATTTCCATTTTTCGAGTATGCAATCTGTGACTTGTCGCTTTGGTATTGTCTTGTAAGATAAAAGATTAATCAGGGAAATGGGTCTTTCAGTACTAGCTTGTTGCAGCCACATTCAATGTCAGAGGAATATTTCAATATGTCTGAAGATGAGGCTGAGAAAGTTAACGGAATCATCAGAGAAGGAAAGACCAGCCCCGAAATTATTGCTGCTTATCCATCGCCTAGGTATATCAAGAGTCAGCTCCCGTTTGAAATGTTACCTACTGATCTTCTAGATTCGGGTGCCAAGGTATTTTATCCTACAGATATAGTTGACTAGATATAATATCCTTTCAAATATTCATTTGTTTTATCTTCAACGCGTATTTGCTATTTCAGATTATATACGTTGCACGACATCCAAAGAATGTCGCAGCCTCTTATTATTACTTTCGTCAAAGGATGCCGCGTTTTTTCAAATTCAAAGCCGACTTCAAAACCTTTTGGAATTTCTTTACAAAGAGCTTGAGTATGTGTATAATGCTCGCTGTGACCTTACAGTTTTTTTAATATTAATATATTAATATTTTCACTAGTACTATACACTCCATATTGGGATCACGTGAAAGAAGCGTGGAAACGAAGGGATGATCCAAATTTCCTTTTTGTTTTTTATGAGGAAATGCAAAATGTATGTTATGTGTTAATACATGGTATATATTAATATACGCGTATATAGAATTTGATGATATTTTAATGGATATACTATTTTATAATGTTTCAGGACTTACCAAAAATTATTGAGAGGGTTGCCGAGTTTTTAGGAAAGAGCTACAGCACTGAAGAAGTAGGGACGTTGGCTGATCATTTGGATGCAAACTTTCAAGAAAATGATACAGTCGCTCAGAATGATGGTGAGGAAGTCACTTTAACAAGAGAGAACAAATTAATTGGGAAGGGAGATCTGGGTGAGTTAAAAGATCTATTCACTCCTGAACTGGAAGCTGAAGCGGATGAGTGGATTGAAGAAAATCTTAAGGATACCGATCTAAGCTGGCCTGTTTGAATATGTGATAGAGTTGTAAAATTGTGCGACGCACAACCAATTGGTGACTGATTATTTAATTGCATTGCAATTTACACTTGATAATATTTAATAATTGCTTATAAAATCAATATTATCAAAACAACTGTAATACATTAAAAATAAAAAATTTATGTTATCTGTACAAATATCTTATTTTACATACTTGTCAATTACTATGATAGGTCTACTCTATTCCAATGCTGTTTTTACTTTTGCATATAGTCTCAATCTTACTGATCTTTGAAATGCATTGCATAACTGCTGTTCTGCTTGCACAGCTATTTCCCTAATACGCCCCCCACGGCTGCCTACTAGTAAAGATGAAATTCGTTTTGAAGCAACATAAATTATAACAAGTGCAGAGATACTACCGTCATCACAATAGTCAAAGTGTTCAATTTCCAATTTCATCTGGTACGGCAATTCTTTTGGAAGAGTATCTAGTAATTTTGATTGAACTACTCGTTCTAGTATTTTCTCAGGTGGTTGATCACTGAAAGTTTCCGGATCGTATTTCCAGTCCCTACTTTTAGCAGATGCAAGAAGATACTCCTGCAATTTAATGAATAATCGATTAGTAACTTTTGTATGCTTCAAGATATTTCTAATGTTATCTTTACCCTCAGATCATTTATTCCATCTCCAGTGAGAGCAGACACCATGAAGACGTCAGAAAAATTTGGCCAGCCATCTTTACTTATCAATGCCTTAGTCAATTCCAATAGCATCTGTTTCTTTTTTACAGTATCCACTTTATTTAGAATAAGCAACGATGGTATTGTACTAGATGTATCATTCAGTATTTCCAGAATTTTCTTGTTAATCTTATCCCTGGTATAAATATTGGATACATCCTGGATTACTCCGACGACATCAGCATTGATTAATGCCATCCTTGGGTCCTTTATAAAACTTTCTTCAAGAGTATATCTATTTTTCTCTTGTTTAGTGACTAACCCAGGTGTATCCATAAACACTAACTGAGTATCATCCTCACAATAAATTGCACTTGCCTTCACTCTGGTCGTATGTACCTTTTTCGAAGTTGGACATATCTTCATAAAAAGAATTTGTATTAATGAAAAATACCAATAGTTTAATTCTCTAAATGAGAATGAGATTGTTTCCAATTATTTATATTGAAAATATTACCGGCCTGCAAACCAGCTGATTTACAAGAGTGCTTTTCCCAGCATTTGGCATACCCAAAACTGCAACATTCAGAGATTTCAGATTTTCCCTTCGTATGCCTGTATAATCCTCATTTGCTGCAATGGGAATATCGCTTGTGATAATATTTGCTGTGTCCGTAACAGTTGAAAAATGACGAAGCATAGACCATCTGACACGAGTAGTCATCCTTTCAATTGCGATTAACATATTTCCAGTGTATCTCATAATAACTATAAAAAATTAATGACAATATCTTAAAATATTAGCATTTCAGAAATTGTTCAAACCTTATAGGTTACCTTGGCAAAACAAGACATGCGTAAGAACTTCTTCAAAACACTACACATGAAAACATCTATTGGCTTTAAAAATATTTCTTGTTTTCTTAAACACTGAAATATTACGTTATATAAATAACAACGAAAGAAATAATATTTAAAAGCTTGCTCATTATACCTATTTCGCTCCTAAATTATAAGTTTAAAGTGTTTTCTGGATATTGGGGCATGCGCAAACTTATACGTGTGTCACAGAGCAAGCGCTGCATTATGACTGAGCTTGCAATTGGATAGTTTAAAAAGGTTGGAATGTTTAAAAATGGACGCTATACGTCAACCGTAGAATTTCTGAATACTTTTTTTAAACATCTTGTCGAATTTTCTTATTGCTACCGAATATCTCTATGCAATCGTGGAATGTTTATCAAGTATTGCGAAGACACAACTTTCCTTCCCGTTTCAATGTAGCCACATATACTTTTGGGGAAATGCGTGTTTTTCAAGCGTCCACCGATAAGTTTTCGTTCGCAATCCCAACCGGAATTAACAAGTTTGAAAGTTGAAAGTGCATTTTAAAAACTTAAAGAAATTCTTCAAACATGGATAAATATCAAGATACGAGAGCATTCATTTCGGCGGCACTTGAATACTCTAAACATCCAAACGAAACTACTGCATCTGTTCTACAGAGAAATCTTGGAGTAAGAATCATTCGGTGATAATGAAAAGTGGTATACATTTAGAATGTTATATTGTTACTCGTACCAATTTCGTAATACATTTTATTTTCTAAAGGTAATCGGAGCATCCTTGGATCTCAGTATATTTGATCCAGGATCTAGCATAGCAGCAGAATTTTATGTGAGCCTTCACGAACTTATGAACACTCTTGGGTCTAGAACTACCCTCATCTGGACTGCAGTAGCAGTTTTACAAAATGCCTGTAGAAATGCCACTGCTAGACAAGCTCTGATCCATACTTATAAATTTGCTCCCATCCTTACTAGATTATTAGAGGTAAAATGAATCATCTTAGTTTATTTGAATATCTAATTAATGCATAAAATATTTTATTAGGCAAACTTAACAGCAGAGAAACGAGTGCGTGTTTTAAAGCTTCTTCAGGAGCTAACTTATGGTGTCAAAATTTCATGGCAAGAGGCTCATTTACCCTATTTAATCTCGACATTAACACAGTGGGTAACACAATCCACAGAGGAAGCAGTTGTTGCACTTTCTCTAGGAGTTTTAGTCAATTTATGCTATAAGAATCTTCCAGCAGTATATACCTTAATGCGTACTGTGGATACAAAAGTATTTGTACGAACCCTTTTAAAAATCCAAAGCTGCAATGTTAACACTAGAGTGCAATGCTGCAAATTACTCATTATATTGGAGCACACAAATAAGGAAATCTCAGAGAAGCATATCATAGACCTAGCAACAGTCACATTCTCAAGTCTAGTGACAGCGTTAAGAGACAAGGATGTACTTCTTTTGCGACATATCGTTGATTTTTTTGAAGACGTACGACAGAATGAACATTCACGTGCTGTGCTACTAACATATTCCAAGTACAGTCACTTTTAACATTTTGGCATTAGTTACTCAAGACTATTGGATGGAATCTATTAACTTTTATCTTTCCCTTTTCAGTTATGCTACCGATGTACAGAATATATTAGCCACCCTGGAGGACAATTCCGACCCGGAATGCGTTGCTTTAATGATGGAATTTCTATTGTCGCTAGTAAAACTACAATTACCAGCTCTAATTCCATTATACCCTGTATGCATTAAAGCGGCAACCGCATGGGTACCTATGGAGCAAGTACGATCTCATGAAATTATTTACACCTATCAATTAGCAAAGTAATCAAATAAAGTATTGTGTCGATAATAGGTATGTTCCAAAGCCCTGACACTTATACGAACAGTAATGATAGATTCTCGCCGCACCAAATGTTCCACGGAAGTCTTGGCCGAGATAGACTTATCTGTCCTAATGCTCGTTGTACAGTCAGAGGACGATGAAATGCAAGGAAACAGTAGCGGACGTAGCGCAGAAATTCAAACAAGATTAACAGAATTAATGCAGCTACTTCAAGAAATGGCCAAGAATCCAACTCTAAGAAATAAAGTTATGCAGGCGTTCAGTGAACAGATGATGCGCAGAATGCTAAGTCCACTGCTGGAGCAGGATGAAATTTCAGCTGGGGGTGATTGGCCAGGAAATCTATTTCAAGTAAATTATAAATAGTGCTAAAGATAAATAAATTTTATGGTATATTTTATAATAAATGTTCCAGGATCCTGCCACGAGCCTTTATGTACATGCGCTATCACTCACAGCTGATTTAGCCGCTCACAATTCCAACTGGTTGACATTGTACGCGGAACTTCTGCGTAAAAAACAAGTACAAATGGTATTAGCTCTGGCGTTATTTACGGGCGACGGTGAAGTCAAGCAAAAGGTTCTGCAATTGACATCTTCTGTAGGTTTTCCACAGGAATGGTATGAATCATTTCATTTATGCCAAAACTAAATTCATGTTAAGTCAATGGCATTACATGTGTTCTTCTGTGCGCGATAAAAGCGTTTCCGCAGTTGCCCGCTGTATGGGTGAATTAGAACCTCTGGTTCTAGTACAGAACGGAGCAGGAAATAAGAGTAGCTTGAATACACGATTTCCGGAACTCTGTCATGCTGGAGAAATGGCTCCACTTTTCTCACTGGCTCAGGAAGGGCGTCTCGATGCTTTCATTGCTAAGCTGGAAGAGGCTTTCGAGAGTAATCAAATAGGAGACATTACTACCTCTGCGGTCATGGAATTGTATGAGTACAAGGTACAAAGCATTCCGCTGATTATGAGATTTATATTTTTATATTAAAATGCAATTAATAGAGAATTATTTAAGTTAGCTGCGATGAGACACGCTGAGAAAGCTACTCAGGCTAGCTTGGAAGCAGCCAACAGTCATGCCACGAGTCTTCAGCATCGGTTAGCCCAAGTAGTAGCCGAATCAAGTAGATTGCACCAAATGCTATTCTGCACGCAGCAATGCCTAGAAGGAGTACAAGCAGAAAAAGCTAATTTGACTGGAAAACTTCGCGATGCTGAGATACAAAGTAGTAGAACGCACACATCCCAGATACAAGTACGTGATCTGCGCGCAAGTGGTAAGCGAATCTGATAATAAAAAAGTTACTAATAAATAATAATTTCTTAACTAGGAAATACACGGTCTGAAAAAAGTCCTCGCAGAAAAATCCGAAGCGGTAGAACAAACCGTTCGACTCCTCTCAGATTGTTCCCAGGAACTAGAAACCACAAAAAATAAAGTTGAAATATTAGAAAGGAAGGTTGAGGAATCTCGCGTGGAGCGCAGCAGTGCGGAAACTAAGATCAAGGAACTCACTGGTAAAAATCATGAGCTCAGCAAGCTTCTTCATAAGATGCAGGAGACCCTTGGTAAAAAGGAGCAGGTAAATATTACTTGATTTATAATTCCAAAGATATATTTATTATCTGTCTTCCTTATCAATATTGACACCCTGATCTGATGTATATCATTCATATCTTGTTTCGTTTATTACAGATCATCGAGGAAAAGAACAAAGAAATTGCAACGAATCAGAAAGACGTCGCTGCTTTGAAACAAGAGATACAACAACTAGCACGGCAGTGTCATAGCTACGAAAGTACAATAGCAGAAAAGGAAGAAAGTATTCGTAAGATGAAGGGAGAGCTAACGGATCTGAGTCGAATGAGAGATATGATCTTCGAGCTGACTGCTAAAAAAAAAGATGACATATCTGCAACTTAATAATTTTAAATAACCGTCAAAATAAAAAATTGGAATGTTGAAAAATTCTATCTAAAAAGCCACCGAGGCTTTTTGTCAGTGCAAGGATAAGCTAATATGTAATACCTTAGTGTATTAACGACGACGATATAAGTTAGAAGCGATTTTTATATTCTTATATACAGTTTTATAAAAGAACGGGGAATGGAGCAGCCATTTAGTAGATTATCCTCGTACAAAGAATTACTGTCGTATTATATTTATGTCAATTTGAACGTTAAACATCGACAAAAGTCCAGTTACCTTTATCGTAACATCCCGTTACGTTTCTTTTTTAATTGCATTTTTATCACGTGAAATCGCATCGTTTTCCTTTTTATCTAGTTACTCCATCTACGTACTATATCATAGTATTATAATATTAATTATACAATTTTTAGACTACTGGTATCTCATTTCCAATGTCCATGATAGGTACGATCATTCGTGACGTAATAAAAAGTTTCACGAACATTAACCAATCCCTAGCATTACAAGTCATTCAGTTTTCCTAAACGGAGATTTATATTGTACCGTTTCATTTATTAATTATTATGCTAAATCGAAGACAGCAATTACTATACCTAATTTCGAGCATTATCCATGAGTGATTCGTTTGAAAACATTTTTTTTCCCTTAAAGGTACACTTTGGATTCGTGAAATTTATACTTATTTAAATACTCAACAAATTATATCACAAAATGTCACACTGGTGGAATCTGATATACCATTAGAATATATTTCGTCGATTCATGATAGAAGAGATTTCATAATAATTCACGACAAAGAGATATATTAGAATCGTAGATTCGCATCAGCGAGATCACAGTTACCGTATTCCGTAAGCCGAGAAAAAAAAGGGAAATAAAAATCCTAATGGATGTAAAAGGACTGATTAACCACCGTTAAGGATATATCAAGTAAATATTATTCCATTCTCACCTGAGAATCTCGAAACGGAAGTATACAGTGGATCCATTTATCACAGCTGAAATCCAAGCTGTGGTCAAACGTCAATTAATTGTCTAAAATGTGCTCAAGACAAGGCGATTGATTGGACGACCAGCGCCGGACGCCAAATTAAGCATAATTGTACTTTTAGTCGAACATCGTCATTGACTATATCCTCCACTCCAAGGCTGTTCATCCGCAGAAGCAAAGATTAAATAAAAAAAGTTCGTCAAGATATTTATACCAGCTGCAATCCAAAAAATAGAATGCCAGCGAGCCAGGGTTTCCTGTAAGAAAAACTTATAATATTCTTATGATCATACCAATGCGCAGGATAAAAAGTAGAAATAGAGCGATACTTACATGTCCGACAACTATCTTGCCGATAATATAAGGTGCGAGGAAGCCGCAAATATTTGCAGCGGCATTTGTCAGTCCGTACAACGTTCCTGCATACCGCGGCGCAAGAGCGATGTGATTCATCTGGTTCCCAGCATAAATAGCGCCTTGCAAGGATCCCAAACCTGATAGCATCATCATCACCCAAACGCGGTCACATCCTGCCCAGATAGCACCTATGAAGCTGAGACTTGGTCCCAAAGAACCGACAGTGTTCCACAATTTCATGGAAGTTAAGGGTGACAGATATCGCCTGGCCAAAAGAGCATCGGCGAAGCTAGACACTAGTAAGCCGACAATCCATGCACTCAAATAGGGCAACGCCGAAAGAAAAGCATTCTGTTGTACGTTAAAATGAAGAATCTTCGCCATATATGTAGGCAATTCAGTTAGTAAAGTATAAAAGCACCATGACTGTCCACATTGAGTAATCGTTATAGCCCATACTGGCAGTGATGTGAATATTGAGAGCCATGGTACTCCTGGATCTTCTCCCTATTAAAAAAAAACAGCCATTTAAAATACTACAGATCAAGCTGACAATTTCTTTGTAATCTACAAACCTCATTCTTTGGCTCGACACAGGCTTCTATGTATGCTCTTTCCTGGGGATCGATGCTGACATGATGGGCTGGGGTGTCGTAAGCAAAAAGAAGCCAAAAACCGTACCAAATAATTCCAAGAGTTCCAAAGAGATAAAATGCCAGGGGCCAGCCACCCCACAATTCCAATGAACATAGCCAACCACTCACCGGTAGAGAAATTATTGTGCCAAAGTTAGCCCCTAAGGAGAATCGCAATTCTAACGTCAGTAAAAACATATTTAAATGGTAATTACCTTTCTACTAATGAATTCTCTCTATAATTACCAGCATAAACAATTGCAGCGAATTTACTACGTTCCAATGGCGGTACCCAGTGTGCTAGCATAGTGTGCATTGCAGGAAATGTAACTCCCTGGAAAAGGGAATGACGTTAAACATTCTGCACCAGATATAAAGTAGCTTACTTCAGGAATTTTAAACCGCATGACAATGAGGTACCTCGGTAAATCCTTCAGCAATACGAACAACCACGAATGGTACGAGTCCCCAGTAAGCAGCAAAAGGGCTGATCACGGTAAGAATGGCAGTGAGAAAAACGCCAAGACCAAAAATCAATTTGCCACCTACTTTCTCTGCCATTCGGCCACCCGGAACGTTCGTTAATACATATCCCAGAAAAAACGCACCAAGTATGACTCCTTGAGTTTTTTCATCCCAGTCAAATTCTCCAGGACTCTGTACGCAAAGAATAGAATTGTTTAATATTACTGGTAAGCCTTGATTTGGCACATGTCATTGTTTCAGAGTGATAAACCTTATCATCTGCCTGTTATTAAGGTCAAACATACATAGGAAGTTTGTAATATGTGTGATAATAAAATCAGTGTCAATGCGTAATTTAATATATCTAACGCTTCATTTTCTAAGCATACAAATAAACCGTCCTTAGCAAACATATTACGTATGAAAATTTAAAGAAAAAAAATGTCCCAAGTTAATTGTGTAATCAAGAAGTAACTAACAATCAAAGTCATATTCTTTAGATAATTCGTATATATAATCTGAATAATAAATTCATTATTTTATGCTTACAGGAATGAACGTGCCATTTATAGGCATTGTGTCATTACAAGTATCGCTGGTGTCATTGTTATTATCAGAAGGTACTGCTGTCTGGTTGACCATGGACACAATGGCCACAGAAAGATTGACTCTCATCGCGTAAACCAATGAGAATCCCAAAAATCCCAAGAAACCCATTGTATATCTTGCTTTGAGACATGATGAGGTGTCTGCAGGTATCTCTGCTCCATGTTTATCGACAACTGTAAGATAACATCAACTAATGAGATGCTCGTTTCTCGGTCTGTAATGATGCATCATAAGTAAAAATGAATAAACGTTTCCTCCATTACGTTAGAATGCACTGACAGCTGTCATCTGTTATGAAACAAAGAATAACCTCTTTAGGAGACTCCGAAATTTTTCAAATTCACATCAAAATTTTCCAGCCAGATTACTTTTTCAGCTTTGTGGTAATTATTGCGAAAGTGTTGTCAACATGATTGTTAACCCTGCAGAATGTACGGTGAACTTCGCTTTGGGGAAGAACCTCTATAAAAATCCTGTTATTCACGATTTTCGTTTACATTTTACTGGCATGATAAATAAGAGGTTCGGAGTTTTGAAGAGTTTTGAATTCTTTATAAGACTGAATAACAATACAAAACAATTAATCAAACAGACCCAACGTTCCTGCTGTTCCACTGCTTAAAACGAAATCTTATAATTATGACGTTTCCATTGAGTAATCGAGCGTCATCATTTTAATCAGTCTCGCTACCTCTATCAGAGCAATAAAACCATTGTCATCTACACTTTAAAGTTAATTGAAATCAAATACAAGTTTATTAAACGAAGCCAAGAAATTTAGATAAGAAATAGAGCCAGGAGAAGCATTTGATAATGAGGTAGTTTAAAACACTACTAGAAAATGGGACCGCAGACATCTGCCAGATGTAGAAACGATGAATCAACAGTAGACAAAAACAGTTCATAGACAATAGAGCAGAATTAACTTTCAAACCTTTTTTCAAGGAATCATTGATACATAAAGGTTGATCATCCCTCGTTACGCTTGGATCCAGTACCTCCATGATACTCTGATAATTTGTATACAACAATTTCTAAGTTGTTTGAACTTCTTTCTCTAAAACACAACGGACGACGTCACTCGCGCTATGTTCCCATCGAAACTGCGCCTGATCGTTGTTCTCGTTCGTTCATTTGAGGTTTTTCTGCTGGCGGTATCCTTTCACTATCGCGCGTTCGTCATAGATTCGTCATGACTGGAGAAACGGTACTGTCAATTCCTATACAGTAGACTTAAGTACGTACGAGATGATAGTTGAGGCAAACGCTGACTTAATTCGCACCCCCACTTCATATGCGAGCCCCTTCAGATTACAGCTGACTTTTGTTTTCTTCTGATTTTGTTTTTCGTGCGGTATGAATTGTAAGCGAGCTACATTATTGGTCAATTGGTTGAGCATGTAGTGGGAACTGGCAGGAATGCCCGCAGAAAAGAGAGAAACAGGCACGTACTTATCAGAAGTCTGCATCTGCATTCCATACAGCATGTAGATAAATAGGTATTCATATATACTTTGAATAAAACTAAATCTGATAAAAAAGAATCTGTTCCGTAAAGGACTTTCTTAGTCACATGAATTCATTCCGGAGCTGCAAAATTGGTTGGGATTCAATTAAATGTATATTTGTATTATAAATTGTCATGATTATGTATTATTTTTTTAAGGGGATAGACATAAATCTTTTGTTTTAGATATTAGATGCGCAACAAAGAATATGTTGATAGTTACAGGTTTTTGGCCCATTTTGGATATCTTTATTAAGCTAGAGACAATTAATTTAACACAGTGAATACGAATTCTCCAGTAAAAATTCCGGTGGCCTTTATACGATTAAAAGGTTTTCAATTTTTTTTGCATTTTCATACCTCAGCTCCTCTGCCAATACACGTAATTTAATGTATACCACTTTAGTTCACGTAACAAAAAACCCATGTTCTTCTTTAATTCTATAATATCAATATCCTCACACATTCAAAATAATTTCTCTCGGTTATCGAATTGTAAAGGAATTCTTATATGCTTAAAAAAAAGCTAAGATAATAATTGGGACCTATTCATAAATAAATAAAGGAATGTCTCAATGCATGATTTACAAATTTGTAACGGGCCAGGCACGGCTGGTTTCGGATATTATATCGATAAAAGGAATTGCCTAATGATCGGATGATCGTATATTGTAAAAAAAAAATGATTATAATTTATTATGTTCTCCTTAAGAGAAAATTTAATTTCAGTCTCCAGTCGCAACGCGGTACTGTATGAGCAAAACTAAACTATGGATAAAATCACGCACGTTTCGGGACGGGAAAGGTAAAATTGATAGAAAAAGGAAAATGTTGCTGTAAAAAACGACGTAAGTTGAGTTATGCAAATATTACAATCATAGGTCGCAATTTCCGTCGCCCTCGACGTAGCCATTCGACGAGCCATTCATGCTTTTCGAAGGTGAGAGAGTCAGAGATTTATTATGAGGGTCCAATCCCAAAGTCATTTTTAATAACTTCAAGACGCTTCTCTTATCAGTATTCTCACTTTCTGCAAAAAAATAAAACGACATTTACACATTGCCGATTGTCACTAGCAAAACTTGCTACTTTTGAAGAAAAAAAACTGAACTCACCCTCGTTTCCGGTAATCTGTTGTTCTAGATGTAATTTCTCTTGAGCTATTTGATACATCCCTTCTTCTATAGTATCTTGGCCTAATAATCTGATTATGGTAACCGGCCTGTAAATTAATTTGGATTTATAATCAGTGCTGAGAAGATACAACAAATAAAATTTTTGTACTTACTTCTTTTGTCCCACTCTGTGACAACGATCTTCGGCCTGTTTATCGTTGTACGGATTAAAATCTAGATCGTGTATAATTACTGTGTCGGCAGATGTTAAATTAATACCTAAACCACCAGCTCTTGTCGAGAGTAAAAAGATAAATATAGAATTATCAGAGGTATACTCGTCTATCATGGCTTGCCTTTCAGTCACCGGTGTCTGTCCATCCATTCTATTAATTAAAAATTCTCCAATTAAATTACAGCACAAGAAGAATAATAAAACCTACAATGAGAACTAACCTTAAAAACGAATGGCCCCTGATGGTTAAATATTCTTCTAAAATATCCAGCACCATTGTGAATTGACTAAATATAAGAACTCGGTGTCCCTCTGATTTGAATTCTGGTAAAAGTTCATCTAGCTTCTGTAATTTGCCAGCCTTGGGTATAAGTTCTTGTGGCAACCCAAGTCCAGCAAGACTTTTATACGTTCGGGATAATTGATTTATTTGATAATCAGACATCCATAATAAATCCTCAAACACATAATTAGGATTCTTCTGCTTGTATCCTGGATCTTTTGCTAGCCTCTTCGATATGAGCTACGAATAGAAGAGAATGATATAAAAATTGATAATATTTCTTTCTACCGACTACATACTTTTAATTTCTTTTCATTGTAATAATCTCGAATGAGCAATGGATGATTAGCAAGCTTTCTAAGCTGCATCATCATCCCAATGCCATTGACTTCATTATTTTGATCTGCTTCGGCTGAAAATTCTGCCACAAGATTCTCATACATGTTGCGTTGCTTCTCGATTAATGGACAGTGAATGACTTTGTCTGATTTTGGTGGCAAATCACGAAGTACTTGAGACTTCAATCGACGCAGCACAAATGGCTTCATGATCTTTTTGGCATTCTTCACTTGTTCCTGTTCGAATTGAGGTTGATCGCCATCTTTCTTATCTGCCGATATTTTCTAAAAAGAGATTTACTTCCAATAGTAGCTTCTTTGATACTCTTATAACTTGTCAAACTCACTGAATTTTTCGAGAACAAACTCTTGAGATCCGCCTGCTTGCCCGCAAACATTGACGGCATTACGAATATCAGCAGTGACATCAATTCGAGTAAATTATTTTGTAACGGTGTACCAGTTAAGAGTATCCGATGTTTTGCCTAAAAATAGCAGTACAAGTTATTAACAATTCTTATGAATTTTGAAGCCCACTCCTGATATGGAACAGGACTCACGTTAATTCTGACAAGATTCTCGTATCGAATAGTACCCATATTTTTGAGCATGTGAGCTTCGTCAAAAATAACGTATTGGAGGGGCATAACACGAAAGAGTCTACGTTCCTCCGGAGTACTACTGACGAGGTTGTACGTAGTGAGTATAACGTCGACGTCGTCCAGGTCGCCATTTCGCCATCCCATTCGCATCTCCTTCCGTTCATCCTGAGAGCCATAATACTGGACGACTTTCAGACCAGGAGACCAACGTTCTAATTCGTTGCTCCAATTTTCTGTATCAGTGATTTTCTCACGACAATGGTTTTTTGATTATTGGAGCAAACGAGAAAGTGAGACTCACCCATTGTTGAGCTAGGTACCACGATTAAGTGAGGACCCAATTTGTCATCTGTAAGGCCCGCCTCTTGCAAATACGTCAGAAAAGCGATAACTTGTATGGTTTTACCAAGGCCCATTTCATCTGCCAGTATTCCATTGACATTTTGGGCATGTAGCACTGCCAACCAATTTAAACCGACCATTTGGTATGGTGCCAATGTCAATCCTGCTGATAAACCCTTTGGCTGTTGCGTTACTGTAGATGACCCCGCGGCCACTGCTCTTTCCATATTGGTCGACAGCCGTAAACATTTCTTCATTAGAGTTTCCACTACGTGTCTTGTAGCTAATAATACCTATTCATTTCAAAAATTATCCAGTTTATGTAAGAACATGGAATACTGCAAATTGTTGAGCTTCTACGTATGTACTTGCCTGTGCTGAATTTAACAATTCGGTATCCAAATATTTGTGTGTTTGGAACTTCTCTACTAACTCTCTCCAGCTGTGAAATGGTCGTGCAGCTACGATGGCTTGAGCCTTCTTTTGGGAGCACTGAGACATTAGAAGTAATTCAGAAACAAGAGCAGACTGCATGAATTCAAGAACGCCTTTCTTATCTCCTGTGAGATCGTTTGATATTTCCACATCGGAATCATCATCGCTGTAAATTTTAATAAATGATATATTTCTCGGAAATTTTGTATTTGTACAATCATATTCAACTGACCTATCAAAGACTTTGTTCTTGTAATTAGCTTCATCAGAATCGACATCCACATCTTCATCACAGTCTACTTTTCTCCGCTTTTTATTACTTGTTTTAGCTGATTTCTTTAGAGCTCTTTTTCTGTTGTTCTTCAATACCTCTTCGGCCTCCTCTACATTCCAGTTTGCACCATTCAATACTTCCTGGATACCCTATAATAAGAAATAATAATATATACAATTTGTGATATCCCTCCAATGAATATGAAATAATGAAAGAACAAACCACGGAATCAATCAGTGGATACAAGGTGGTCAGGTACTTCAGTTTCTGTTCTTTATCTTTGGTTTCAGAATTCTTATCAGAATCTGAACTTGAAGCATGCGACTTTACAGGACTTCCTGCATCGCTGTCACTGTCTTCAATCCGGTTGACTGTCTTGCGCCTGATGGCAATCTCTGGAGGCATCACGTTACTATCTTCATCAGCTATAAGAATAAATATACCAAAAATGAACTACAATTACTAATTAAAAAACAGCTATAGCTAATAAATATCTTATTGGATAAAGAATTTAAAAATACATGCCGTGTAACGATGTTTATTTCATCTTTATTCATTAATTCGTTTCTACAACAATGCTATTATTATCAAACTATAAAATCTGGAAATCCTATTTCAAATATTCATAATAAATTAATATAAGTATAAGCATCAAAGTCCTTGCGCCAGGACAAAGAAAATATATACCGATGAGCGCAATTGATGGACCGGTCGGTACTGTCTGCATCACTACAGAAACAATAACGGAATTCTGCGATTACGGAAAAACAGCAAAACTCTTACACGTGTTCATCCTTCTAGTAGATTTCTTCTGAAATCGAAATTTCCGCAGGTTCTCCAAAAGGCTGGCACTAGTTGTGTCCGCCTTGGGTGAATTCGAGTCGGACATTGCGTCAAGCGTTGAAAAAACGCTCGAGAAAACACATTTTCGTGGAGGTAACCTTCGAAAATCTTTCTGACAAATGCATGGAAAAGTTCGGAATACGGAGTACAATAACAAGCGATGTAGCCAATGTGCCGTTCGAGAGACTCAAGCTGGTTTAAATTATTCTTCAAGAAAATCTATCAGTCTTACACCGGCGACGTGTACATTTTACTGAGCGCAAACACAGAACGCTATTACTCAATGGACGAAATGGCTATTCCCTAAGGAAGACGGGAAAAAGCAATCGAGCGAACAACGATCCCTCCGCTTGCCGACTCTTCTTCCAATCGGACCAAGTCGGAGGAAGTCGGAGATCCTCGGGAAGGTTTACCAATAATCCTGTCACCGTCTTGTAGCTGAATAAAAAGATAGTATATGTAGCACCACGTGCTGCGTTTATAAATGAAAAAAGCCTTTTTTGAGTACCCTGTTGTATGTTTGTTAAATTGAAGTTGTAAACTGTTAATTACATTATTTTTGGTGCTTTTTCACTTTTGTGCACAGTAATAAAAAACTATCTGAAGCAAGATTAAATAGACAATAAGATTTCATAATTGTTATTTGTGTGAGAAGTAAATTTATTAGGGACTAAAAATGAGTAAAAGAAAGTGTAGTGAAGGTGACCATCAGGATAATGGCACTGAAAGTGAAGTCAAAAGAGTCTTGTCACGTTTCAAATCTGAAACTGGAGAGATTTTGCCTGGTGGTCTATTGGATCTTCCGGTCGATATAACTGTGGATAAGTTGCAATTAATATGCAATGCTCTGCTGCAAGAAGAAGATCCTGTACCACTAGCCTTCTTCGTTAATGATGTGGAGGTTGCTGGTACACTTGAGAATAATCTTAATAAAAACTTTAGCACCAGTGAAGATATAGTAGATATCGTGTATCAGCCACAAGCTATCTTCAAAGTTAGAGCAGTGACAAGGTGTACTGGATCCTTAGAAGGTATGCTATTATTTTTTGAATTACTATTGTGTCATTATAATTATTATCTAAATGTTGTTATAGGACACAAGGAGGCAGTTATATCAGTAGCATTCTCTCCAGATGGTAAATACTTAGCTAGTGGCTCTGGAGATACTACTGTTAGATTTTGGGATATCTACACACAGTCTCCACACTTTACATGTCAAGAACACAAGCACTGGGTTTTGTGTATAGCTTGGTCACCCTGTGGAACTAAATTAGCATCTGCTTGCAAAAATGGCACTATTATTTTATGGGATCCACTTACTGGCAAGCAAATTGGTATGTATAGTTATATACAAAAATAATGTTATACCTGTCTGTGACTAATAATGTTAATCATAAAGGAAGGTCGATGATTGGCCACAAAATGTGGGTAACATCACTATCTTGGGAACCCTATCATCAAAATCCTGAATGTAGATACCTAGTGAGTGCCTCCAAGGACTCTGATTTGAGAATATGGGATACAAAACTTGGGCAAACAACGAGGGTTCTGAGTGGTCACACAAAGAGTGTAACCTGTGTCAAATGGGGTGGTAGAGACCTCATATATTCAAGTTCTCAAGACAGAACAATCAAAGTGTGGAGATCATCTGATGTAAGTAACAGGTGGCAAATTGAAAAAATCTATAATAATATGAAGAATAATTAATTATAAATTACAGGGGATACTGTGCAGAACATTAGAAGGTCATGCACATTGGGTAAATACATTAGCACTAAATGTAGATTATGCATTAAGGACAGGGCCATATCATCCTCTAGAAAAACCTAGTGACAATTTAGTGGAGCAGGCTAAAAAACATTATGAAGCAATTGGAGAGGAGAAGCTTGTGTCTGGCTCAGATGACTTTACATTATTTTTATGGAACCCAGAGAAGGAAAAGAAACCTATTGGTAACTGACATATGATTCTGGCCAGTTATGTTAATTCAATATGAATCACAACAGAAACATTAATATTTCAGCAAGAATGACAGGCCATCAACAACTTATTAATGACGTTAAATTCTCTCCCGATGGCCGAATGATAGCTTCAGCTTCATTTGATAAATCTATCAAATTATGGGAAGCTAATACTGGAAAATATATAACTTCATTGCGAGGTCACGTTCAAGCTGTCTATTCAGTAGCTTGGAGTGCAGATTCACGATTACTTGTGAGTGGCAGTTCTGATTCTACGTTAAAAGGTATTTCTCATTTCATAATCTGTTTTATTTTTAACGAATCTCATAAATCAGAAACTCTCATTAATTTTTACAGTATGGAGTATCAAAACGAAGAAATTGAGTCAAGATTTACCAGGGCATGCAGATGAGGTATATGCAGTCGACTGGTCTCCTGATGGTCTTCGTGTAGCGTCTGGGGGCAAGGACAAAGTTTTGAGATTGTGGCAAAATTGAAGAATTTACTATTTCTCGCATCTAATAGTCTATCGATAATATTGTAAATCATAAAAAAAATAAAATAATTAGTTTTACAAATATGATCTCAGTTGAATTTCCCACCCGAAAATAGTTTACTTACCGACAGTTCAATATACAATTAAAAACGGAGAGACGTTTACAATATATTAATAAAATCATTTAAAAGCTTTGCAATAGCCAAAAATACCGGCAAAAAGCAGGGTATTGGTCTAAATTGGTGTGAATGTCCTATTAGTTGCTGATTTTACTGCAATTAATAAAATGGAGCAGCGCAGTCTGTGACCTGTCGGCAAAACTAGACAAATCTCGTGGGTCGAGTGTTGAGAACTTCACTCCCTTCACTCTGCGCTCTGAAAGAAAAGAAAAATGGCGTCCCTTGCGCGTGTTCGTTTCCTCGCGCGAAATACCGGTATTTTAAGGTGTCTAGCCAGTCGACCGATCCTTCAAAGGCCACCGACAGCCAATGCTGCGAATCCGAGACAGTTTCATGTTCTTCAGGTAATGAACAAGATAATGACGAGCTTTATGGTTACTCTGGGGGTCGATACACCGTATTTTGGTTTTTGCATTATGTAACTGAACCGGGCAGTAATATCATTTTAGATTATTAAATTCATTGTCCTTTGATCTCTGATATCACTGTGCTATATCTCTTTCCGTGGCATCAAGTATACTTATGGTATAATGTAAACTGAACATGTCGATACATAGATGCTATGTCTAGGCTCCAGGAGACTTCCACCTTTTCTCAATGAAAACAATATGTCTGCTGTTGTTATACTATCAAGTTTGTAACATTATTGAATACTACAGGTATTGCATTCGAAGATCAGGGACTGCAATGTTTTTGGCCAACCTCCAGAGACTTTGAAGGAAATAGAGGAGCGAACCATCAAAGCTTTGACTTCTCATGAGAAAATTCCTACTGACAAGGTTTCACTAATTTCATATTGTTTTCTATACTCAAAAATATTTATTTTGCAGGGCTTTGTGGACCCACGGGTCAAGCAAGTGCGCCACTACAGCGCCAGGGAACCACTTACGCTCGATCTTATCACCCAACGAGTGCTCTTGGTGCTCAAACTCTATGACAAAATTGATCCCGCGAAGGTATCTATCGTTGGAGAGTTTCCTGGAAGAAATATTGGCTAACACCTTGCTTGCGTCGTGGGGTCTGCAGCACGAACCGACAGCAATTTCTATCCTTTATGTTTATAGTTATTTACTTTCTAGTTGCAATTGCTTGTCGGTCGTACGGATGGCCCACGTCGTTTAAACGGTATTATATTAATATATTATACTAATGGTTTCAGTTGACCCTCGATACTCATTTTATCAACGACCTTGGATTGGACTCGTTAGATCATGTAGAAATCATCATGGCCATTGAAGATGAGTTTGGCTTTGAAATCCCAGATATGGATGCTGAGAAACTCAACAGACCTTCAGAGATAATACGTTACATCGGGGATAAGGAAGACATCTACGAATAGCATCCTCCTCATCCCTTATAATAAATTAATTAGTTAACATCTATTTCCTAATGGAAACGTCAGATTATCACGAATTACGTTAAAGCTACTTTACATAGCTAGTAGCTTCGTACATTTTACGTTTCTCCTGTATATAGACACAGTCTATTATTTGTGTATAATCGGTCTCATTGTACGTTGTACGAATAAAATACGCCACAGATTATTAGATCAAATTTACTTGACAAAACGAAAAATCCTAAGATCCTTATGTACCATTACTTAACACGTTCCTTCACAAGTAGTACTTGTAAGGAACATATCTTAATTTAAAATAATTAATATGGACATATATTTATTCAAAGCTATACGTAATAAATTTCAAATTATACAAAGGAGCACATGCGCGACCACATTCCCGCGCGAATTCGAAATTTAATGTTCGTTTGAATTCGACGGTTAAACAGCGTTGTCTTTCATTTGTTATATGATCCTTTGTTTCTTAGAAGAATCAAGTTGCTTGCTTGGTGCGCATCTAGTTGAGTGTAGAACAGTATAGAACGTCTACTGTAAACCACGGAGCAATAAGGACGTCGGTCTTCTAATCCTTAGAATTCGCTGACTGGTATCACATTACAAATTATAAAGAATTTTCCCTATAAAAATACTCACTGCTTTGTTGTTAACGAATGAAGAATTTTTATTCCCTCATTAGATCTCTGGCAGCCTTAAGGATTACCATGAGGTACTACGCTGTTGTTAACGGGCGTAATCCTGGAATATATTCGAGCTGGTGAGATCTTTGTTTAGGTAATATTCAGCAACTTTATTATTTATGTCTTATTTTGTGAAGGGAGGAATGCAAGAGCCAGGTAGATAGATATTCTCATGCTGTCTACAAGAAATTTTTTAGCCTGCATGAAGCAGAATGGTTCTTGAGAAACCATGGTTTCTCTTCTTGTTCCAGGTATTGTAAGCTATTAGTTGGAATCTTGTTTATCAAAGACAATTTTTGTATATCGATAACAATACTTTTAACTGTTAATATCTTTCATTCAGCTATATGACATATTATTATTTTCTAGCGATGATGACTATTCTCAAGGTATGACAAAGAAATATTTAGGGAACTTAAGAAATTACTGATTCATATAGAAAATTTAATACATATTCTCTCATTCTGTAGAATCACGTGATTCAGAGGGCGCACACTATGGTATATCGCAAAGATCATATTCAACACAGAGACGATATACTTTTGATATCGATTCTGATGGTTACGTTAATGTTTATACGGATGGTGCATGTAGTTCCAATGGATATTCTCATGCCAAAGCTGGTATAGGTGTTTATTTTGGAGATAATCATCCTCTGTAAGTGAATTTTGTTATCCTAATAGATTAATTTGTCATTTTTAAATTAAGAAATACAAAGTAGCTACAAAATGTTTTTTAGAAATGTTTCGCAACCTGTCTCAGGTAGAGCCACTAATCATAATGCAGAGATTCAGGCAGTAACAAAGGCTTTGGAGCAGGCCAAGAAGGCTAAAATAAAATATATTAAAATCAATACAGATTCACGATTTCTAATCAATTGCATCAATCACTGGATGCCCAAGTGGAAAAGAAATGGCTGGCGCACCAGAAAGGGCAAAAACGTAATAAACAAGCAAGAGCTAATACAAATGGAAAATGCCATGAACGGCTTGAACGTTATTTTTGTAAGTGAAGAATTGTGTATGTCAAAAGATATATTTTTATAATTTCTTTGTATTTTTACTTTTTTTTCAGGAGTATGTTCCAGGACATCAAGGTATTTATGGTAATGAAATGGCAGATAAGCTAGCATGCGAAGGTGCTGCAGACTACAGAGGCTAAACCGTTACTGATGTATTTCTATTCTATTCATATATATTTCTATTCTAATAATCAAACAGGTTGATTTAATAATATATTCATTTTTTGTAATAAAATGTTCATTTATTACATCTTATTCGATATTGTTTAGATTTTCGCATTATACAAGAGAATAAAGAGAATCTATTTTGCAATCCTAAGATCCTTATGGACTATTACTCGATACGTACCTTCACGAGTAGTACTAGTAAGGAACATATCTTAATTTAAAATAATTAACATGAATACAAATATATATTCAATCTGAGGTAGGTATACGTAATACATTTCAAATAATGCAGATGAGCACATGCGCGACCACAATTCCGCGCAAATTCGAAATTTAATGTTCGTTTGAATTCGACGGTTAAACAGCGTTGTCTTTCATTTGTTATATGATCCTTTGTTTCTTAGAAGAATCAAGTTGCTTGCTTGGTGCGCATCTAGTTGAGTGTAGAACAGTATAGAACGTCTACTGTAAACCACGGAGCAATAAGGACGTCGGTCTTCCAATCTTTAGAATTCGCTGACTGGTATCACATTACAAATTATAAAGAATTTTCCCTATAAAGATACTCACTGCTTCGTTGTTAACGAATGAAGAATTTTTGTTCCCTCATTAGATCTCTGGCAGCCTTAAGGATCACCATGAGTTACTACGCTGTTGTTAACGGGCGTAATCCTGGAATATATTCGAGCTGGTGAGATCTTTGTTTAGGTTATATTCAGCAACTTTATTATTTATGTCTTATTTTGCGAAGGGATGAATGCAAGAGCCAGGTGGATAAATATTCTCATGCTGTCTACAAGAAATTTTCTAGCCTGAACGAAGCAAATCGGTTTATGAAAAACGATGGTGTCTCTTCTTGTTCCAGGTATTGTGAGCTGTTAGTTGGAATCTTGTTTATCAAAGACAATTTTTGTATATCGATAACAATACTTTTAATTATTTCTGTCTTTCATTGGGGTATATCACGTACTATTATTTTCTAGCCATGATGACTATTATGAAGGTATGACAAGGAAATCTTTAGGGAACTTAAGAAATTACTGATTCATATGTGAATTGTAGAAAATTTAATATGTATTCTCTCATTCTGTAGAATCACATGGTTCAGGAGGTGTACACTGTGGTACATCGCAAAGATCATATTCAACACAGGGAGGATATACTTTTGATATCGATTCTGATGGTTACGTTAATGTTTATACGGATGGTGCATGTAGTTCCAATGGATATTCTCATGCCAAAGCTGGTATAGGTGTTTATTTTGGAGATAATCATCCTCTGTAAGTGAATTTTGTTATCCTAATAGATTAATTTGTCAATTTTAAAATAGGAAATACAAAATAGCTACAAAATGTTTTTTAGAAATGTTTCGCAACCTGTCTCAGGTAGAGCCACTAATAATAATGCAGAGATTCAGGCAGTAATAAAGGCTCTGGAGCAGGCCAAGAAGGCTAATATAAAAAATATTAAAATCAATACAGATTCACAATTTCTAATCAATTGCATCAATGAGTGGATGCCCAAGTGGAAAAGAAATGGCTGGCGCACCAGCAATGGCAAAAACGTAATAAACAAGCAAGAGCTAATACAAATGGAAAATGCCATGAATGGCTTGAACGTTATTTTTGTAAGTGAAGAATTGTGTACGTCAAAAGATATGTTTTTATAATTTCTTTGTATTTTTACTTTTTTTTCAGGAGTATGTTCCAGGACATAAAGGTATTTATGGTAATGAAATGGCAGATAAGCTAGCATGCGAAGGTGCTGCAGACTATAGAGGCTAAACCGTTACTGATGTATTTCTATTCTATTCATATATATTTCTGTTCTAATAATCAAACAGGTTGATTTAATAATATATTCATGTTTTGTAATAAAATGTTCATTTATTACATCTTATTCGATATTGTGTCGATTCTCACATTATACAAGAGAATAAAGAGAATCTATTTTGCGTTGGCTTCACCAGCTTTCTTTCCACAATCTTCAACCACTTTTTTCTTATGCGCAACCGGACATACTTGCTTGAGTAGCACGTAAACGTCTTCTGGCGAAGCCTGCAGAGCTAGCAGTTCTGTTATAATCCTGAAAAGATACGCAAGAGTCAGCGGCACAGTAATTTGAAATACGCATTGAGGTTATAGGTCTCTAAGAAAAAATAATTTACCGAAATACACCAGGTGTCGCAGAAATTCCTGCTAATTCCGCAAGAGCTATCAGTTCCAACTGTTGATTCAAGGTATACGACATTATTGTGTCAACTGCAACGTACTTATAATCTGCCTTATCTGTTTCTTGAGAAATGAATTGTTTACATTCGACAAGGTACATGCGCCCAAGAGTAAGCATCAGAATCCTATAGTCAAAGCTGAAACCACCTATAGTAGTGCTGGTACCGCCATGCCTTATTTCACCACAGTCATCAGAAAATAAAATTGACAATAGAGATTGAAAAACAAGGCGAATCTTCCAAAACGTATGTCTCTCAACGTAGTATCATCTAAAAACAAAAGCATCTACTTGCACGAGGGAAGGACGCAGAGAAACTACGATTAAAAATTTTCTTTATTTCGGTTTGCCTCGTAAATGGGAAAAATATATAATGTTACGTGTACCTGTAGGAACTTTGGGCTACAGATTATATTCGGGAGAATCATCATTCAGATATAACCTATCAACAAATATTAAACCTAAAACGACTTGATACGATACCAACTGAATTATAAAAGAAAAAAAACATCTTATGTCCTAAGCTACAATACTAACGTTTTCTTTAAGACTAATTTACACGTTGGTAACAAATATTGTATAAAATAGTATGGTGTCTGGTACGTGTGTAGTGTCCCTGTACGTCTATTATTTATCCTAAGTGAGATGAATCGTTGCATATATCATACACATTTTGAGAAATTAGCTAAAGTATATGCCGCTGAAAAGCGCAACGTAAATCTCCACATGTAAATATACGCAGGAAAATAAACTTGCATTCGCGCCAAATGTACACGCAGTGTCAATGGAATTAAAAAGAGAAAACAAAAGAAATACAAGCTCAAATGCGTCGAAGGGAGGAAGAAAATTAGAAAAGTTAAAGGAAAAGAAGAAAAAAAAAGAAATAATAACGCACAAACGCACACGTTAAAACAGCACAACCGCTTGTGGCTTCCTTATTTTTCTTTCTTCCCTTCATTATCCCTTAAACTGTTTACATTCTAATCTCTAACAACTATCCGACGCGATTAAACTAATCTCGGAGAAATGAACTTTATGCTCATCATGGCACTCACTTTTGACCGCCCTTCTCGCAGTCCCACCAAATAAACGAACGTTGCTGCAAATCTGTATAAAATTATGTACAATAAGCGCGTAGTATACACTGTTCTCTCCCATTCGTGTTAACACTCCATTGTTTAGTTGCATACTGTGTGCGTAGTGTGTCATGTTTACTTGGTCATCTCATTCTGTGACCCGAGTGAAAATTCGTAACAGCATAACTTTGGGGAATATCTGGGAAAGATTTAACTTATTTCTATCCTCTATCCCGTGTTCGCTTTTCAGGTAAACTTTTGTCACATTAGAATTTCGGAGTGCCTGGAAATTTCACAGTGTCCTTTTTTTCTAGCGATGCTATTGCCCTTAAGTAGTGATATTCTAAATAAATTATCGAGAAAAAAAAAGGATGAAGAAAACGGAAAATTGTAAAATTAAAACTCACGAATTGCTATTTACGACGTAGAACTGAGAAAATAATTTGTATAGGAAGAATGCATATGCTTTCGCCTCTTTGTTTTTCATGTAATCTTGATTCCTTGCTTTCTCCTGCGGGCTAATGGGCGATACGTGTTGTCTGTCATGTTATAAAATAACGGTGGTGAAAAGGGCAAGTTCTTGAGGATTCATCGGAATCGCAGTGTCGCTCAAACGATATTTAAACTCCATCGAGCCCTTGAGAAACAATGGAATCCAATTTGAACGAAAATTTGGCGAAATTCTTAACGCGTTTAGTGAACTTCATCCAGGAGGATCGATTCGTTGCAACAGAAGATGCATTAATGTCTCTATAGCGTATCGACCTTGAGAGCTCGCATATATATTTGAGGATCCTTAAAAATATACAGTATTTCTTTGCCGCCATCTTTCTTCACTTGTCACCTACTTCTTCTTCTTCCTCTTGGCATTTCTTTCTTGACTAGATTTATTTTCGATTTCTCCGCTCGTTTCTGCCAGGATCTTTTTGCTCACGTAAGCACAAATTCACGTGCAGCATCATCAGAGAGCATCACATTAGCCAGAGCAGACTTCAGAGTGTTCGTCCCATGCGGACACCTAAATGGTAAGAGAAATTTAGATGAGTGAAGTTCAAAGCTCTGAATAATAAGAATATAAAAGAAGTTGTGACGTCAAGACTGGATCAAGGATACTATCGATAAGAATATGCCGTGTATTGATAACGTTGTCTGTAATGCTATATATAGATTGTGACGTGATTTTTCGAATCACGGTCCCAAGGCGGCTCCGGTCACCGATACAGATAACGTTCTCGATTTCTGGTTCCCTTCAGGTCGCCACCCTGCTCAGAAGCTACGCTCTCGGGTTCATTCGTATAGTTATGTCAAGGCTCTCGTAAGATTTCGTTATGGTTTAGTTGAGGTCGAGGTGCTCGAATCTGCCGTGGGGAGATAGTCTCGACGTACCGAGTTGCCCGGCAGAGGAGAGTGCCCGACGGAGACGTCTCCACAGACCGGCAGAAGCCCGGGTGAAACACCGGCGCCCCGCTGGAGATGGGCAAAGGGCTGTAGAGCGGGCGGAGGAAGTTGCGATATGGTTAAGGGCAGGGGAGGAACCTCCTGCCCGAGTTAAGGATGTAGTGCCCAGCTGTCGCCCGATGCCCTGGGGAAGCGGCCGTGGAGGATCTCCACAGATTACGTACCGATTCGCTAAAGAACGCTCTCGACGTTAAGAAATGCTCTCGATTTGGTTTAAAGGGACGACTGGAAGGAGATAGAAGGGTTATTGGTTAAAAGGCTCTCGACCAATCAGAATGATTGCTTCTCGGATTTGGCATTTGGCTATTGCAGTTTGGCTATCGTCAAAGCAGTCTGTCGCGGGGCACCGACCGAGGTGTCACGGGCTGGCTCGCGCTCCCGTGCTATCTGTTGATAGTTTTCATTGCCGTGTTTCGCTACGGTATAGCAAGTTCTCGGTTCGTACAGCTCTCGCGTTGTTCTCGCGATATCCAGGTAATTCTATGAATTCCTGTGAGTGTTCCGGAGGTGTAGTGCTGTTCTTTAGTGTAGTGTCCTTGGAATACAGTTCTCGGCCTCCACGGATTAGCTGCACCAGCTCCGGTGAGTCTCCCAATTTATTAATTGGTGAAGGGATCTCGATAGATAGTTAAGATTCGCTCTCTGT